AACATTTATGCAAAATACACAGCTAGTCTCAAGTAAAACAGGATGACTCTTCAGCACAAGGCCCTATCAGACTCCCTCTAGCATGACATGAAACATAAATAAAAGGCACTGTACCTTTTCTAGATCAAGTTCCTCCAAAAGAATACTGGCATTTTTGTTTGCTTCAGCAGCCTGTCTGTCTTTGGCTTGAACAATTGATTCCATACAAAGGTGGCATTTCTTCAACATCTCCTGAAATGAATAATTCCTATTAAAAATGAAGATCATCAAATAAACAAGCCAGTGGTCTCACTGGAACAGTATGACTTAGAAGAGATTAATATAAAAAAATTCTGAATAGGTTGCAACAAAATTTCTTGACAACTCTAAATAATCTTGAGTTCAGAAAGGTTAACAGGGTTATTCACATAACTTTGAAGTGTAGTGAATTAAAATCTGAATTGTAAAACAGAGGCTAAGAGTTAAGTTGAGACAATAGAGTTAGATTTTTTTCCAAACTAGCTAGATCATTAACTTTCCCATTTAGATCTAATGCTTTAAAATACAAAATGCTTTACATTCTTACCAACTACTTTGATGTAGACAAAATTATGCAGTTTGACTATGCTTAAGAAGAAGAAGAAAAAAAAAATACAAACTCTATAGAAGAGAAACACAACTTGTTCATGGTTGTATCACATTAAAGCGTAGAATTCAAATTTACCAAGAAGATAACTTAACAAGGTTGCACCCAGTAAAACAATGACCATGGTGGAGAAAATATCAACACTTTCCCAAAACTCCTCAAAAATGAATACCACAAACTGCTTGTGTGTATAACGATTACATGAATTAGGTCAAGTATTACTTACCTTGTCAGTAATTGTTGCAATGTATCTCATACACTCCGAATCTGATGGAAACTGGTTTACTTCTTTCACAAGATAGCGCACCACCTTAACATGGCCCTGCAAAGTAATTACAAAGCAGCATGAAAAATGAAACCTTAAAGGGGCAATCTGGATGATTCACTCAATGAAGTGCTTATGGTGTACAGAGTCTACAAGCATGATTTTACTTTCAAGTGTTAAGCTATTTTCAAATGGCTTTAACGCTGAAGTGGAGTAACACGAGTGCTGGCACGTCTTTCTCTCCTCTGCTTACTCTCAAATGCTGAAATATTTGCTCAAGCCACAGTGAGACTGAGAGCCTCTTACAGTTCCCATTGCTTTAAAAGTAAAGACTGATGTTTTCCCAAGCATGGTTACAAAATTACTGATTTTAAGATGTGATTACTAGTTGATTTAGCTTAGTTTGGAGCCAACGAAAAAAAACGAACAAAAAAACACACTAGTTCTGGGGTGCTGCCTGAAACAGTCATATACAATTCATAGTTTAAAGAGCAACTTTCTACATCTATTATTTTGAGTATTGTTGGAAGACTAGTTGGTATATTTATAAGTGACAAGATATTCAGATATTCTTGCCCTGAAAAAAAATACACACATACAAATTGCCAATTTATTTAAATGAAATCTTAAACAAAAATGAGCAAAAAAGAACAAAATACCTTTCTAAATGCAGCCATAAGAGGAGTTATCTTTCTGTTGTCTGCAGCATCTACATCAGCTCCAGCTTGAACCAACAGCTGAACAACATCCAAATGCCCTCCATTTGCTGCCAACCACAGTGGAGTGTTGCCCTTCTTGTTGCGCACATCAATATGTGCACCCCTAAACAAGATGAAAATATTCAGTTGCATATTAAATGCTAAACTCATGTATATCTTCTGGCAGTAATTTTAGTTGAGCCATATATTGAAAGTGTAAACATTTATGCACATTTCACAGGATGCTCTGCAGATTTTACAGTGTGATAAAGTAACTACAAATGTACAAAGAACGAGTATGATTGCAAAATATAAAATCTGATGACTGAATATATAAAACCAACACTTTCAGATGTGTTCCTTTAACTATAACAACACATTACATACCTGCTGATGAGAAGCTCACAGAATTTGTAGTGACCCTTATCTGCTGCAATTGTCAGAGCTGTATCTCGTGAAGATGGCACAGGAGGAGCATTGACATCTGCACCTTTATCAAGCAGAACTCTTCCTACTTCTGCATAACCACCTGAGGCTGCTTCCATTAAAGGAGTGAGACCAGTCTGCAATCCAAAATATGGAAACTTAAAAATATTTGTAAGGCATAGATTTACTAAGTGACTTCATTCCTTTGTAAAGTGACTAGCAACAACCAAATTGTTCCTGTCTTGTTAATACCATAGATATAGAATGTGTATTCTAAGCATATACACACACACGTTTCTGGTCAAAATTTACATACTTTCAACCTTATGCAATTAAATCAAAACAAAAGCAATTGAAATAGCACAAGGGGTTTGAATAACAAAACAAAAAAAAAATACAAGACCAAACAAACTTTTTTGTTTTTAAATTACCTTAGCTCTGTGTTCCACGTTAGCTTTCCGGTCAAGAAGCAAACTAACAACTTCAGTTCTCCCTTGGAAACAGGCCAATGTAAGTGCAGTGTTACGATTGGTCTCTATTTGGGCATTTATGTCTGAGCCCATATCTAGGAGAAGCTTCACAGCAGCAGTGTGACCATTCATTGCAGCCAACATCAAAGGAGAGATTCCCAACTTGCTACCAGTTCTGTGGAAGAGAGGGTGAGGAGTAAACAAAAACAGTTGCACTCAACGTTCAATAAAATGCTAAACACGGACTACATTTAGGTAAACACTATAGGGTCAGAAACACAAACCGGTATTCCTAACCTCATTTAGGCAGCTTGCCCCCATCTTAAAAAGGTAAGAAAATGTACCTCATTTTCCTCGCCAGCCCCCCGGCTGCTTTCTTGGCTGACACCACCAGAACTGATATCAGCCAATCCAATGCTTTCCCAATATGAAAAGCATTGGGTTAGTGGAGATCATCAAGGAGGCGGGGCCAAACGCCAGCCATCATTCTAAAGATGCATTGAATCAATGCAATATGTGGAAACGCTGAATGTCAGTGCTGCACAGTGTGGAGTACTCATCCAGGAAGCACCTATAATTGCTGTTTGAGGAGTTGCCACTAAAGGTGTTTCAAGTGAGCAATGTGAAGATAGCTTTTCTTCTGAAAAGGCTGTGTTTATAGCACGTCCCCGCAAGTTTTTTTCTGTAAATACTCGAACAACCCAAAGCATTGGGTTAGTGGAGATCATCAAGGAGGCGGGGCCAAACGCCAGCCATCATTCTAAAGATGCATTGAATCAATGCAATATGTGGAAACGCTGAATGTCAGTGCTGCACAGTGTGGAGTACTCATCCAGGAAGCACCTATAATTGCTGTTTGAGGAGTTGCCACTAGAGGTGTTTCAAGTGAGCAATGTGAAGATAGCTTTTCTTCTGAAAAGGCTGTGTTTATAGCACGTCCCTGCAAGTTTTTTTCTGTAAATACTCAAACAACTAAATTAAGCTGTAGTTCTGGTGACTATAGCGTCTCTTTAAATATTGAAATATTCTGCAAAAAAAAAAAAAAAAAAAAAAGCATTCAGTGAAGTCCTTAAAATTGCTGGAGTGTGAAAAGGAGAGGTTTCTAATGTTCCCACTGTTTAATTGGTAGTGAGAATAATCGTACATTTCAATTAAAATCTATTGTGGTTAATGATTATCTTTTATGATATCTACAAAGGGGGAGAAAGAAATTCCATTTACATGAACACCAATATTCACTGTACTTTATTTCCAATAATTAAATCACCACAGAGCTATAGAGGGCCATTTAAACACAGTGTGGATTAAAAATTGAAAGAATGAACAACATTTCACTTCCTGGAATTTTAAGAACACATACCTTGAATTTATTTCAGCTCCAGCATTTAGCAATATTTTTATAATGTTTACATAACCACCAGATGCAGCCAAACTTAACGGTGTGTAGTCAGAAACATTTCTATGCTCTTTATTTGCTCCGCGAGCCAGCAGCAATTCCACCACCTATTATGTAAGCAGACATTAAAACAGGAAAACAGTTTGAATTACGCTATGCATTTCTTGAAAATATTCGATTGCATATGCAATGATGTAAACCTTTATAAGTAAATTGTTCTAGAACACAATATGCTGCATGCAGTATATGTACACTATATTTTTACATTATGTTGTAGTACATTATACAAGACTGCTTTAAGCCAAGTAAAGAATTAACGTGACACACCACAAACCATAAACTCTTATTCAATTTGAACTGGTTATGGTGCAATGAACTCTGTTCCTGCCTAATTTTATTCAATTTGTAGCTGAAGAAAGTAAGCAATAAATCCCAAGTTCAGTCATTTTGGAAGTAAAGCTTCTTTATCTGTCACTTCCTGGTCCCTGCAGAAGTAGCATATGTGTAGGATTTTTTTTCTTGTATCTAATGCATTAAAAATGAAATCTACTCTACCTTGGATTCTTTAACAAATATAATCCATTACACATATATATATAATACATTATCTGTAGTTGGAAATGCCAAATGGGTTAGTGGAGATCATCAAGGAGGCGGGGCCAAAAGATAATACATTATCTGTAGTTGGAAATGCCAAATGCAGAATTTGATTTATAACTACATAACTAATGTCATATGTGTAATGGATTATATTTGTTAAAGAATCCAAGGTAGAGTAGATTTCATTTTTAATGCATTAGATACAAGAAAAAAAATCCTACACATATGCTACTTCTGCAGGGACCAGGAAGTGACAGATAAAGAAGCTTTACTTCCAAAATGACTGAACTTGGGATTTATTGCTTACTTTCTTCAGCTACAAACTGAATAAAATTATATATATATATATATATATATATATATATATATATATATATATATATATATATATATATATATATATATATATATATATATATATATAACAAACAAAAAAAAAAAACACACACACCTTTGAACTTGAAAAAGTCGATGAGGACGAAACGTGTTGAGTTGCAATAGTGAGAGTTATTGCCCAGACAAATTTACACAGCTTTTACCTCAACTGAAGGAAATCTTTGGACCTTCAAGTATCTATTGGACACTCAAGAAAGTGACTATACCAGGGCTCTTAACCCTTTATGTGGCTGAAAAGCTCTTTTGCACAATTTAGGAGTATTTCTAGTTGTGCCACGTTTTTTGAGAGAGTGATTTTAATGATTTTAGAAAGTTTTTTATTTTTAATAAATACTACAATATTTTTTATTTTTCCTTTTATGTATGGACTTATCATAAGTGGTAAATATCACACCATTGTGATTGTGGTGCCCTATCCTTGTATATTTTATGCAATTATACAAAAAAAACCCCAAAATTTTAACATAGAAAGGTATGCAAGGTCACCTCTTGTCTGCCACCAGAGCAAGCCAGAGATAGTGGTGTGTCTTTGGTCCTCTCAGATTGAGCTTCAATGTCAGCACCATTGTCTAACAAGATTTCTACCACACCAACATGACCAGCAGTAGCCGCTAAAATTAGTGGAGTAAAACCTGCAAAACAATAGGTTTAAAAAACGAACAAAAAAAAAAAGAATTGTAATAACTGCACATAAAAAAACAATAGCTAAAAACAGGATATGCTTCAGTGGTTACTAAAACAACAAAAGTTGACTAAACATGATAGGAGACCTGCCTTTTTTGTCTCTGTGCTCAATGTTGGCTCCTCTTTCCAAAAGGGTCTGCACAAGTTCTTCATGGCCACCGGCACAGGCAAGAGTTAGAGCTGTATCATGATTACTTTCAGTCTGAGGAAAAAAAAAAAAAAAAAGCACATCAAACACGTGGTACTAAATACTAGAAAGATACGACAGATATAAAGTCCACTAATGCTTAGTAGCATATACATGCATACGGAGTGCATAAACTTTAACTCACCTGTGCATCAATATCTATGGATGGGTAGATAGGCAGCATGGCTGAAGGAGAAATGATGGGGCTTGGAGTTGGCGTCTGAGGTTGGGATATAGAAGTTGCAATGCTGTGGGTAGGAGTGTTTGAGATTGCAGATGTTCTTCCACTCACTGCTGTTGAATAAAATGTCTACACTTAGTCTGGCTATAAAAGATCTATTAAAGCGTTGGATTTTATGGAATAAAGCAAACTAAACCATCAGGGTTATTTATTAAAGTGTGAATTTGTGGGGGGGAAAAAATGTAAAGTTAAATATGAATTACCAAAAACACACACTTTAGCGAATAACACTACAGGACACGTTAGCCTTAACAAGTATATATTTTTAGTGCAGCACACCTTTTACATGAACATAAAATATTACCTAGAAGGAGGTTTATAGCAAAATTAGATTACTTAATAATCCATTCAAGTGATTTATCTTTGACCAGCATTTAAGGTTTAATTTTCAAAAAATAATGTGTATATATCTATACTGGCATATAATATTCTAAATTTGTAAAAAGCACATATATTCTAAAATTTAGTCTTAATTACATCTTAAACATTAATTTTTCCTGTATTCAAATTGTATATTGCGTAGAAGTGTGCATTTAAGGCATTTCAATGAATGGATTATCAAGGCAGAAATATTTGCTGCTGACTATTTGTGGTGCTATTATACTCTGCAAAGCTTTTGGGATCTTGTTGAAAAGGTTTTAAAATAACAAAAAGGACAAATGTTTCTAGGGGTATTTTTTTCTGGTAACTGACCATATTTAAAATGCCCCAGATGTTGGCAATGTGGTTATTCTGCTATAAAGGCAGATAAACCACACATGTACAAAACAGATACAATCTCAAGCACAAACATAACGTGTTTGTGTGAATATACTTAAACAATATTGTAAGTCTTAGGCCATAGAGGTGGGGGGAAAACAAAACATCTTTACACAAATTAAAACATTTAAGAGTTTTTGTTTGCCACCCCGTTTTGGATGTCAAAAAGTGATTTTATCTAAACTGGAGCACTCCCATTATGAATCCATACCTGTTCAATCATGGAGGGGCAATCATAGACTTGAGAGCAGAGTGAAGCATCACCAGTACTCATAGCCTAACATTGCTCTCTAAGGTAAGACAGCTTTAAACCAATAATATGGAAGAGTCTGCAATATCCAAGTTACAGAAAATGGCTTAGAGAGGTCAGGTTTTTATTAAATATATCAAGAAATCTAACAAGGGGAAAAAATAAATAAATAAATTGGGGTGGCACCCAAGAACACTTTGCATCACACGCATTACAATTAACTATGGTGCAACTTCAGCGTTCAATAAAACCCCTCAATATAATTACAAAGTTTTCAGAATTTTTATTTTATAGCATATCCATATTTTGTCTGGCCTCCCGTAAAATGCATGAATTTGAAAGTAACTGTACAAGGTGAAGAAAATGCAGTGGAAGACCCAAATAGCTGTTTTGGCAAAAACTCACCAACAGTGGCTAGCCATTAGCTTGCAAGGTATTTTCATATTTTGTGTGTATGGCAGCACTAGTGAGAATGGCATATTCTTGAGTGTGACCAGGCCCCTTTAATGATGGCAGCACTGGGAGGAAGTAAAGAATGCAGAGAGAAGGGGGCGGACTGGTAGCGCAAGCCCCAAACTCCCAACAGCCCAAGGCTGCAGAAGCCATCGCCCTGCATCCAAAAGGTAGGAAACTGGAGATTGGCTAAAATGTTGACCTGTACGTGTGTGCATCTGCATGTGTGGTCCCCAACCTATTTTTCCTGTAACATTTTGTAATTGTCTCATTTATTGTTAACGTTTACCCTTTATAACATACACAGCTGAATAAGTTGGTGCTATATAAATGTCAATGTAAAAGCTGCAAAACTATACGGCAAAACTTAATAGATATGAACAGGGAGCAAATTACAGCATGAGTATGAGACAAAAACCGTTTAAAACCAATAAAATGCACATAAGTTATGTTGGTGGAATGTTCTTTTAAAGCGGATCATACATGCAAAAAGCTTTTTGTTTTATCCACTGCAATTTTTTTATTTAAAGTATGTAGCCGATTATTATTTTTATTTTTTTTAAAGGAGTCACGAAGATAATTCATTGAAAACATGCAAAAATGTTTAACATTAATCATAATAAAGTTTTATTAATTTGATGGAAATGCCAAATTGTACAGCTTCTGCAATGAGCTAGTGCTACAGCAGAAAGACTATGCTAATTTTACTTCTGCTGAGTTTTGTGGATGTTTTCTACTGTAAGAAGCAGTTGAACTACAACTCAACTTATTAGAGCAAAAAAAAAAAACTGGATTCATTGCTCCTTTTAAGCAAATTTTCGCATGACTATCACACTGATTCCATTGCAAGTGCCTCCACATCAAGAGTTTAACATGCTTAACAGGGAATTAATTCTATCAACTGTAGCACAGTCACTGTAGTTTCTGTGACAAAAAACATGAAGGCTGACTGGGAGAGGATTCGGTGATGGTACAGCCCTCTAAGAACTGACAAGTAAAAGTAGGTACTATATCATTGCATTTTATATCTCGACATTTTAGCACCTTGTATAGACGATATTTCAAAATATTTAATTTGAAACCAAAATGTTTACAGTGACATATACATTTCAAGGGAGACCACACAAAATAATGACATTACGCAACATTTTTCAACATAGCCCAAGACTTTGCACAATATTTATACGCAAATATATACAAACACAAAAGGCTTGTATATGAACTTACCAGAGTGAATACATGGGAAAACACAATGGCAATAAGTTTCATCTTAAAACATAAATATAGTAAAATCATACTAAGACTAAAATATATATATATATAAAAAATAAAATTTAATGCAACTATGACAATAATGCAGTCACAGTTGCATGAAAAACCTAAGCATTCTTAAAGGAGAAAAAAAACAAAAAAAACAACCTACTACATCGATGTACAAGGTGCTTTAAAATCGTGAATATTGCTGCACAATATAAATTGATCAGATTATATACTAAAGATATATATATCCTGCAGAAAATCTAATACAATAGTTAATTAACTTAAATTTAACATTATCCAACTCAAACCCTCAAGGACCTCCAATAGGTGAAGATTTAGATGCACATCTAATAAGGATGAAGTCTTTAATAATTTAAACCCTGACCTACTAGAGGTCCCAGAGAACATAAGTAAGAAAATGTTAAAAAAAATTTTTAACAATTATTTTACAAATGCAAAAGCATGACCTAGAAATTTGACACTGTCATGCTCACTCTATGGGGAAATATATGTGCCCCTTCACGTATAATGGTAGATACACCAATTGAAACCGGCTTGATTCATCATACCCACCTGCCATGATGTCATCCAGAGTATCAGTGAGTGTCTGAGCAGGGCTGGCTACCATTAACCCTTCTTGTGTTTCTGACATGACTGTAGGTCCCAGACCTGATAGCTGTGCTTGACCCAGTTCTTGCTGTCCCACTATAACTCCTTGAAGGTCTGCAAGATTTGCAATGGGCCCAGGGGAAAGGGTACCCGCTGCCAAAGGCAAAGCTTGCGGAATTGCCAGAGGCTGCATAGGAGAAAAGCCCATCTGTACTGCAGTCTGCTGAGAGTCATCTTTGAGCAGGATAGTGTCAACCTGCTGTAAATGGGTATAGTCTACCTCTGTGATCTCTTCCCCTACGGGGGTCAAGAGTCCCAAATGCTGGCAGGATTGTTGTTGCTGTTGTTGCTGAAGCTGGATTCTCTGCGCCTTCACTTCAAGGTACTGCTTTTTAAGCTGTTGCTGGGTCTTTAGCTGTAGTTCCCTTTCAACCTTTTGAAGCTCTTCCAAAATCTTTTGTTTCTTTTGGATCTGCTCTTCACGGGTTTTGTTCAGTTCCTCAATCTTCTCCTTGGTTAGCTGGTCAGCATGGGCCAGCTCCAGTGACTGCAGCTGGGCATTCTTTTCAATGGCTTCTTTGATTCTCTGCTCCAATTCTGTCAGCTTTCCCTGAGCTTCTTCTACAATGCTCTCTGGAGACTGACTGCTGATGTACCCTTGCGCATCCTGGCCACCGTCTGGCACATGGCCACTGGACTTCTGCTTAGAAGCAGCTGTGTGAAAAAGAAACCCCCTCAGAACCAAATGGAAGCGCAAAATTAACGGTATTCTCATGGCTAAGCCAAGCATAGGAAGGATTAAGGAATTAGTATAGGCATGTCCTTCCACAAAAGCATGAAACAGAATAAGACAGGCTACATGTACCCATAACGTTAAGCAGTGTCTAGAAATATACAAAAAGGGAAGAAAGTGTTTAGTGATTCTAAGAAAATTGAGAGCAGCTATCAAACTATGAAGCCCTATGTAGTGTGGTGAATTTTTTTTTAAAATAATGTTCTGTGCCAAATTTTGGCAAAGTGCGATACCCTTTAAACCCACAAAAACGGTTTTAGATCTCCATATGTTAAAAGGAGACATATATAAAATAGCATAGTTTATACAATAACCTGGATCATGAATTTGAATAAAACAAGGATGATGAGGCAAGTTACTTAACCAACACCTAACAAAGCACAGATACAGACAATAGCTAGAATATAAAATCCAAAAAGCAGCATATTCAAGGGTCCCACTTCTCCATATGTAACTCTAAAAAGAAATTCCCCACCACCAACACAGAGAGAAGCCATTTAAACTAAGCAAACTAAAGAAGTATCCTAGATACAAAAAAGGTTAAATGGGCTAGAATTAGGAAGAGTGTTTGCCATAAATAAAGAAAATGATAATGTTCAGGGATTACATTTAAATGGTCAGTTTATTATTCTAGGAACGTACTAAAAAGGTCCACGCATGCATGCACCCACTCCTTGATGGTTCTGCAACTATTCACTATAAAAGCCAAAAAAGAACACATCGAAAGGTAAAAAAGCACGGCAAACCTATTTCTGTCCCCACAGCAAGCTAAATAAACAATGTTTTGACTTAACAATAGGTCTTAAAATAGGTTAAAATACTTAAACAAATACTTTTAAACTGAAACATTGTCGGCTTGCTGTGGGAAATTCAAACTTAGAGTGCCTTTTTGCCTATTCATGTGTGCGCAGACATTTTTCTTTATGGATTCTAATATAAGTAATGCACAGAAGAACTTAAAGAATTCTGAAAAGCATTTGGTGAAAATACAAAAAAAAAAAAGAAAATATGAAGAAACTATTTTGTAAACAAGGCTGGAACTAAACTTTTGACACAAGAAAACGAAAAACAGAACACAACACTTCTAGTAAAGGAGCACTGTAGGCACCATAGCATCTTTAACAATTGAAGTGGTTATGGTGTTTGGAGTCCGTGGCCACCAATTCCCATATCATCACTAAACTGTTTACTCACCATTTACTCGAGATTCTTAATCCCTAGCAGCCTGAAGCGCAGCCAGGCTTTCCCTATACTGAGCCCCAACGTCAATAATGGGTGGCTTTACCCAGAAGAGGTGTGCGACAGCTTATTTGGCTGGCCTATTTCTGACAGGTCTGTGCAGGGAACTCTGCTAAAGCACTCTCTGAATGGTCATAATGCATGCTGCACGGAGCAGGTGGGCTTAACAATGCACTCGTGTTGGCTGCAGGAGACCGTTCCCTGGTGTCCCCGGATGCGGTACACAGAGGAAGTAAAACTGGGACGGGCATTGTAATGGAGTATTATCATCGTAATGGAAAAAACAAAAAAACAAATGTTCAAAGTAGTCTCTGAAAATTTATTTGATGAACAAAATGTGGTAATTTGTAGTCCCATTTTTATTTATATTCTAGACCTAGAACATAAAACGTAATCTATACATTGTGCTAGCATTGAGAGAAACAAACCTATTTAAAAATGTTTTTATTTTTCTCTCCCAGCTCTCAGTCAATGCCACAGCAGACACTTCATGTCAAGGCACAGATATGAGAGCGAAGAAAATAAATAAATCTCCTCACGAGAGGTCCTTCTGCTCTTACAAATACGGCAGCCACAGCACATGTGTTGTGGTTGCCATTTAAACTCCCTAGCCAATGCTTAAAAGTTTTTCTCCATTTGATAAAGCCTATTGGTGAAACGGGTGATGAATGTTATTAATTTGTATTTTATTTGAATAAAGGATTTTTGGTCACCACTTGTGTACGGTGTCAAATACCTTTGTATCATTCTATATAACAAAATATCTCCTGGCACCTTTTATTTCTATTATGCTTTTATTCACTTCAAGTATCCTAGGTGGGAATTATACCAACAGCGCTTTAATCAGAGAGCAGTTGGTCTGCTCTACCTTTGGTTATATATATTTCATCCTAGAGAGCACTCTCTGTTGTATTTGTATCCCTTTATTTTGGGTTGCTGGCACTTTGCCTATTATGGACACCTACATCATATCCTGTAAAAAGGGATTAAACCACTGAATGTTCTACAAGCTCCAATGAATATGAGTAACCCATCGCTATCTTATACCTATTCTGGTTGAATTGACATATTGCACTATTGGAGTTTTTCGCTTTTTTGTCTTTATATATGGACTTCTACAAGGAATTTTGAAACCTACAAGAACTTTTCATCTGATTTAATCTTTCCCACCAGATCCAGAACCCTACTTACATGCATAACCACTGAAAAGGGTATCTTTTACAAAAGACTATTCTGGGACTATTGTATATTTTTTCCACATTGGTTTTAGTAGCCCCCATTATATATAGATATATATATATATATATATATATATATAATATCTCTCTCTCTATATATATATATATATATATATATATATATATATATATATATATATATATATATATATATATATATTATATATATATATAGAGAGAGAGAGAGATTATATATAGATATATATAGATATATAGATATTATATATATAGATATAGATAGAGATATATATTAGAGAGATATAGAGATTATATATATATATATATATATATATATATATATATATATATATATATATATATATATCTATATATCTATCTCTCTCTCTCTCTCTCTGGTAATTTACCATCTATACTGTGTAATTTAAGGTGCAGCACTTTCCCCTTTGTTTTTGATCTATTAAAGGGTTCGAGAGGGATCCCATTATCTGGGTTGCTGCCCCTTAGTTTTTTGTTAATTAGCACCGATCCTTTTACGGTTTGTATTCAAGTTAATTAAATAAAATTCATTTTTGCTAAATAAACCAAAATGTCAGAACGATGGCAAATACAACTATAATGTAACTATATCAGAGAATTTTTCCAAATGACCTATTTTTGCCTAATTTTTCTATCCAGAATTAATTTGTGAAAGTTAAGAGTTTATCAAATAGCCCTGTTAATCTCTATGGCACTCGGCAGGGATCCCAATCTTATTTAATAAAATTTAGCGTCCAGGCAAGAAGGCAGGGATACTGCTTTAGTGTTTTGGGCAAGTTTATTTTTTTTAAATTTGGCACCCATGGACTGACAGAAATAGCAGTGATTTTTTAAAATCAATGGACAATATGAATATAGTCAAAAGCGTATAAATATGGCTGTCAGAACGAGGTGTGGAAAAAGTAGACAAGTGAAGATTAAAAAAAAAAAAAAAAGTATATTATAACAAAGATTTAAAGATAAAATATATATATGGAGTTCCTTTACACTCACTGCATTCTACTGCAGAAGTTGAAACGTACTGACCAGCAATTAAACAACTACAAGTGTTCTCCATTCTTATCCTACAGGTCCCAGTTTCATACACAACATCCTCCATTTTACCACATTCAGAATAAGTAATCCCAAGTTATTTAAATAAATATAAATTATGTGGAATGGCTAAAATTAATGTGCGGATAATAAAAAAAACACCTACATGAAAATTGATAATGGGATGGTAAGGAGTCCACTATACAACAGTACTAGATTCCTCAAAACATGAATACACTTAGAAAAGCTAAAAAGCACAAAAAGGGACATGAGGGAAATCAGCTTGGATTTTCACAATGGTTAGCAGAATGGCTGTGCAGACTTGGCTCAGGGTCTGTTTTGAACATGAATAGCGCTGTTTCTGTCCATCGTTGCTGTACGTTTTGTAACTACAATGCATTTGTAGTTTTATTTTTGTTTGTGCGATTTTTATACTAGGTAATCTTTATCTTTTCCTAAATGTATCAAAGTTTTGAAAAATCTGGTACTATATTGGACAGCTTACCATCCCAGTATAAATGTGGTATTCAATTATTAATTCTCACTAAAGCGCTTTTCATTGCACTTTATTCTTATACCCACATTTATTTTAGCCATCTTACTTATAATATTTGGATAGAGAGATATGTATAAATTGGCCCCCCAGCAGCACCCCATTTATGCATGTTCAGGTGAGTGCAGCCCCCTGGAGATAGATATGAAACCAGTGGGCTGCACTCACCTGAACATGCATAAATGAGGTTCTGCAGGGAGGATTTGGGAGTCTAGCCAACTCCTGGTTTTGCATCCCTCCCTGTCACAGGTGCCCCATCCCAGGGCCCTATTTAGCCTTGTACTGCAGAGAATTCCAGATGGAATGTTTCGCCCCCGAGTAAGTAGCCCATGAAGAAGACATTAGGCTGTCAGAGTAGGACCTGTCAAAGATGGGGTACATTAATGTTGTGGCAGGCTTATGCAATGTATGATCATATAATGTAAATAAATACCCATTATTTTCCATAGAGTAGGTTTAAAAAAAAAAAAAATATACTAATAAATTCTGTCATTGAAGTTGCTGTTTAGTAGATAAGTGAGTGAGCTGGATCTTATGTATTGTACAAATTCTAAACCGGTCAACCATGATTTCTCGATCTTGTGAAGTTGCATCAGACTGCGCTATATAAATACCATAATATCAACGGTCACTCTTCTGTGCCTGAAAAACTGCTTAATTCAAATTCAGTCTAAAACTCTGGACGCCTTTAAGTGCAAAAAAAATATTGTAATCCAATAAAAAAATTTAACTCTAAACTTTAAGATGCCTTAGTATTTAAACGGACACTATAGGTACCAGAACAACTACAGCTTAATGTAGTTCTGGTGAGCATAGTCAGTCCATGCAGGCTTTTTGCAGTAAACACTGTATTTTCAAGAAAAGGAAGTGTTTACATTACAGCCTAGGGACACCTCCAGTGGCCACAGCTCAGATGGCTACTAGAGGTGCTTCCGGGGGCAGTGCTGCAGAGTGTGAGACTCTGAGCTTTTGAATCAATGCATCTATGCGGATTGGCCAGGTTGGGTTTTGGCTCCACCCCGGGCCTCCATCCTTGGATGAGATCAGACTTAATCTCAGCCAATCCAATGCTTTCCTATGGGACAAAATTGTGATTGGCTGAGATCATTACTTCTGATGTCAGCCAAGGAGGAAGATCAGGGGCCAGCACCAGCAAACTAACAATTTTTTGACCTCCGCTTTGCTAGGGACCAATGTTTGACTTCTATTTGCACCTGCATCTCCAACTCTTGCTTGCTTGCTTTAAGAAATCACTTAAAGGGTTTCTTCAAGCTCAAAATCTATTACAACCTATTTTAGTGGTTATGATGTACTGATCAGGTTCCCCGGTAATAACGCAAATAGTTTATTAATGGCTTGCCCTCTTACCCAGGTCACCGCCTGGCTCCGTGACTCCTAACCCTGCTAGATGATGCACTACTTCTGCGCTGCAGAAGCTGATCCAGTCACGATACATTGGGTTCAAGTGTCAGCTGACCGTTCTCTGCACACACTAGCATGACCATTTGACCACAGAATTGATGTTATCCCTATGACGTTGCCCAATCTGGAGTTCCACCTCTGGTAGCAAAGCATGTAAACTATGTATGTGCAGTGTTTTATACTGAGACTGCACAGACTCCAGACACCATGATCACTTCAAAACACACCCATAACTCCTTCATAGGTGCCAGGAATCTACGCCACTGCTAGCAACATCTGTATGAATTGACCAAAAGACAAAGACATGATATATTTATTATGTTGGAATTTTAATAAAATCCAACACCGTCAATATTAGTAATTTGTCCATACCTGGCAATCTCACCCTTTTAGACTTTTTTCTTTACCTCTTGTGCACCAGCATCCCACATTCTTTAAACTGTAAACTCATTTGAGTATGCTATTTATTTGGTCACCATTTAATTATCTTCCTCTAAATGTATGCTAATTTAACAGGGTTTCTCTCTCCTCTAACAGTCATCAGAATTTCCAACTGTACCTACAGCAAAGTGTTGGCCTTTTAAAAATAGTGATTCTGGTTACTTGAAAAACAAGCTATCCATTTAATGTGTGCTAGCAATAATATTTTAAAATCACAGTATGCATAGAATAATTTTGTATACAGTCACTGATAAAGTTTACGATTTCCACCAATTCGACAATTTGAGACCCCTTGAATATGCACTGACAACAATTCTGGATCACAACAAAAGGCTTAAGAATACCTAGTGCAGTCAAGCCATAGAAAAACTTTTTAAAACCATTTATACACTTCACTCAATTATAATTGGGAAAAAGAGAACATAAATTAACTTGTTCCAGTGTGAATAGATCAGACAAAGTCCAGACTGTGGACTTTAATACATGAATTTTGGTTAGAAGAGACACACTGGCAGACATGTTGGTAAAGACTGTTTTCCATCAATAACTATCTCCTTGCAGTAATCTATGCAATAAAGTCCAAATATAATTATAATATTGTTTTTTCTATAAGGCAGGACAACGACGAGAGAGAATCAAACAAACACAAAAGTACAAAATAAAGAACCAAACCAGTCTACAAAAAGGTGAGACAAAGAACATAACACATTTAAAAAAAATAAAATAAAAAAAAAACACTCAAAAGCAAAACTGCTTCTAAAGGGAAAACATAGGTGCAAAATGTTAGGTACAATATGAAAATGCATAAACAAAGAGGTTACAAATAACTTGCCTAAACATCCAATGCAAACATGATTTACATTTTAGTTTCTCTACTGTGAAATTGCTTTGTATTTGGCTTTCCTTATATTCATAAAGCCAGAATTTTAGCAATTTTGAGGGCACAGTAATACACATAGGAAAAGCAGTGGAAGATTCCATTAAATTCTCTGGTCACTATTCCAAATTCACAGTTGCTCCCGATTTTGCATAGGTAATTTTTTGCCACATTGTGTGACACAAACTAAATCGCATATGTGCTAGTAATGTCAGGATAGGAATACCACCAGCAAATTAAGAGCATGAAATCCAATTTTGTTTTGTATCTGGAGTACATGTGTGAACAGCGCCAAAGCCTGGTACATTTTAATATAAACCTTTTCTCACATGTAGGGAAAATGTCAAAGAATACGGTTCGGCCCTAAACAGGGGATGTATATATTGTGGTTTAACCCTACAACTAGCCATAAACTTGAAAGGAAGAGAAAAAGATCGCTATAAAGTGTCTTAGCAGTTTTGAGTTATCAGTTCTTTAAGAGTTTATGCCTAGAGAAAGTGTATGAAAATGTATGAGCCCAAAAACCAACTTTACACCAAAAGGAGAGGAAAAAAAAAAAAAAAAAGTATAGAAAGCTAAAACTGACCTTTGTTTCTGATGGGAAGGCTTGTAGCGACACTAGCAGGAGGTTTGTCTGGTTCCTGGGGTGGGACGACCATTGGCAGTGCCTGCATTGGTACACGAGGAGCCTAAAACATTGGACACTGTCATTGCCAACATTTCTAGGAGTTGTGTTTAATAATAATAATAATAATAATAATAATAATAATAATAATAATAATAATACAAAAACTAGTCAAATGTTACAGAATTAAAAACATTCATATTAGAGAATACAAAGTAAATACATTTGGAAACATGATACCAGGTATAGAAGACAGATGTGTAGCTTTGTGCTATAAAAATAAGTGACATTAATAGACATGAACAGATTTGAGACAATTCCGTTCAAAACATTTAAATAGTGATCAGAAATAAATGTTACCCGGTTTAAATCATGGGAGGGTGGTGTGAACTGTGTCACATCAGGTGGAGGTGCAGAAAGAAGGTTATTGGGGTAATCCAACAAGTAGCAAACCACACTAGTGTGACCACCTTTTGCAGCTTCAATAAGCATTGTAGACCCATCCTGCAAATAGAAACAAAATTAAAGAGTAAATCATGAAGGAAACTTAAGCATGACCTAAAACATGTTTTAAAAAGCAACACTCAAAGCTGACAGTTCTAATAACGGATACAGAATGTGCCAAAAATCCAATGTAAGCATGCATTTTTAAAATCCCCCATTCCGTCAGGTATTATTTTTCAATAAGAGTGATGTTGTCTTCAAGTCCTTAACTTGCAATTTAGCCTACAACATACTGCAAAGCAAACCCCAAACATCCACATGAAGACACTTGTTTTGCTAGAGAAACAAATGATTGGGGTAAAGGAGGGGAAATAAATGCTAATAAAATTTGCTAAATGCTAATATTTGATATATCATATTTTATAATAAATGAAGTAAATGCTCATTTTGGTTGATGCTAAACATTTGCCAAACTGATATTGGTCATCATACAGACAAATCTATAAATAAAAAAATGAGTATACCTTTAATCTGTGTGTGGGATCAGCCCCATGAGCCAAAAGCAACTCTACCACAGCCAAATGCCCCCCAGCACAGGCAAGAGAGAGCACTGTATGGTCATTATTCAGCGTTGTCCTATTCACATTTGCACCTAAAGGAAAAAAGGTTCCAAAATTCATCAACTATAGCAAATGTTCTTTTCCTCAAACACTACAACTTTAACATGTATTTTAAAATGGCTAACAATTTTGTTACATGAACATGGCATACCCATAAGCAACCCCAAACAGAGTATATAATTCCAATGAGGGGCTAGGCTCATTTATTTAGCACAGGAACCATACTGATTATATCAAGTTAAATATTAGATTTGTTAGCATTGAATATCTACAAAAGAAAATCAAATCCTGCATGAAAAGCATGGAATCAACACTTTAGAAGCTATGGCTACTTTGCTCCTAAGATTTGTCCATTACTGCGATATACTGATGCGTGTTCAGAAACTCACTTTCTTTATTTCCCAGTTTTACATTATGAATTATTAATAGTACATTGTATACAGAAGAAAAAGGTTGCATATGTTTTTTTATATTTGCACAAGATAATGGAAATTTACAGGCAGTAATGTCCTTGAGACAGACAAAGCTGAAGAAGAAAACATATATTTAAGACAAATTAAATTCTTAAAGGGATAATCTAAGCACCAGAAAAGTTTAGCTTAATGAAGCAGTTTTTGTGCATAGATTATGCCCTTGCAGTCTCACTGCTCAATTCGGTCTTTTAAAAATTAAATCAATTTTGATTGTTTTTGCTGCCTTAGTACCAACTACTCTGGCTGTGACTCACACAGTCCCCAAAAAATGGTTTGATGTTATAGCATATTGTGCTTACTTTAGAAACATAGAATGTGACAGAAAATAAGAACCATTCGGCCCATCTAATCTGCCCAAATTTCTAACTACTTTCATTAGACCCTGGCATTATCTTATAGGTAGGATAGCCTTATGCCTATCCCACACCTGCTTAACCCCTTAAGGGCCAAACTTCTGGAATAAAAGGGAATCATGACATGTCACACATGTTGTGTCCTTAAGGGGTTAAACTTTTACTGTGTTAACCTCTACCACTTCAGCTAGAAGGCTATTCCATGCATCCACTACCCTTTCAGTAAAGTAATACTTCCGGATATTATTTTTAAACCTTTGCCCCTCTAATTTAAGACTATGTCCTCTTGTTGTAGTAGTTTTTCCCTTTTAAATATGGTCTCCCCCTTTACTGTGTTGATTCCCTTTATGTATGTTAATATAACTTAAAGTGACTGTCACTGTCCCAAAACTCCACCTTATAAGCACATTGATTTTTTTCTACCGAGACACTTTTTTTTGGTAAGTTATACATAAGGAGAAGTACTGACTACTTTTCCTTATGTAGAACCAGCTAGTTGACAAAAGTTGACATGGCTGGAGCTTTAGTCATTGCCCTGGACAACTTTGTCACTGGCCCACTGTGTATACTCAATACCGTTTAGAGACTCCAGAGTCTCAATATAAACTGGACATGCACATAATGTCACGTGCTATGGGGCTATAGAGGAAAGGATACTATTTATGGGCACCTCCATTTTAGAAAATTAAAGATGGCGGTGCCTAGAAAGAAGGCATGGAGGGACTAGAAAACCATCTAAAATGGTAACAATCCGTTCCCAGGATTGAAAAGTGGTTGATGGGAGTGCATTGGGTGATACAGAGTAAAGGATCCCTCGGCGGCTCTCAGCCAAGGGTTTCAAAAAGTAACAGCTGCTTTAAATCATGAACTAGTATCCTGCAGGCTCTTAGAGCAGGAGATGAGAAATACTAAATAAAACAGAATTTTCAATAAAAAGAAATTTAAAAATTAGATCACTCCTTACAGGAAGTGTGCAGGGAGGCTATACGAGTCATAGGGAAGGGAGATGTGGCTAGAGCTGCATAAACAAAGTGACTTAACTCCAAAATGACAGAATTGAACAGTGAGACATCATGGATATAATCTATTTACTACAACCACTTAATTAAGCTTAAATTGGTGTGGTGTTTAGAGTGTGCATTTAAAGTTATACTGGATCATCGAATTATTCAATTAAAAAAATATATATATAATTGAAGCCTACCTTTGCTTATGAGAAATTGAACAGTGCAGACATGACCAGCTCTTGCTGCTTTCATTAAAGGAGTCCTTCCCCCTTCAGACTCATGTTCCTAGAAGAAAAATAAAAGCCCTTTAACCACATTAAAATGTTATACAAAGGACACTGGAAATGTAAAGCATGCTAAAACATTTTATTTTACAAGTTGATTTTTGGCAAGATATTAAACTGCACTGATTTCCATTGAATATGCATAAAAAAACAAAACAAAAACAAGTCAAACCACCAATGTTATTTACACACAGTTTCCATGTGCGGAACACCAAAAGATATAGATTGCGTAGAATTGTTGTCTGTTTTGGAATTCTGGAGATTACTAAACAGAACAAAAAATATTTATGTCGCCACTTTGTAACCATGTCTATCAACCTATACTTTATGTCTGGGAGTAAATAAAAATAAAATTATATTATTTTGATGGCTGGAGAGCGGACGTAAAGAAAAATATACCACTGCCCTCCTTAGTACATCAAAGAAGAACTAACTTACCAAGTCTGCCCCAGCCTGTAGTAACACATCTGCAACATCAGTATGACCATTTTCACAAGCATATGTAAGAGCTGTATCACCCGTGGCAGTTGTTGCATGTACATTAGCACCTATTAAAAAGAAATACATGTATTATCACACAGACTCTTGTGGTTATGTAAAAAATAATAATAAATAAAAATAAAATAAAATAAAAATCGATTGGACTCTCAAACACTACATTGTACATGTACACATTTACCTATTGTATGCTAAGTTACTTATAACTGTAGCATGGGAAGCAATAAAAAGAAAATCTGAACTTAAAGGCATATATTATTTTACCAAACACTCTGTGCACCATAACAACTTTATCTCAATTAAGTAAACATTTATATCACAAAAATTGGTGACAGTGCACTAACAGTCCAAATAGATTGATAAAATATTACCAAATTTTTTGTTGTAATTAACACTCCCAAAACAATTAAGCATAAAACAGATCATGGTGCAGAAGAACATATAAGCCGTAACACAGTGGTATACACCACACTCACATAATCCTGAGCCTAACTTAGCAGGCTGAGACTGTTGGGATGCAAAAACGTGTCCACTTCCCAGTGAATCTGCAATCCTAGCTCAACACAGCACAGGAGACAGACAGCTTCAAAATAGGGGAATAAATTTTATTGGGCACAATTAAAGCACATAAAAAGCATTAATGCGTTTCGACCAAATGGATGTTTCACAAAGTGCATACAAGCAATTCTCTGTTTTTGCTTCTTTATAAAGTAACCCTCTGGTAATTTCGTCACCTTTCCCTGTAATTTCCTCGGTCCTCAGTTTTCTGCTTCCACATACCTCATTGCTTTCAAATGTCACTACGCCATCGTGTCCATGCGTGTGACGTAGTTCAAGTCCCAATTCTCGTCAGAGCATTTAGTAATCAGGCCCATGCGTGCGGCTTCGGACCTGATCATGTGATCCAAGCGCCATATTTTAATCAGCAAGAGCGAACATTTTATTAAATTGATTAAACCATATCCAATGAAACACCCATTGGATTGTGGAAAAAGTCTGCTAGTTAGATATAACATTCTTCATATTGCACGCAATAAAAGATTATATCTACTTAACACTCTTGTGGTTATCAATCTATAGGAAAAATATCTTGAGTTTTAAAGGTGAGAATAAGGATACACTTATAATAAAACATTTATCATAATGTACACCAGCACTTTACGGAGTGTACATTCCACTTATGTTTTTAATGCCCATTTATATACTTTCTATCGTGTGTTAAATGGTTTTTGCTATGAAATATTGATGTTTTATGGAATACAGTTTAAATAGATTTCATTTAATGTTTTTAAATGTTTTTATGCAAACCATACACAGGTATACATGTAATTTGGACTGTGTGATTAGTGATTGCTTCATAATCTTTCTAGAGACTAATATTTATCCATGTTGACAAGGTTCCGTTTGTATAAATTATGTAAATGGGACTAAAATGTGCATTTTGCCCACAAATAAAATTAAATTTCGCTCTTGCCAATTCAAGTATAACATATAGATCACATGATCAGGCCTGGCGCCGCACACAAGAGCATGATGACTTTGAATGCTTTGACAAGAGCTGGGTCACAAACTACGTCACACGCATGGATGTGCCGACGTAGCGACATTTGAACGCAAAGAGGTAAATGGGAACAAGAGAAGTAGGACCAAGGAAATGGTGGGAGAATTACCGGAGGGCTCCCTTGTAAAAAGACAAGCAAGAAAAATGGACTTGTATGCACGTTGAGAAAGATCCATTTGGTCCGAAATGTGTTAGTGTGGTAATAATGACATGCTAATAACCGGATTAGGTAGTTTTGTTTGTTTCTCTTCCTGCTCTTGGTAAATATCATTTGTCATTTTATTTGTGCCCAATAAAATTAATTCCAGTATTTTTAACCCATCTGTCCCTAGTGCTGCATGAAAGAGAATACAGTGTGGAGCTGGGGTAGTGGATTCACTGAGAAGTGTACATAACATTTTGACACCATTACACACTTAGCCTGCTACATTAGGCTCAGGAATGGAACTGATTGACCAGCGTTTTATTGCATATGTTATATACTGCACCATGACCTGTTTTATGCTTAATTTTCTAGGAATGTTATTTACAACAAAAAGTGTGGTAATATTCTGTTCTTATACTATATTTTATCAACATTTTATTTGGAGTGTGTGCCAATCTTTAGGATTTTGGGATTACACTGTGTGTTGCACAGAGTGACAACACTTGTGATTTTAGCAGCACCATATACAATCTTTTACAATTAGCGCTACTTTTATATTTATTTCACAAGTAAATATTGTGCCTGGATATCCCTGTTTTCATCTTAAGAAGTTAAATGGTTTATCAATGGTTTATTCCCAAAGTGCTTTAGACTGTGTATGTCTTCCAGGTTTCAATGCAACATACAAAAAAAATCAGCACACTCACTCAGTTACTAAACTGAAATTTCAATTTTAACAGAATGGAATAGTTTTAGTTAAGGACACCTCACCTAGACAAAAAAGCCTGCCACAATGTCAATGTACCCCATTCTTGGCAGGTCCTGCTCTTATGAGATTAATCCACTTACTTGGGAAATGCTTCCCCCTGGGGGCCTTGGAATGAGGCACCTATGAAAGGAGTGCAAAACCAAGAAGTTGGCCTGGACTCCCAAATATATTAAGAAAGAAAGAAGAAAAAAAAAAAAGGGTCCAAGCTCCAATGGAGAGACTTTGCACTAGGCACAGCAATAGTCTGGGAGATAAGCCAATCTCTGGTCTACCATTGCTAAAACTGCATTAGAAGTGCATGTACACTTCTAATGCCTTTCGCTTAATGGAGGGCCAGTGATAAGTTGACATCATTGAAATGAAGTTGCCTGGAATATGTTCAATACATTTCATAGAACAGAGGAGAAAATTAAATACACACCTGCTGCAAGCAAGTATTTGACCAACTCTAGATGACCTTCTTGAGCAGCTTCCATCAAGGGAGTAGAGCACCCAAGCTCAATGTCTGCTCCAGCTTTGATTAAGAAGTCTGCGACCTCCAAAAAGCCACCACAACATGCCAATGTGAGGGCAGTTTCCTGAGTCTCCTCTGTCTGAGCATTGATGTTTGCTCCTTTTGTTATATAAAAAAAGAAAATTATTTTAAAATAGACTGACACACTTACATTTTCTTAGTTGGTTACATTTGATACTATACAAATTAACTTAAACTGCTATGTAGGGAATAATAACAGTTCTAAAATACAAAAAAGATAAAGAACCAGAAAATCTATAGAATGTCAAATTAGGCATCCACGCATTCATATATATATTTACACAAAAAAACAAATGTCATTGCATACTTAACTGAAACCCACAGACTGCACTTAAAAGACCACTTCTCTCACACACACACACAAAGCATTTAACTTGCTGAATTGCACTCTATGACAAGGTGCCTATTTCTCTGACTGCTGGGGAAGTATTTCACAAACAGCTGGGGGAAGGTCCCCTGCACAACCTCCCCCCCCACCCTTGATGAGAAGCATCTGACTACTGATCATTTCCCCTGCACATAGACTGAAAATAAGCACTGAGGAAAAAGAGTAGGGCTTGCAAAGAAGACTGCATACAGGAGACCGATTTCATTTTAGATATACCCTCAATGACAACATGCTTAAATAAATGCATGCATGGTTTCTTATTGATCTACTAAATATGACGTTTTTTGTCTTTTCTTCCTTTCCCAAGGTGATTGTGTAAATTTCAAAAGGTTATGCCAAGCATTGAGTGCTCTTTTTAAATTTACAGATTTCTTGTAAAATTAATGTGAACATCTAGACAACCCACCAACAATTTGTTTTTGATAAGACTAATCTTGTGATGTAAAACAAAGAGCACGTAAGGGCCACTAATCACACACACACACACACACACATTCTTGAAAACATAAAACAATTCTGACTGGCATGTATATTTTGTGCATTTACCTTAATAAAAATAAATAAAAAAAGATTTGCAAAATAAATAAAATAAACCAGTTCAGTTGACAGATTTGTGTAGAAATAGTAATTTTGAATGGTAAATGTACAGAATATCGGTAAATTATCAGTTTGAAAATTCACAGATCAAAATCTGCTCTAAAAAAATATATTAAAGATCAATTTTGGTCGATCCCTAATGGAGAGCATAGTATTCTGCAATTGGGCACCCAGTTGAATAGTTTAACAACTCCATGGCTTTGCCTAGATTATAGATTGGTGAACAAAACAAGGCTTGTTTCAGGAAATTAACAGTGAGTTGTTTTTTTTTTTAACCATTTTATTACATTTTGCAATGTTATAACATAATGCAAAAGACAGGGGGCGAGCACCTGCATATTCCTGCTGCTCTAAAAAAGAAAACCCTAACTTACTTGTAACCCAGTGTACAGAGGGACTTATGCCACAGCTCTTCTCTACCTCCAGTAGATCATTCCTAGTGATAATGTGCTGGCCAAACCAATGCTTCATGCAGTGGGATGCAGGCACTGGCTCTTTTATAAAGTGAGGAAGACGGCACTGTTAACCCCCTAAAGTACTTTAGGCAGGTACTTCACGGCAATTAAGTGGTTATGGTGCCCTAAGCTCACCACACCTTCTTACCTTTAAGTGTTAAACTGTTTTTGAACAGATAAGCACTTAAGTGGAGTTACCCAGGTGACAGCCTAGCTTTCTCTCCTGCTTTTCTCACAAATGAGTAAGCATTCGCTCGAGCTACAGTGATAGTATTAAAGTGGCAACGGATGTGCTCATCCTATCACTGCCACCATAGCAAGCAACGCTTCAGAAAAGTACCGTATATACTATAGTATAAGCAGAGTTTTTCGGCACTGTTTTGTGCTTAAAAACCCCAACTCGGCTTATACTCGAGTCAGTCTGTATTATGGCAACTTACATCGCCATAATACAGACCAGGACCGCCGGGCTCATTACAAGCCCGGCGGTCCTGTTGGGGGCTGACAGTGAGCTGTTACTTACCTTCCTGCAGCTCCCTTCTCCTCTGTGCAACTCCTCTGTCAGCTCCGTTCTGCTCCCAGTGTAAATCTCGCCTTACACTGTAAACAGAACGGAGCTAACAGAGGAGCTGCACGGAGGAGAAGGGAGCTGACAGGAGCTGCAGGAAGGCAAGTAAGAGCTCACTGTCAGCCCCCCCCACTGAACAACCAATGCCACTGGACCACCAGGGCACCATAACTACTTAATTGCCGTGAAGTACCTGCCTAAAGTACTTTAGGGGGTTAACAGTGCCCTCTTCCTCACTTTATAGAAGTGCCAGTGCCTGCATCCCAGTGCTTCTTCATGAACCATTGGTTTGGCCAGCACATCATCACTAGGAATGATCTACTGGAGGTAGATAAGAGCTGTGGCAAAAGTCCCTCTGTACACTGGGTTACAAGTAAGTTAGAGTTTTCTTTTTTAGAGCAGCAGGAATATGCAGGTGCTCGCCCCCTGTCTTTTGCATTATGTTATAACATTGCAAAATGTAATAAAATGGTAAAAAAAAACAACTCACTGTTAATTTCCTGAAACAAGCCTTGTTTCAGAGGAACTGCTATGTTTATATTAAGGTTAATCCAGCCTCTAGTGGCTGTCTCGTTGACAGCTGCTAGACGCGCTTCCCACTGTGGAAATCACAGTGAGAAGACGCCAGCGTCCATAGGAAAGCATTGTGAAAGCTTTCCTATGAGACTGGCTGAATGGGCGCGCGGCTCCTGCCACGCATGCGCATTTAGCCGAGGAGGCGGTGAGATCCCCGCCCGACGCAGGAGAAAGAGGTAAGTTTAACCCCCTTCTACCCCCTAGAGCCCGGCGGGAGGGGGACCCCTAGGGTGGGGGCACCCTGAGGGCACTATAGTGCCAGGAAAAGAGTAAGTTTTCCTGGCACTATAGTGGTCCATTAAAGCATTACTTAATATGGGTAGCCAGCAATCACTACTGCCCAAGCAAATGTTCCGCATTTACAATGATGGCAAAAGAAAAAGCCAGACTGGTGCCTGCACTTATGTGTCAAACCGTGGGATAGCGTTAGAAAAAGGTAAGAAAAAAAAGGTAACTTTGGGCACCATAACCATTTCAATTAAGTAGTTTTATTGCACAGTGGTCCTTTAACGCTAAAATAAACATGAGAGAGCGAGAATACAAAAATTTAACTTTTCCCAATCACAAATCGTGTTTTGTGCAATCCACAGTAAAATGACAAGTCAGCAGAGCCAAATCACTTTGCAAAGCTCATTTCCAAATGAATGTCAATAATAATCCCACAAATAGAACGCTTACCTTGCCCCAACAGTAATGCTACCATTTCTTCATGTCCTTCTCTAGCTGCTTCCATTAGAGGTGTGTAGCCTTCATCGTTCACTTCTTCCAAATTAGCACCACGCTCAATAAGTAAGGCTGCCAGCTCTACATGACCACCACAAGCTGCCAGGGTCAAAGGGGACTCAAAAGAGTCAGCTGGCATATTCACCTGCGCTCCACTGTCAAGAAGCAGTCGAGCAACCTCCACATGGCCGTCCTAAAAGTTTTAAGATTAGATAAAGAAATTTAGACTATCCAGACTATCTTTACAAAACATATGGGGTTCTAAAACAAATTACTTGCAGAGAACTGGCAGACAAGCAACAAACGTTATTACAATGGCGTATCCCTAAACATAGGAAACTGATATGGGTACCATGTCATAACGGTACTAGTTGGCACAATTAAATCAGCACTGTGCAAAAAGAGGATGGCATGAATACACAAGAATAAAAGTATTCACATTTTCCAACAGTGACGTGAATCATTTAATGTTCTATCAGCCTTAAACAAATGGGAAAATAACAAGTCTTGAGTCTGATGGGTGGATAAAATGTCATGCTGATAACTGGATGAGGTTATTTTGTTAATGTCTCCTCCTGCTATTGGTGAATATCAATTTTAGTCCCTAGAACATGTTTTCAAAAAAGGAAAACAGAAAACTATAACCAAAATTCCAGGTGATAGCTACACATGTATTAATACACACATATTCTGAGGCAAAAAATACAGATCTAGAAAAAAAAATTTAAAAAAATCACTAAAATAGCTTCACAAAGGCTGAAAGTACCCCAAATTAAAATAGATTTAAAGTAGCTGTCACCTGAAACTTGCCTATCTCCCACTTCTGCTCTTTTCTTCATTCTAGATTGATTTCTCTTTAAAACATACGACAAAGTAGGGGCTACTTTGTCTTATGTATTTTCCATACGCTTGTCAATTTTGTGGAGTTTAACCCCTTAAGGACCAAACTTCTGGAATAAAAGGGAATCAAAACATGTCACACATGTCATGTGTCCTTAAGGGGTTAAGAAGAGTTTACCTTCTTGCGTTAGCTTGACCAAAGAAATGGAGCTTGCCAAGATTGTCATTTACCTTTTGCCAAGATTGTCAAGTGTAGGGAAAAAAATACATAAGACAAAGTAGTACTTACTTTGTCATATGTTTTGCCGAGAAATAGACCAGAAATTAAAAAAAGAAGCACAAATTCTAAAAGAGGAAACAATAGGAGAAAGGTAAATTTGAAGTGACAGACCCACATTAAAGTGAATTTTATTTTGTACACAGGATCTTACCATGCAGGCTTCCATTAAGGCAGTGTGCATTTCATCTGTCTTATGTTCCTGATCAGCTCCAGCTTCCAACAAGAACCTTACCATCTCTAAATGCCCTAAAATCACGGGGAAAAAAATAAAATAAAATAAGTTTAGTTGTTGTAAATTGAACAATTGCACAGAGGAAAAAAAAATATATTCACATCTAGTCTTTATTCATCTGTTAGTTGTTGATATTTACAAAACCAGACGGGAATGCTCGAAGAAAACAAATGATCTAATAAGCTAAAGGAAATCATCTGCCTAATAAGCAGCACCAGACATAAGTGCAACTATTCTTTAAGTTAATTTTCATATACAATCAGGCAAGAAATAAGTGTAGCCCATCCTCAACACTTTTTCGTTGCTGAATGTGCACACACACAATGATCAGCCACAAACTTAAAGGTGAAGTGACTAGAATTAATTATATTGACACTTCTAATGTGGTGAGATATATTAGGCCGGAAAAATTGTATTGGAATTGTGGTGTAAGCAGGAAAAATGGGCAAGCGAAAATATCTTACTTTGACAAGGGCCAAAGTGTGATGGGTAGACGACTGGGCATCTCCAGAATGGCAAGTCTTTTAGGGTGTGCCTGGGAATGCAATACCTACCAAAAGTGGTGCGAAGGACAACCAGTAAACTGGCAGCAGGATGCACTATGGGAAGAAAATAAGCTGGCGGATACAGAAATATGCTCTGGGAAGCCTTGGGTACTGGCATTCATGTGAATGTTACTTTATCACCTATAGAGATAATTGCAGACCATGTACACCTACCTCTTCATGACAATGGCCCTAGTTTATGACAGTGCCCTCTTTCAGCAGGATAATGCACCCTGCACAAATTGTTCAGGAACGTTTAGAGTTCAACATGTTGCCTTGGCCTCCAAATTCCACAGATCTCTACTCATATTGAGCAACTGTGAGTTGTGCTGGAACAAAAAAATCTGATCCATCAAGGACCCACTTTGCAACTTGCAGGACTTAAAGGATCTGCTGCTAATGTCTTGGTACCAGAAACCACAGGACACATTCAGAGATGTCGCAATGCATTTGAGCTATTTTGGCAGTATGAAGGGGACCTACAGGATATTAGGCAGGTAGTTTTAATGTTGAGGCTGATTAGTATGTCAAGAACTGCAGCAGCACTACTAGAAATGCAGCAACTCAAATCAAGATCAACCATAGCACATTGTTAATGTTCTTAATCCAGATATCACTCTTACCTTTATAGCATGCCAGAGTAAGTGCGCTTTCCTTAAATTCATTGGAATGAGTATTGATTCCTGCTCCATTCTCCAGAAGAACTCTGGCTACTTCCACATGCCCAGCACTCCCTGCCTCCATAAGCGGCGTGTGACCATTCTCATTGTGGTCCTCAATACTAGCACCTGATTCCAGCAGCACTTTAACAACATCTACATACCCGCCAGCACAGGCATACGTAAGTGCTGTGTTTCCTAGAATTAAAATTAAAAGGATATAATTTAAGATTTTATTATTAACTTATTCATTCTTTTCTTTTAAAGCTTTTAAGTTTAAAATCATACTATTGAGTTAATATTGGTTCTGGGAAAATAAAATAATTCACAAATATGCATGAATGTACTACTGATAATTACAAAGGATAAATAGGGTAAAATCCATGTTATGCTCAGACCAAATCATTCATCTTTTCAACCTAAAAGATCCTACCACATTATTCAAAATACGGCAAAATAAACCCAGTTTGAGAAGAAAAGTGTAACACCTCAACATATATACATAAGGTTTTAAGATTTAGGATCACATCCCTTAGCAATATTAAATAGGTGTGAGCCAGAGGTCTTAAATGCCTCCTATTACTGTTATTTTAAGTTTTGATTTCTACAGACTACTGCACTTTTTTTTTTTTTTAAAGAGCTAAAACTATTGATCCCCCGAATTTTTAGCATTATCGGCATCAGCCCCAGACAACTTTTAAGTATAATCAAGTGAACATGCATAAAAATACAACAGAATATCAGACAAAATGTGAAGTGTAGTAGTGTAAGTTCATTTAATATAGTAACATTTAACCAGAAAATGTATATGCAGCTTCATGCACTATGGGGAGCTATAGTGCCAGGAAAACAACCGGTGCTATACTTTCCCTTTAAAGCCAGGGTATCCAGACCGAGGGCATAGGTAGCTGAGCATTTTCCCAGTTTGGCCATTTGGTCTTAAATTCACATTTAAGTCTCACTTTAATGAATAACAATGACAGTTGACCTTGTTGGGATTACAACGCTAGAAACAGATTGTTTAAGTTTTTGGCAAGTATTTCGCAGGCTGCTTGCTATTCTCCTTCAGAATTTTAAAACCATTGATCTCTCTGAAATATTTTGCAAATGTACACAGAAGTCATACACATTCGAAGAGGCAATAGTAAAACAAAATGCACGTGTCCGACAACAAAATAAAGAGAAAGTACAAAATTCAGCCAACCTGTGGATGATTGGGAATTAACATCAGCATCATGGGCTAGCAGCAGTTTCACAATTTCAACATGTCCCCCATTAGCAGCAGCCATTAAAGGCGTTATGTCTCCTTTAATTCCTCGATCTTCAACATTCGCATGCATAGCCAGAAGAACCTGAAACAAAATTTGAAGTGTAAAATTGACTTCAGCTTATGCTAAACAACCCAAATATGTGTATCAGGATGTGGCAGGAGAAAGTATTTTTTTTTCTACTTAATTTAAAGGGTCTAAGTACAGTATAATAAATATATCTAAATCTACATCAGAGGGTAAAAATACTCAATTCTATTGATGTTCCAAAGTAAACAAAAGTAAAACTTTGTAAAGGTCAGAATTCTGCTTGATGGTGAAACTCATTACAATTTGGATTACTTTTGCGAAACTTGTGTATAGGTGCTTGACCTCAAACTATTACAAAGCTCATTAATTTAGGTAGATGATTAGTAAAGTGAAGAAATATTTCCTAGTATTCATTTTTAATATCTTGCAATTAAAGTCGTCCATGAAGCCAGTTAACTGTATACATCTTGAAAATAAACAGCATGACAAAAATGCATAATTTTAACTCTACTAGTTTTACTTTTGTAAATGTAACAGTTTAAAAATATTCACTTATGAACATATTGTATGTACTATTATTGTAGCTTGAACAGTTTGAGCCCTTAGCACCACCCCTTTCAAGGGCACAATAATGTAACAGTTCTTAAAAGTTAAAAAGAATCTGTCATTCAGCACATAATTTAAAGCTGAGCCAGGCTGTCACAGGGATCCAATTTACATAGCTAACAGATTTGCTCACAACACCAATGATATCAGTGAGCAGAACAGCAAGTATACAAGAAAGATAAAGGAGCAAAAATGACGAATTCGTGGGCAGTGAAACAAACGCAAATTATTTGCTTTTCTTATGAACCGTTGAATGACATAAATAAACGGACTACCAATTTTGTCATCACATAACATGACTTTAAAGAAAATATTTTTACCTGTGCAAGTTCATAATATCCAGCTGAACAGGCGAGGCAGAGGAGGGACTCCCCTTCTTCTGTGTGTTCATTCACACTGCGCCCTTCGATGAGTAACTTCCGCACAGCGTTCACATCCCCTTCTGAGCAAGCTTCTGCCAAACTGCGGCTGATAAAACAAAGTCAACATTTTGAAGACCCACCAACCTTTAAAGGAAATACTTTTTTTTTGGAGGGAAAGGGGGAGTTTTCAAAGTCGCTTTAAAAGGGATATGCATCACTGAAAAGTTATTTGTGTTTCCAACCACACTTTTAACCAACTGTACAAGCTAAAATAAAGCAAGGAATCTTTGAAAAGCACAGTCTTCTCCTGAAAAGAAGACCAGGACTTCTATTAATACCCCACCCTGAAAAACGCACCAGGGATTATTTTCAGGGAGAAAACTGTAGCAAGCATGAGCCAGAAAGCAAGTCTACGTTTGGGGGAATTCTCTCGAACACAGATTTGCAGGATTCCATGCCCTAGTGAACTGGTCTATGTTCGGGGGAAACTTCCCTGAACATAGATTAGCGAACTAGCGACAAGGTCTTATTTTCGGGGTAGGGCTTATATTACAAGCTTCCCTCAAAAATAAGCTAGGGTTTATTTTTGAGGATGTCTTAATTTTGGTAAAAAAATTGTATGTAAAACCATTTAAAAGTTACTATAAACTATGAGAGTTTCCTTTCTTGAGCATACCTCTCACCAATCCACACATTCCAGTTTCATAATATAGCACTAACCAATCATGAGTAACTGCACGCTCATGACTTTTGCAAACTAATAAAGGATGCTGAGAGACAGGGGGAGACAAAAAAAAAAAAAAAAAAAACAACACACGTTCTCCACTACCCATTGGTGAGTTGAACTTTAGCCCTTAGCACATCCTGTGATCTCATATGTACTGATTGTGTTGCAAGATGATTCAATTGTGCATGCGCAACTGAGTCTCATGCGCAATTTGATCTTCCACTATTCCTGGAATTTGGACACAGATTGGTAAGATCAGTGCCCCTTTGGGTTTGGCTTTGATACTGCAGAGGACAAGAAGCAGGTAAATATGAAAAAAAATGTATATATTTACTGGCTTTTTCTGCCTGCAGAATGAGAACTCTCACACTCAAATCTAAAGCTTTTGAATGAGGCGATGTCTCAAAGGGGTCACTTTACACCAAAAAAAAAACAAAAACAAAAACAAAAAAAACAACAAGATATATATTTATACAAAAAAATATATAAATCTGGCTATTTATTTCTTTAGTTTAAATTCTACACTTCAAATGCATGTATTGTAAAGGAATTGTGATTTGTGTTTCAATCATGTACTATTGAAATTAGACTAAAATTATAAACATTTACAGTGCAGTAAAGATAACTCACTTGTCCGTCTGCCCTGCATTTGAGGTGCTCTCAGCTCTCATTCTAGTAAGTGCAGCAGCAGCTTCATCCAACGCACAGCTGACAGAGGATGTCAATCGGCGAAGTACTTCAGGATCTGCGAATGCTTTACCATCAGCAGTGGATAATTTACCAATTCCTTATCAAAATTTGCCACCAAGCCAAGTTAGTAGGTGAATATAAAACCAAATAAAAAGTGGGAAAGGAGAGAGAAAAAAGCTGTGTGTTAGTGCGTTCAAAACATGCAAATAATTTAATTAAAAACAAATTAGTAGACAGCTAATTTTAGAATATTTCTGGGTAAGCATTATCACATCACAATTCACAAGAATATAATTACAGTAGGTCAGTGACTTGCCCAATATAGGAAAGCTCTAAAATGCTTAATACTGTATGCTTAATATAAAAAAGTGTTAATGCAAACTTGTTAATTTCATGGCCAATTAAAAACACATGCAGAGGGTTTGAACTTAATATTTTAGGTTTCAATATATTTAGAGAGAAGACAATGACATATGAACTTTCATAAGAAATGCCACAATTTGGACACCAGACATGGCAGTACTTTATCTACTCCAGATTTCCAAATTAAAACAGTTTATGGACATTACTATCAATAGGGAAAAATGCATATGCTTATAGAACACACACGCACTAAATAATTGTTCATGTAAGAAGATCCCAGCAAAATATGGATGTTGAGCTCACAAACACTCTAAAGTGTCTTTAAAACTCACTAGGTCTAGTTTCATGGAGCATATAACAATATAATCTGATGTAAGAAGCACCCTCCCATATTTATAGAGCTGTGTCTATTTTTGCAAGCAAACTAATCTGTCCACAACAGAGTTTAAATATGCACTGATGTAAAAGCCAGACTTTACAGAGTGACTTCACTTAGACCCAATGCACATTAAGGAATACAGTTAACCTTACTAATAGTACTTCAATGTCAATAACACACACAGTCTACTATTGTAGCCCTTTAAGTATCATAGCCACTACAGCTTGCTATTGTGTTTATAGTGACATGGGTGTGCGGAGAGTAAGATGTAACACTGTTTTAGCACGGTTTGACCCCTTATCTGTGTTTCATTAGGTGCCCCGCCATATCAAATCTTCTCCAGCAGAAGAAGCCGGGTGACACTGCAAAGTATAATGCAGTACCGCGATCACTGAGAGCGCTAAGCGGACACTCTTAATCAGAATGTTCACTCATGGTCTGGCTTTGCTCTACAAAGCAATCTAGCATCTCCTGATGTGGAGCAAGCTCCAGGCAAGATTACAGTGTATAACATAGGGCTATGGTGCTTGCAGTATTCCTTTAACCTCTTAAGGACCAAACTTCTGGAATAAAAAGGGAATCATGACATGTCACACACGTCGTGTCCTTAAGGGGTTAACCAGCTGTTCCCACTCGTCTCTTTTTGTAACCACTTGGGAAACATCCGGCTCACAAGTCTTATGTTTGACACCAAAGTATAGTAGTGAGGGATTCAAGCAACCTGCTAAAGTGTGCTGATGTTTTGCATAAAAGCAAGAGTATTTACCTGCAGCTTCAAGCAGAGCCTCCAGCCTAGCCTGTGTTTCAGGATCTACTGTTCTTAGATCTGTACCATCAGCTGTGCCTGATAAAAGAAGTTTGGATGCAGTTTCCAGCATTGGATTTTCCAAATCATCTTGGTCCAAAATGAAGGACTCCACCTGCACGAGAAATAAGGTAACACATTTTATTATTACGCATAACCAGCAAAATCAAAGGCAACAGGTATTTGCTCCAACTGTTCCTCCAATGCGCTTAAATCACTGGGAATATTTTATGTCTAGAGGAGTGACCACTAGAGGTGTTCCTAGGCTGTAATGTAAACACTGCCTTTTCTCTGCCTGTAGGGACTGAATATACATAGTAGTTGTACAGAGTAGCTCTGTAGCTGTTCTGGTGTCTATAGTGTCCCTTTAAGGTAGGCACACATGTAAGCAAGCGGATCATAGCACTGACAAATCGACTAGCAAACAGAATCTAAGGTGTACATATTTTCAAAAATGCTTCACTAATATGGTCTGTAGCCATGAATTCATATGTGTACAAACATGGCAGGCTGTTTCAATGGATGGTGACAACATTTACTTTAACTTTAAAGAGAATTCCATATGACTGATATAACCCATAGAGAGGATTCACTTCAGTGGAAGGCATATACAACAGTTATATTTCATGCCTAAAACCCATTATTTCACTAAAGAGATGATTTTTATAAACGTTATCCGCCTTAAAAGGTAGTTTAGAATGTACTGTATCATATCGAATCAATCAGTCCCAGTAGTATTCCTTTGACGTGTGCATGTTCAGGTGAAACCACCTATTCAGTTCTCTCATATGTACGTGTAGACAACATTACTTTCACATATACTTCTCTATCTTGAAAAATAAAATTGCTGCAGCCATTCTGAATATGCTAAACTTACGACAAAAGTCAGCAACCCACAACACTCATGGTGATTTTAGTTTCAGATTACCAAGGAAACACCAATTATGAGAAGTGCTAGAGTGGAAGGAGAGGTACAAGTGGTCTGCACCTGGCAAAGGTGAGTAGTGGACCCCACCCACCAGAACACAAAAAAAACCTCCAACAGTCAAAACACTACTGATACCACACAACAGTTGCCCCAGTTATTGCGAGAAACAGTAATGTTTACATTTGTCTAAGGACATGCATTTTACAGGCAGTCAGACTGATCGCCACAAGAAGCATTTCCTCATCGAGAGATCAGATTTCCTTTAGTCTTCACATTCAGTTGTCATCATGGTGCCCCAAAAGATCAAGGTACTGGTTTGGTGGATCACTGCCATTGCCACGCATGAACCATATACACCTTGTTCTAGGAGAAGAAAAGTGGACAAAAGTGAAGACTTCACATGCTGAGTGGCTGCTTTATGAAATCTGTTGTGGTGCTGGTTTAAATGTATGTTTCTGACACTGCACCATTTTATTTCTACCCTGGTACAGATCATAGTAAGTGCAATGAACATATGTGACTAAAAGTTTATGCTTACTTTTGAATATTATATCTGGTTTATACAAATGTTCTTAACATCGTTCCCCTTTTACCTACTTTTAATAGGTTAATCTTCCAAAAGGCTGTAAAATTTATTGTGCAACACAGCCTCTCTGTTATTGGAAACATTTAATGTGTTCTCTTACACAGATACAGAGTTCATTCTAATGACTAAAAAAGAAAAAAAAAATGTAATTCCTTTAAAAATATCCTACTTAAAAGCATTTACCTGAGACAGCAAAAATTTGGGACAATATACAAGAATTAAGGGCTCTAGAAAGTGAGGAAACAGCTGACACTTCAGGCATGTAAAGCCATGAAACCTAGGCTCTAAGTTACATATCGCAATGACCAAATTGTGGGTCACCAATAGGACACAAACTAATTTTTTTTGTATTACAGTGAGTGGTTAGAAGGACAGAAGTACTGTTAGCTACAATGTAATAAAAGTGTGTGGTTTGAACAATCTTTTGTGAATGAGCCCAAATAACAGGATTGGATTAACTAGCAAAAGAAATATGAAATGTTTAAAATGTCCTGTTTATTTTGAAACCGCAGTTACAATGTTCCACTCAAGTCAATCGGACATTGTAAATTAGGGTGGGCGATTTAAGATGAGGGTGTCATTATGAATATTAATAGCTATATATAAAATTATAGATATTTGTATGCATATTTTGTACTGAATACACACAAGTTAAATAATGATGCTGATACTTTATTAAACCCACCACTTATCTGATAACGGCTAGCTTAGGTCCTGTGTGCATTAATAAAGAAATGGTGTTGCAATCCGTTCACCTGGTGACCAATGCAGTCTAACCCTAATTATCAGGAGTAGAAGAGCCTCACAGTACAAAACTGCTTTCCAAGCTTCAACTATGCAAACTGCACCTATCGAAGATTCATGACCATTACGTCATGAACTCTTACAAGGACCTGACGGGCACAGTAATCTTTAAATACCAATTGGTTACTGTGCAAGACTTATTGGTCTTGCATATTTCAACTCAACTACATTGATTTGACAGACCATCTACTTTATCTTATGTACTTTACGAGAAAAAAGTCAGGGAAAAAGAACAAAAAAAACTTTCTTCTTATGGCTAACAGCAGAATAAAGGTATAACGTGTGTACTTGTGTGGATAGTCAATTGAATGAATGTGATAGTATTTATGAGAAATGTCACACTTTAAGCCTTTCAGTCTCAAAATGACACGCCACTGAAATACTGTGAATCCTTAGATGGGTTTACTGACAGGGAAATATACAGAACCGACAAGGAGAATTGACCAGGGATTTGCAAATTTTAGCATGCCAGGCTAGCCATTTTATCTGAAAACTAGTATTTCCCTTCCAAGCCAAGTGAATAAACCCCAGAGTTAGTGTGCCACTGAATTTGAAGGAAGGATATACCGGTAGTTTGGCAGTGGTTGTGATGCAATTATTTCATGTAAAGTAATACAATGTTAGAAGTACATTGGTTTCCAATTTTACAGGGTTCCTTCTGGGTTGTTCCCAGGAAAACAGGGATCAGTAAAATTTGTATTAATGGCAGATAATTGAAAGGCATACAGATGAGAAAGCAGGCATGAAAAGAGCACAGATTACTTAAAGGCAGAATTTTCTCTAGATGTAAGGATTGTAAAAGGTGGCATGAAGGAGAGGGAATCTATTTTGCAACAATACGGAAAACCTATCACCCAGTACCCAGAAAAGGCACTTCCGAGGCAATAGGCAGGAAGTCTCCCTTATATTGTGAGCAAAGGTCATAAACAGGCATAGGGCAGAGTCCGGGAGTGTGTGGTTTGTACCTCCAGCAGTGCAAATCACAGTATTTTTTTCCCTTGAAGTCCTGCACTCACTAATGAGTGATGCGAGGGAGCAATTAACGAAGTCAACACCCAATGGAAGTGCAAACCTAAAGGCTCGCACACAGTTCTGCCTTTTATCTTAGGCCACCAGGCACACACTACCAACACACTATGAGGGAGGACAGAGGGAGAGACTCTAGGTAGGGGGCCCGGACATGTCATTAGGGACAAGTGTCATGGACAAGTAGTTTTACTTTTAAATTTCCACATCCCCGTGTTGTGTTGAAAAGTGAATAAATTGTGCTTTAAAAAAAAAGTTAATCTGGTGAATAGTGAATTGTTGCTCTCTAACTTTATACTTTTAGAAATTGACTCATACAAAATAAAGTCTGTTTTGTCAAAACAAATACAAGCAGATCTCAGAGATCCTTTAACCCCTTCAGGACTGAGTCAATTGTACACGTTCTGATCAAAACAAAATGTAAACAAAAACTGGAATTTGCGCTATATGTCTGTTCAACCGTAATTCATCTCTTTCATATTAAGTGCACCCACACATATATCATTTTATTCAGGAGCAACAGGGCTTTAATTTCTCACGAACTATTCATGTATGAAACAATTTATTATGAATAAAATAAACAGAAATTAAAATTTTAACAACACTTTATAGTTGTCTCTACAAGTCACAATACGGTTAGCTTTTACTGCAATAAAATGCACATATTTGTATTCAGAAACGTCTCAACAGTACCCCTCCCCCCCTTTAACAGGTTTTACGGTGTTTTGGACGGTTACAAGGTCAAATATAGCACATTCCATTTTTTTCACATCCAAATTTGCCAGATTAGTAATGTTACTTTTGAGACCGTGTGGTAGCCCAGGAATGAGAATTACCCCCATGGTGGCATACCATGGCAAAAGTAGACAACCCAAGGTATTGCAAGTGGGGTATATGTCCAGTCTTTTTTAGTAGTCACAAACACTGGCCAAAGTTAGCGTTCATATTTGTTTTTGTGTGAAAAAAGCAAAAAACTAATATTTGGCCAATATTTGTGACTAAGTGGCTACTAAAAAAGACTGGACATACCCCATTTGCAAAACCTTCGGTTGTCTTCATTTGCAAAAGGTATGCCATCATGGGGATAATTCTCATTCCTGGGCTACCATATGGTCTCAAAGGCAATATTACCAAAGCAGCAAATTTTAACGTGAAAAAAATAAATGCAAGCCTTATATTTGACTCTCTAGCTTTCCAAAACACCATAAAACCTATACACCAAGGGTTCTGTTATACTTGGGAGACTTCCCTGAACACAAACATTAATGTTGTAAAACATAATTATATCATTAGTAAAAGTGCTGTTCATGTGTGAAAAATGCAAAATACTTATCGAATTTTCCGTCGTATAAGACGACTTTTTAACCCTGGAAAATCTTCTCAAAAGTCGGGGCTTGTCTTATACGCCGGGTATAGGATATAGGGTCGTCTAGATGGCTGCCTAGGGCGCCATATATGAGGGGGCGCCCTGCGCCCCCACCGCCGTCCCTTCTAATGCTGCAGCCGCCTGAGCACTCTATAGAGAGCGCTCAGACGGCTGCCGCACTGCCTCTCTTCTCACCTCCCCTTCCCTGTGCAGAGTGGGTGGCCAAGCTCCTCTTCGTCCTATCAGTCCGGCTGGGTACCGTGCAGTACAGGAGATTCAGTTACCTGTTCCCGGCCGGACTGAAATGAAGTGCACACTGAGTGCTCACTTCCTTTCAGTCCGGCCGGGTACCACGCGGTACAGGAGATTACCTGTTCCCGTCCGGCCGGGAACAGGTAATCTCCTGTACCGCGTGGTACCCGGCCGGACTGACAGGACGAGGAGGAGCTCGGCCACCCACTCTGCACAGGGAAGTGGAGGTGAGAAGAACGTAGGGAGGATTTTGGGGGGGGGGGGAGGGAGTAAAAAGAATGGAGGGGGGGAGGAGTAAAAAAGAATGGAGGGGGAGGAGTAAAAGAATGGAGGGGGGAGGAGCAAAAAGAATGGAGGGGGGAGGAGTAAAAAGAATGGAGGGGAGGAGGAATGAGGGGGGAGGAGTAAAAAGAATGGAGGGGGGGGAGTAAAAGAAGTAAAAGAATGGAGGGGAGGAGTAAAAGAAGGTAGGAGGGGGGAGTAAGAAGGACACAGGAGGAGGGAGGAAGGACACAGGGGAGCAGAAGGACACAGGGAGGGAGGGGGGGGAGTAAGAAGGACACAGGGAGGGGGGAGAAGAAGGACACAGGAGGGAGGGGGAGTAAGAAGGACACAGGGAGGAGGGGGAGCAAGAAGGACACAGGGAGGAGGGGGGAGCACAGGGAAGAGTAAGAAGGACACAGGGAGGGAGGGGGAGTAAGAAGGACACAGGGAGGGAGGGGGAGTAAGAAGGACACAGGGAGGGAGGGGGAGTAGGAAGGACACAGGGAGGGAGGGGGAGTAAGAAGGACACAGGGAGGGAGGGGGAGTAAGAAGGACACAGGGAGGGAGGGGGAGTAAGAAGGACACAGGGAGGGAGGGGGAGTAGTAAGAAGAACATTCTGTATAGTGTATGCTCCATGCCACACATCAGGAGTGCACTTTCCACAATGCCAACAAGCTGGTATAGTGTTTGCCCCATGCCACCCCATTCTGAGTACAGTTTGCCCCATTTCGCCCAGCCTTGGTAGTGTTTGCCCCATGCGCCCCATAAATTCCCCAAATCCAGGTAGCCGAGTCCAGCCCGGTTTAAAATACGGTAGTCACAGCAGAATAAAAGGTTAAGAATTGGCAGTATGCGCATATATCGCAATTAGCCTCCTGTGTGCTAGACCAGCAGGCATGGATTATACGCCCAAACAGCCTGGCACATACCTGGGCTTTAAATGCTATTTCAGATTATCATTATTTAAGGTCTTGCTGTGTAGCTCTGTCTGCTCACTGTACATCATGGCTAATTTTTATTTGGTGTGCATTGGAAGAAGGGTAGTCTTATACGGCGAGTATATCCCAAACTATATTTTAACTGGAAAAGTTGGGGGTCGTTTTATATGCCCAGTCGTCTAATACGCCGGAAAATACGGTAACTTACTAAAGATATTGTTGTAATACAATTTACCATTTTTATGGTGTCTTGGAAAGTTACAGGGTTAAATAGAGTGCTTGCGAATTACATTCTCTGCATTTTTTGTCAGGGTTGTCAGGCATGTCAATCAAATTGTAATTAATAAAATCACATAATTATGCTAAAAGAATATACACGTATATATATATATATTTAAATTCTATGTGTATACTTGTGTAATCATTAATGTAATTATCTATATATACACATGCAGTTATTTGTATTATGTAGATATAGAATGTCATTAAGTGTATTTTGTTACATATATCAAAATACAGTTAGAATGAAATTACATACCTATAATTTATTTTTATTTTTTTAAATATTTCATTTTTTTCATTATTGTAAATATATATATATATATATATATATATATATATATCTCTATATATCATATATATGTAACTTCGTTCTAAGTGTATTTTAATACTACGTTTGACGTTCCATATATAAGGTGTGTGTGTGTGTATATACACACACAATATATATATATATATATATATATATATATATATATATATATATATATATATATATATATATATATATATACACACACACACACACACACACACATATATACACACACACACATACATACATACACACATTTTATTTTAAACAGGTTTAAGAATATTTTTTTTTATACTACCCACCAGCAGGGGGCAGGCAGATTCACAGTAGGGAGCTAATTTCCAGTGGGAGGGCTGCCTGGGCTGTCAGGCAGTCCTCCCAAAGAGGATCGCGGCAGAGGTAAGTCCACCAGAGCTCCTGTGGTAGAAAGCCGGTATGGCTTAATGGTGTTAAGAGGTTAAGATATTAGCAGGATTTACTTTGTTTTACTTTATTTCCAACAGCTTATAAATTTAATGTCATACCTTTTGCATATAACTAAAAATTTTAATCAGATATAAAAAAATAAAAATAAATTATATACACACACTAATCAAACTGAAATAATCCAAATTAAAAAGATTGGGGATTTTCAAAGTACCGGTCATTAAAGAGCAGTAAATTTAATTTATTCTTTACGCATGCGAATGTATAAATTTTAAATTCAAAGCTATTTAAAATAGCCTCTCTCCCAACAACAAATCAACTCTCATTACTAATTGAGGGACAAGGGAGAGCAGGAGAACACTCCCTCAGGCATTTCTCACATTTGCCAGAGTAATATACACAAGGTGTGATTTGTGTCACTCTGTTTAAATCCGGATATTGAAACAGAGTTCCCTGTACCCCGGGTGGGTACCTTTGCCAAGGACCGCTTCCTAGCTGGAACAGAGGACGTTCCAGTGTGGAAGATTCAACAACCTCAGCACTCCTGCCCCTAGTCGTTGTGACCTGACTGTGGTTCTGGAATCACTTCGTCCTATAGCCGAATGGGGAACTCGCTCTATCCACTCCCAGGCACTGGACGACACTCAGTCTTGGGAGCTCTAATCCTTTCAAGGACTTTCCTTGTTGAATCTTCCACACTGGAACAAGCTGGACTAGTGATTAGCCCTTTTCCCTCCCAGTAACCAGACGACAGTTCTGTGAGTACAAGCTGGAATGTTTTATTCTGGCCAGAAGACCCGCTTTTATACAATAGACACAGTTAAGCAAGCCCCTAACACACCCAAACAAACAGGAAAATCCCTTTACTGGACCTGAGAGGGGACTAGTTACAAACTCCTGTGTGCCTGAGAGATTATTGACTCAGGAACTGAACTAACTCTATCTCCAGGCACAGAAAAACATACAATATTACAAAACTCCAAAAATACCTTTAAAACACAATCACCCCACAAAAGTTACATTCCCGGATAGCCCCGATCTCTGTGACCAACATATCCAAAAATCACCCCGATTGGTTCAGGGGTTCGGAATTTCCCTGAAAGTCATGACTGACCGTGCACATGGTCCTATGCCCAAAACAGTTCCATGAAATCAGTGCCAACGGTCAGTCATGTTCGGTAGTTTAAAAACAAACTACTGAACGGAATCCATAGTTCTACCCTGAAGCTTGTTCACCTTGTTCATGGGAACGTTTCCATTGAACAGTGCCCTTCTAATTCGTATAGAACCGAACGTAGGGGATGATGGAAGTCCAGCGGTGTTCGGGAGTTTCTGTGTCCGATTTTAGTTCCATGTGGTACGAATTGCGGCAACCCAGACGAACAATTGGAACACTGCGGTGGAACTATTAACAAGGTGTCAGTTGGGCTTAACAAGCTCCCAGGTGGTCTCTGGCTCGGTTCCTTAACAACATAATCCTAAATCACACAAACCGTAGTTTGCAAGGTATTTTGTATGGCCCATAATCATGGGGCAGGAGGCTGGCTACAAGGCTCCCCCAGGAGCTTGTGGCAAATGGCCAGACCACAGGGTGTTTGTCACAGATGTGCTGATAAGTGAAGCCAACATGTCAGAATCATCATGTAAGGTTGCAATGCATGGAGAAGAGTTCCAAAGCAGGGCCAAATGCTGTGTAGAGGAGGTGAAAGGAAGCAAGGACCAAAACTCCCACAGACCCTGTGTCTAAGGGTCCCACAGACCCTCTGACAAAGGCAGAGCATGGGGCAGCTCTATTAATCATAATAAATTGTATAGTTGTTACTTTAAGAACAGTTATACTTTTAGTTCTACCTGGCATGGCTAGTTAACTTTAAATTACAATGGTTATGGGGAACCACAAAACATTTCACCAAACTGTGGTCAATAGTGAAAGGAAGACATTGTTTAAAAAAAAAAAAAAATTATATATATATATATATATATATATATATATATATATATATATATTTTTTTTTTTATTTTTTTTTAAATGAGGGGAAGGGAGTAAAACAGTAAAAAAAAAAAAAAAAAAATAATATGCAAACCGCAAAAGACATTGACAAGCATAAGAGCATGGATATAGCACATGATCAGATATTGCAGGTACAGAAGTAGCAAAATATATTTTAATATTGGTCATGTGATTGTTATATGGCCTCTATACTCAATATGTCCAAGAACACTAAAGAAATTTATCATAGCATGAATTTGGAAGAGTTTTCATTTTAATACAGTTAAACATTATTGACAATTTCAAAATAGCACCAAACCATATGACTTGGTGATATTCAGAAGAGCCCAAGCATAAGAAATGATTCAGCCAATAGATTAATGGAAACATGGGAGATGGTAATTTGTAATGTTACAAATTAGAAGTAAAGAGGCATGACCGAAAAAATATTACATGTGCCCTCCAAATTAATATAAGTACTGTAGTTTAACTACAGTATCTTTAAACATTTATTTCAGGGCTTGACAAATTTGCTTGGAATCTAGGGGGCACCTAAAAAGGTTAGGAGCCAGAGAAATCACTGCCAAAAATACAATTCTTAAAAGGAACACTATAGTCACCAGAAACACTACAGCTTAATGCAGTTGTTCTGAAATCTATATCCTTGATTTGAGCAAAACAAAAACAAAAAAAAGGAACGGGTTGCTCACTAGAATCTGGATCTTTATAGCTTATTTCATTGTACTTTATTTTATAATGGATATCCTTAGCATTCCAAATGGGTTTGTTATACCATTTGTTATTTTTGGGTTACTATTCCCTGGAAGACCAGCCACCATTAAAACAATGATGTGTTCTCTCTGGTGTATAACATTTCAAATATGTGGAACTATTCATACGTCTCGATACCCAAACTCTGAATGGCACGATTTTAGAAGGCATTCATATCTGGAATACATGGAACCTCCGAACATGGGCAGTGTAGTTTGGGAATAATTTATCATTTGTTTTCTCTTGATCATTAATATTTGACAAGGAGTCTCTTTTCACAGTGATATTATTAGAGAAATTTAGTCAAACAACGTAATTCATTACTCAGTAGATAGAGGTCGTTTGTGTGTGTACTACATTAGGGTATTTTCACGCTTACTTTGTTAAGCAGCAATTTTTTTTCCTTTAGTCACTTAATCTATGCAAATACTGTTTATTGCCTAAGTTCCTAGAGGGTGGGCAGAAGCTATTTAAGTATTAAACACTAATTGCAACTACATATCAAACATCCCGATTCAAAACGGATACATGGTTTGAGGAGATACTTTACCTTTAGTATTTGCTTACAACGATTTCTTCAGCTGTGTAATTTTTTTAATTAGCAATGGAAAGATAGACATCTTTAGTGTGTAACCTTGGTGATCTAGCATAGAATTTATTTTAATAAAAGGTGCTATGCCGTATTTAGGGACTTGGCTCTAAACACGGTGGGGGCGGCATAGCACGTCCCCGCCGTCCCTCCCACTTACCCGGTCGCCAGTGATCCCACGCCGGCGATCGCTGTGTGGAGACTCCCCTGGGCTGTGTGATCGCAAAGTCCTTGCGAGGACCTCACGATCACATGGACGGCATAGTCCATTGCAATGCCAGCAGGGGGAGTGCCTGTAATGACAGGTACTCCCCATGCAGCCTGAAAAGAAAAAAAAAATACATAAAACTATTTAAAACAGTGTAAAATAACATATATACTTAGATCATATATATGATCTAAGTGTGTGTGTAATATATATATATATATACACATATATATATATATACATACATATATATACATATACATATACACACACACAAATATACATACACTGTCTAAGTGTATTTTAATATTTATATATAATATCAAAGTACAAGTACAATAATATTTAATATATTATATATTAAATCTAAAACAAATATATAAATACGTTAAATATATATGTGTAATTTCGTTCTAATTGTATTTTAAAAATATAGATATCAAAATACATGTTGAATGAAATATATCTATATACATAAGTATATACGTATATATATCACTATATTATATAATATATATATATATATATATATATATATATATATAAAAAAAAAAATAGTTCTACGTATATATTTATGTAATAGTTTTACATAATTAGGTAATTTTATTAATTACAATTTGTGGGACCTGCCTGACAACTTAGGCCGAAAGTCCAAGGAATTTAATTTACTACCACTATATTTAACCCTGTAACTTTCCAAGACACCATAAAACCTGTACATGGGGGGTACTGTTTTACTCGGAAGACTTCGCTGAACACAAATATTAGTGTTTCAAAACAGTAAAATGTATTACAACGATGATATCGTCAGTGAAAGTGACATTTTTTGCATTTTTCCACACACAAGTGGCACTTACACGGACGATATTGTTGTGATAGATTTTACTGTTTTGAAACACTAATATTTGTGTTCAGCGAAGTCTCCAGAGTATAACAGTACCCCTCATGTACAGGTTTTATGGTGTCTTGAATGAAAGCCCCGTTTCCCCTGAATAAAATTATATATAATAAGTGTGGGTGCACAAAATATGAAAGAGGCGAATTACGCCTGAACAGACATAGCACAAATTCAAGTTTTTGTTTTTATCACAACGTGTACATTTGGCTCCGTCCTTAAAGGACCACTATAGTGCCAGGAAAACATACTCGTTTTCCTGGCACTATAGTGGCCTGAGGGTGCCCCCACCCTTAGGAACCCCCTCCCACCCGGCTCTGGAAAGGGGAAAGGGGTAAAAACTTACCTTTTTCCAGCGCTGGGCGGAGAGCTTCATAATTCATAATGCTTTCCTATGGACGCTGGCGTGCTCTCACTGTGAAAATCACAGTGAGAAGCACGCAAGCGCCTCTAGCGGCTGTCAATGAGACAGCCACTAGAGGAAATAGGGGAAGGTTTAACCCATTCACAAACATAGCAGTTTCTCTGAAACTGCTATGTTTATGAAAAAATGGGTTAACCCTAGAAGGACCTGGCACCCAGACCACTTCATTAAGCTGAAGTGGTCTGGGTGCCTAGAGTGGTCCTTTAAGGGGTTAACACATGTTCCTCTGTTTGTGTTCATTCTGTAAAAATGTTTACCTCTTTCCTGGTCGAGCATAAGAGTACAAGATACAGTAGATGCATAGACATTGCAAAGGGATAAAGATTTTATAATCAAAATGGCTGCTTATAATAGATCCCCACATCACCTTTAGTACTTTTGCTACTGTATAGTTATATATTTAACAAATTGTAACATTCTTTTGTTTCACTATTGAACTGTAACATGCTAAGATATATCAAAGGTAATGATGGCAATCTTGATTTTGATACCCTCTTTCTTTGAATAACAGTGGTAGAGGACATGGAGATATGCATGCCAAATTTTGCATTGCTCAAACAAATGGTTTCAGAGTAGGAGAGGTGTGAAAAATTTAGCAAAACCCTAAATGGCCACCAAATTACGTCCAGTTATGACCAATCATTATGTGAACATCGGTCACATGAAATAAATAAAGACAACACACAAACAATGTGGAAATCCCAACTAGAGTCTGTATGTGCAGCATTTCAGTATGAAACATTGCACATACAGATATTTAATATTGTTTCCAGAGTCTTAACACCTCTGGCAGTGACACTAGTCATACAGGAACAAAAGTTTGCGGCTGACTTATGGCAGTTCTGTGCATATTCCAATCATATAGGGACATTTATTGGCTGAGAGCACTCCACTGATCCCTTTATCCAAAAAAAAAAAATGAATGTAGAATCAGAATTCTGTTACTGCAAAATCTGGATATGCTGCAGACACCCTTTTCTGTTATGTTCCATCGTATCTAACCACAAAAAAAAACACACACACCAGAATACCAGTACTGCAACAACTAAAGTAAAAAAATGATGGACCATTGTCATAATTTTCCTATGGGGTATGGCTACACCATGTAAGGGCCATCAGGTGGCCCCAAAACTAAGGCCCCAGAGGGGAGGAGCCAAGCGACACCTACAAACCCCTTAACATGGTCCCTTCTACCCACAAAAGGCACCAAACAGATCACCCAACTATAAATAAAGAGATGGGCCGAAAAACTGAAAATGCAAAGCCTGAAACGCTCGACAGACCGGCAATATCAGTGATCTGTGGCGGCAAGCACGCATCCACACGACCGCCAACATGGCCGACTATGCAGACTATGGCTCCAACATATCAGAAGATTTTACAAGTGGGGTTGACAGGCACAACTCACCAGTCCTATGGCCACCGCTCCGGGCTCACCCACCGGCAGAAACAGCACCGGTAATCACAGCGGTCATGAAAACTTCTGGCGGGTCTGCAGCTCACCATACAAACAGACATGGCCCAGATACGTGGAGACCTGCAAGGCCACCTGAGTTGGAAACCAATTCTCGCCGAAACACACAGGACGCGATGCAACTGCAAAAAGCAGTCAGCAACCTGCAACAGACCCATGCAATGGATCTAAAACAAGAAGAATTGGAGAACCAGAGACGGATCATGAATATCAAAATCAGAGGCATTGGTGAGGAGATCCCAGAAGCGGAGATACCGCACTATGTCCGGCGCCTGCTATCCACTCTCCTGCCGCCTCTAGAGGCCAAGCATGCGGTAATGGGTGAGATGTTACGTCTTCCAAGACCAACTAAGGCCCCAGATAGCGCACCAAGGAATCTCCTGGTACACTTCTTAAACCACGGAGACAGAACAGCTGTCCTCCAAGCTATCAGAAAACAAGCACCATATCAGTTTGACAGCAAGCACGATAAGATATATGCAGATCTATCGGGACCGTCTGGCATGGCGCAGCACAATGAAACCATTCACAGCCCTACTCCGCCTGCACGAGATCACATACAATGGAGAAGACCCCAGGCGCTACAGATCCAGCACAACAGTGCAACCTACAAGGTCCAGAACATTCAGAGAGCCACACACACACACCTTCTACCAACTCTGGGGCTCCACAGCGACTCTCTACCCAGCACGGAACCGCCAGCGCCGAAAGGTCCAGCGAGACAACCACAAAGAGCCTCCACAGGGACGGATACCTGAGATTCAAGAACGGTCCTGTACTTTTAACGGAACATGTCAAACCGGGCAACCGGGACATTTACCCCCTTGCAGTTTTCATCCACACACGTTAAAGGACCACTCTAGGCACCCAGACCACTTCAGCTTAATGAAGTGGTCTGGGTGCCAGGTCCAGCTAGGGTTAACCCATTTTTTAATAAACATAGTTTCAGAGAAACTGCTATGTTTATTAATGGGTTAAGCCTTCCCCCTAATCCTCTAGTGGCTGTCTCATTGACAGCCACTAGAGGCGCTTGCGTGCTTCTCACTGTGATTTTCACAGTGAGAGCACGCAAGCGTCCATAGGAAAGCATTACGAATGCTTTCCTATGCGACCGGCTGAATGCGCACGCAGCTCTTGCCGCGCGTGCGCATTCAACCGACGGGGCGGATCGTAGGAGGAGAGCTCTACGCCCAGCGTTGGAAAAAGGTAAGTTTAAACCCCTTTCCCCTTTCCAGAGCCGGGTGGGAGTGGGACCCTGAGGATGGGGGCACCCTCAGGGCACTGTAGTGGTCCTTTAAGGCTCTCTCCATCACCATGGTACTCCCTCCCACCCCAGGGATAAGGGGGCATATCTTCCTACTAAACAGGAGCTCAACACATAAATGCTCACTCAGCAGTGCAAACGCTCCCAGCATAACCTTCCAACTACACTCACAACCTAAAAGCCCTTACCTGCACTGGACCCCGCGAATAGGTGACCACACTCATAGGCACCATAGGCTTTTACACCAGCGATGACACCTACTACCCAAAATAATTCCCCTCAATTCAGAACCTAGTCCCACCTCACGCCAGACATTATCTGTTGAGCACAGTTATATGAAACTTTCTGTCAAGCACTGTTAAAAAGTGAATGTTATCATGCTATCAGTGCCGTTATTGTATGTGTTATCTATTGGGCTCATGACCTGAGTCAAAAAAAAAAAAAAAAAAGGCCCCTGCCCTTTACTAGCAATCTGGACCAGGTTAGCTGTTGGCCTGCAAGACTGTGCAGAGCTGGTTGGAAGTGGTCAGACTTCACTTCTTCCCAGCAGATAGACGACCACCATTCAGGAGAGAGAAGGTAGCCAGCCCAAGCCCACGCTTATGAAATCCAGGCATCTCCAAGCAACTTCAGCCAGCCACCACTTTGCATTCTGGCAGTGAAGGACAAGCAGGTGATCCTGCCTTCGTTCCATAGAGGCGTGGGGGAGGGGGTGATGTCAAGAAGTAGAGCTGGAAGTGACATTACGGACACACAGTAACCGTAAAATGGAATTAGATGTTTGGAATAGAGCAGCAGTTCCCAAACTGTGTGCTGCAGCGCCCTGAGGCACCACGACGTGCACACAGGTGAGCCGCAAGATATTTTCCCGGTGCTATGACCGGGAACTGTGCCTCCCTCTCACCTGCCGGCTCTGCAGGGCCAGAGGGGAGATAAATCTCCCTCTCTGGCCCGCTAGCACTGTAATGCTGGCAGGGGAGGGAGGGAGAAAGGACCCGGGGCAGCTATGACCTGCAGCTCTGCCGGTTCCTCCTCTTGCAAGCTCAGAGTTTTGCTGCGGTTACCACGGCAATGCTCCGAATCTCACGAGAGTGTACTCTAACAGCTCCTGAGGCTGCTAGGATTCACTCTCACCAATGTGTCCCCCTCCCAGGCAAGGGTAAGCAGAGTGGGGGGATATGAAAATTTTGAATTAAATATTATATATTGATTTGCCCTCCCACCTCCACAAACACCACTAACTCCACCTCTCTGCACCCCTTACACACATTGTACCCCTCATGTAACCTGTGTGTGCGCACACACACACACAAACACACACAAACACTGCTGCTCCTATCCTGGCAGATCCTCTAAGTTGTCAAACTGTTCTTAAACAGTTTTACTACTTACTCTGGGAGGACACTACTGGCACAACCAGTACAAAGTGCTGTAGTGGTTATTGTGCCTGGATTGTTTCTTTAAATAATCACTAGTGCCCTTCCCAAGATTAGGTTCTGGATCTACGCTTAAACGGCAAGCATTTCAGCCGAACAGGGACCCAGTGTATGCCGCTGCGCTGTACATATATACAACCTAGAATTTTTTTTTTTACTTGGGGCGCCTTAAAAAAGATTAAAATATTAGGGGTACCTTGAACCTAAAAGGTTTGGAAACCACTGGAATAGAATATGGTATATAAAGACCATACTTGCAAGTTGTACATCAGCACTGAAAGAAGGCAGTCTATGCCAAAACGCGTCTGCTGCTATTTGAGTACTGGATATTTATACTTTTTAATTCTGGGTTACTTTTTTGGTAGTGAGTGGATCTTTGATTTTATATCTCATCATATTGCTTACATTTCAAAGTAATTGTTCCAACACCAGTTTAGCCCAGTACCCAGAGTTTGTATTTATTTTGTATATCTTTATTTGTATCCGGAATATATAATATCCTTTTTGCCAAACATCTGATCCTGTGGCCAGTATTGGCACCTTTGATACAGAGCCTGGTATGACTCTGGGCCATGTCAGTGGTATTCCTACAGTAGCACTAAGGTACTTTCTGTTTTTTTAACAGTTCACACCAGGTTTCTTTTTGTTTCGTTTTAGGCAGTTATCTTGGTATCAACATCCTGTGTAAGGTTGTAAATTTTCTATACATGTTTTACTCTGTTTCTTTTCACTGTGAATATTGTATGCACAGATATTTGTATTTCTATTTTCCTTTAAAGATCTTTGCACTACCCAATGCTTATTGGGCAGATACACAACTTGACTAAGGTGGTAGTGAACAGAACATATTTGCTTTGTACACTGCGATGGATATGACAAGTTATCAAGAGGATTAGTTGTCAATAAACCATCCTTTTTTCTACATCTGACTTACCCTTTTACCTAAGAAAGACCCTAAGTATTTTACATACAAAGTAAACAAATAGAAAAGTACAATGAGAACTTAGAGCAATTCATAATGATAGACAGATAAGTTCGAACATTTTTATAGAGCAGATATCCAGCATTTTACCAATAAATCTGTTTCGGCCTTGTAATTTGCCGATAGCTTATTCACATTTCCCAGTCACCACGCTATCTTCTGCACCTGGAAACACTAGCAGCCAGCAAATGAAATGTCACACCAGATGCATGTGAAGCTCATCTGAAGGCACTGTGCTAAAGCCCTACCAGTAACTGCAGTGTACAAGCTGGAATCTCACTCAACCCAGCATGTACTGGTTGCTTTAGAGTGTTAGGAGTGTGATTGATGTCAGCATGTTCATTTAATGCCAGATGTGTGTTGACTTTCTCAAAACTTTAAAATGTACAGACAATTTGCAACAGCTGTCGGCAACTGGCCTGAAAGTTGACCAATAATACGCATCAGTCCTGGAAAAATATTATCGGTCGATCCCTACAATCCAATGCTCAGTTTTCCAGTAGTGGCGCCAACTATTTTGCAACAGGTCTATGGCTATGATGTGCATCCAATTTCTGCAGCGTCAGGTGCGGATAGCAATTCATTGACTGAAAGCTTCAGCTGACCACTCTCAGCCTATGATCGCAATGTACATAGAAATATGCACAGAATTAACATTGGTCAGTCGGGAACAGTAGTTCCAGAATGGCTGATGACACCCCAATGATGCTGCCAGAGGTGGAGTTACACCTCCGCCAGCAGAGGCAGTAAATCAGCCATGGAACCAAGCTTGAGATGTACATGCCTTACCTCATCTTCCTTTTCACGGTCTCTTCGTCTTCACGTTGGCTTAATCAGCTAAGAGTTATGCAAAATGAATACAAAAGCAGGTCTATGGGAGGTCTTGCAAGACTGCAAGGCATCCTATGGACATGCTGATGAAAAATGAGAAAGTATTTCAGAGCGAAAGATTAGCATTTTAATTCCCTAATAGAATGCCTCAAATAATACCTCCAATAAGTAAAACTTGAGATTAAAAAATAAAGAAAGAAAATAATCCTAACTCAAAGTCATGTTTCATTACTTTCAACATGACACTCAGACTGTAGACTGGTTTATAAGCAAGAAACATAGCAGGCATGAAGGGGTGTGTGTGTGTATGTGTGTATATATATATATATATATATATATATATATATATATATATATATATATATATATATATATATATATATATATATATACACACACACACACACATACATATATACATATATATACATATATACATATATATATATATATATATATATATATATATATATATACACATACATATATATACATACACATACACACACACACACACCATGCCACCTCTAATGTTTATAAATGGGTTAATCCAGCCCTCAAATCCTCTAGTGGCCGTCTCACTGACAGCCGCTAGAGACGCTTGCGTGATTCTCACTGTGAAAAATCACAGTGAGAACACGCAAGTGTCCATAGGAAAGCATTGTAAAAGCTTTCCTATGAGACCGGCTGAATGTGCGCATTCAGCCGAAAGGGAGGATCGGAGGTGGATAGCTCCCCGCCCAGCGCTGGAGAAAGGTAAGTTTTAACCCCTTTCCTCTCCACAGAGCCAGACGGGAGGGGGTCCCTAAGGGTGGGGGCACCCTCAGGGCACTATAGTGGTCCTTTAAGCCCTTTAACCCCTTAAGGACACATGACGTGTGACATGTCATGATTCCCTTTTATTCCAGAAGTTTGGTCCTTAAGGGGTTAAGGAAATGCTAGGCAAACAGACAGCAGACAACTTCAGGCATAAATGTAAGACTGTTGGGGAATTTTTTTTATAACAAAAATGTTAATAGTTTTATGTATTTTAGATTGAGTACCCTGCGGATAAACTAAGCCTGTGTTTGTCATACCATGTGTGAGGACTGTTAAAGTAAAACTATAGTGTTAAGAATACATAATTGTATTCCTAACACTATAGTGCCCTCTAATCCCCCTTCCGCACAGCTCCACCACAGGACAACTTACACATCCAACACCTGTGTCCCTCAGTGCTAGGTGGCAATCCTCATCCACCAACTTCAGCCGATGGGGAATTTGCGCGCATTAGGCCTTCCCCCCCATGGGATAGCACTGCCTTAGTACTTTATGTACAGGAGAAACTCCAGGAAGCACCTCTAGCAGTGGACAACCCTTAACTCTGTAATGTAATGAGCACATTGTAGTTTCTGAAACATTGCAATGTTTTAAATTGTAGTAAGAGAACAGGGACACTACATCCAGACCACTTAAGTAAGATGCAGTGGTCTGGGTGCCTAGAGTATCCCTTTAACACATTAAATACAGTTTAGCAAAGAAATGCAATGTGTTAACATGATTAATTCCCTAAATTTAACTTTTGATACAATGGGCTACTTTAGTTAGCTAAATAACAGTAGCTCTTTATTTTGAAATTACTTTAACAAAGGGGATTCAAATAACCCAAGCAGTCTCAATGGGGTCCCTGCTTCCAACAAGCAAATCACTGTAGGTTGTAGCTCACAGATACCCAAATCAATGTGAGCAATTTGGGGCATGGACATGTTAATAGGGCTGTTAGGATTGAGCACTTCCCAAGCAGTATCTGTATAGTACCAATATGCCCGATTTCAGAGAACTCCTTGAAATAGTATGTAGAGTCCGACACTACCTGAATTAATATAATTTTTCATGGTAGATAGGAGATTCTACTTTAAACAAAGCAGTTATGGAAATAAGAGGGAGTCTAAGGCTCATACTGAGATGGGAATGACCCCCCTTATTCATCCCATAATTAGACCGGTCCTACATTAAGTATAAGCATCACCTAATACAACAAAATTAATTATTAAACATGTTAATGTATGGATGCATACAAGTGGTACACAAACCATTAGACATTTCGGACAGGCTACACCCAAAATGGCACAGTCCACAGCACAGAGAAAGGGAACATGAATGAGGGGTGTTTGTGCGAGAATTTAAATGACCAAATTCCATTAATCGTGTAATTCAGTCTCTTGAAGATTAACTGTATTTTGTAGAACGTTAAATAGATTCAAATATAAGTGCTTAGTGTGTCTAAACCACTTCATTTCTGTTAATCAGTTTTTTCCAGTAATGACATTACAGGTCCATCACTTCCTGTTTTAATACAGTCATGTGACTAGAATAGATGCGAGGCACATGCAATTGCTAGTATTAAAGAAAAAGACTTTAGGCCTATTGGAAAACTGAGATCGGGTTTGGATAAAAAGAATAGAATAGTAGAAAAGCCAACAACACACACACATATGTGTACACACACTATAAAACCAGAAAAAGATTAGTTCAATAAGCAGAGAGAAGTTCTTTTGGAGCATAGCTAAAAGCTTTACGAATTTACTGCAATGTCAGCTTTAAACATCAAGGGGCTACAGAAAACGCTCATTGATCATGCAGTACTTTATAATGCGCAGTTGGATAACCACCCTTATTCAATAGGAGCAATAAAAACCTTCTAAAAACAGAAGTCAAACAAACGGACTAGCGAATTAAATAGGAATTATCAAATTAAACAAATTACTAAAGAAAAAAATCAAAGTAACATTTTAATATAACTCAGGTCAGCAAACTGAAAAAATAGTCAGTCTTATTATAAAGTCACATTTTCAACTTGATCACAACAAAAACGTCGCAGGTGAAAAAAAAATATTACACATACATACCTGCCTAATTTTATATAAATAAAATTAAAATCTATACTGCCCATATAAACTTTTAAAAAGTAAACACGACAGTGAACATGTTGTGTTCCCATATCTGCAATCTAGCTAGGAAATCTTATGACGATGTCGCTCAGATATTATGCAAACAGTCTAAAAGGCAGCAAGGGAGGAGCATATTAGGAGAAAAAAAAAAAAAAGACAGCAATTTTTGTCTTTAAAGTACATGCAGATCTGCAGGCCTCTTGATGCAAAAGAATTGAGTAAGACATATGATACTAAAGCCAGAGAAAGCTGCTTTGCAGACCCCACCTTCTAATGAGTTAATCTAAAGGTCACAAGCACGCAGGCATTTTATGTAATCTAAGGCCCTTTCTTCCTTTTCAGTATTCAGCAGCCACAGCAAACACATAATATTACCAAGTAAGCAAAATGCTGAGTTTATGAACCTTAGTACGGAATACAAATAACCATACGCACAAGGAGAAAACACACAAGGTCTAGCTAATCTTCAAGCCTCTCCTTCACATTATCCAGAGATCCGTCTTTCCCTTTCCCTCCCTCCCCCCTTTCTGCTTTGCAGCATTCTCTCTGGCGGCTACAAGATTCTTAGTACCTCCAGGATGTCTTCTAAAACATATGCTTCCATTTCAGCTGCTGTCTCCACCATGTTTTTTCAAACAGCCATATCCTTTGCTGCACTATGATTAGATCAGTGCCAGCAGGAACCCTCTTCTGTCAGCGAGGGAACAGGAAATGGAAGGTTCTATTCTTGCCCGGAGCAGCTCTGCAGTTTCAGAGCAGGCCTCTACCAACACATAGGGGTGACTCACTGAATATGTTTTAAAGTCATAGGCACATGTTTTTTTCCCTTGCTCATTTAACTCCAAGAGATTTGCCCAGTTAAGAAAAATATAAAAAAAATGTACAGTGTACAAATGCATGTAGAAAAGCAATGGGGTAGATGTTAAGATTACTTGTACTAATGGATAGGATTTAAGAGAAGAAAAAAATGCAAATTCTAGCATTTTAAAAGACAACAAATGTATCAGATTCCATTCTTGAAGTTATAGTTACTACAACATGGTAACTTTGTAGATAAACATTACAAGTGAAAAAAAAAATTTACTTTGTGGGGTGTAGGGTGTATTATCTTCCCTAATAAATTTTGTGCTACTTAAAAGAAAAGATCACTTCATTAACATGGAGACCTGGGTGACTTTAGTGTTCTTTTAAACAGCAACTTAACTATAGAAATAATTCCATAAGATATTTTTATTGAAATAAAACTCTATACAGTGTGAGTATATTAGATTACGATTACAAATTTTAAATCTACGGATTTAACCACTATAAAGCTTATATAGTGCCAAAATCATTACACCTGTACACGCAAGCATTTTTAAGCCACCTCAAATGCCAGCAGGTTGCAATACCTCACGTCTTTCATTATTAACATTTATACAGCGCCAACAGATTCCGTAGTGCTCTACAATATTATAAGAGGGGGAGATTTAACTAAAAATAGGACAATTACTAGAAAAATTACAGGAACGATAGGTTGAAGAGGACCTTGCTCAAACAAGCTTACAGTCTATAGGATGAGCTTACAGCTTTCATTAGAGATCTGACCTATTGGGAGACAAATGCCCTTCAACAATTGTTTTTCATAAACCATGCTTAAAAACCTGGCATACTAACACATTATAGATTGCTGGATGCAGATGAGTGCACAACCAATTGCAAAGAACATCAACCCAGATTTTTAAACAGTGACTGTAAGGTCAGTATAGTGGTCAGAGTCATGTTGTAAAGACACTGTGCAGTCTTTGCGCCATGGGTTTTTGTGTAAAATCCACATGGATTGACATCCATACACTACAAAATAATTTTGAAAATCAAATAACTAAGCTAGTGGGACAGCTAGAAGAACAAAAAATTTAAATTAATGTAAAGAGTGAGATTGCCACTGCAGGCAACGAAGACCAACAGCTGAGGCAACATAATTCATCATAAGTGGTACAATTCTTCATTAGTAGTGATGTGGCGAACATATGAGGTAAACTTTGACCCTGTACCTCATAGTCAGCAGACACGTTCCAACCAAGCAGCAGCAGCAGCAGACCCTCCCTCCCAGACCCTCCCACCTCCTGGACAGCATCCATTTTACATTCATTGTGAAGCTGCATTCTTAGTGGGCTATCCAGGAGGTGGGAGGGTCTGCTGCTGATTGGCTGGAATGTGTCTGCTGACTGTGAGGTACAGGGTCAAAGTTTACCACATATGTTCGCCGAACCGTTCGGGACATCACTATTCATTAGTCCCAGGCCTCTAGCACAATCTCATGTAATCAGTCACTAAGCAGTGTCGTAGACTTACTCCAATTTAATTTTGTGTGTTTTTAAAGTCCCTTAGTTACTCCAGTGTTATGGACCACTTATTTACAAAATAAAGCCCCTTAAGGACCAAACTTCTGGAATAAAAGGGAATCATGACATGTCACGTGTCCTTAAGGGGTTAAAGTGACATATCCGCTTTATAGGTAGACTAGACTTATAAAGCCGATATGTCACTTTCGGGGGTACTTATTTTGCATAGACCTTAAAATGTGACATCTTGGGTACAGTGAAAGGTAGGCTTACTTACCCGACGCTGTCACTACTGCCTTCTTTGGCTCTTGGTACTTAATGCACCAGGAGCACATCAATGCTGTAAACTTGCACATGAGCAAGTGCCTAGTACTGAGGTCTAAGGACGACTGCGCAATATCCTTTAGAGAAAATTTCTCAGAATGTGCGAGACCATGAATGAATCCCACAACTATCACTTGTGGTAGCTGCTGGGATCGGACAAAAAGGTAACTGCCTCCTGTCATCCTCAGAATTACCACAGTAAAGTAGTCCCTACTTTGTCATATGGCACCTTTGGATTGTGCTGCAATTTTAATGAAATTCCAATGCAGTCAGTAACAAATCCGTTCTAGGTAAAGCCAGACTTAAATGTTTGTCACATACTTCAACTAACAGCCATTGCTCATGAAGGAGTGCTCCTGCTCTAAAAACCAACCAGCCAAACAACCAGGATAGTGTTTAAACTAAAGGAAGTTGGTCTAGAGAGTTGTCATTAATGGTAAATTTTCAAGCTGGACAAAAGTGTAAGTGGTGTCCATCAGAGTACTGTTCTGGGACGCTTCTATTTAAACTACTTATAAATGATCTTGCAATAGGCATTGAAAGACATGTTTCAGTGTTTGCAGATGAAACAAAACTCTGTAAAGTAATACAATGTGAGCAGGATATTGCTTTGCTGTAGAGGGATTTAGATAGATTGGGGGACTGGGTACTCAAATGGCAGATGTAATTTAATGTAGAAAAATGCAAAGTCAAGCACTTTGTGATAAAGAATGCACAAGCAACATACAACCTAAATGGTATTGAATTAAAGGACCACTATAGTGCCAGTTAAACATACTCGTTTTCCTGGCACTATAGTGCCCTGAGGGTGCCCCCACCCTCAGGGTCCCCCTCCCGCCTGGCTCTGGAAAGGGGAAAGGGGTTTAAACTTACCTTTTTCCAGCGCTGGGCGGAGAGCTCTCCTCCTTCATTCCGCCCCGTCGGCTGAATGCGCACGCGCGGCAAGAGCTGCGCGTGCGGATTCAGACGGTCGCATAGGAAAGCATTTACAATGCTTTCCTATGGACGCTGGCGTGCTCTCGCTGTGAAAATCACAGTGAGAAGCACGCAAGCGCCTCTAGTGGTTGTTAATGAGACAGCCACTAGAGGCTTTGGGGGAAGGCTTAACCCATTAATAAACATAGCAGTTTCTCTGAAACTGCTATGTTTATTAGAAAATGGGTTAACCCTAGCTGGACCTGGCACCCAGACCACTTCATTAAGCTGAGTGCCTAGAGTGGTCCTTTAAGGATAAAACACAGAAGGATTTGGGAATTGTTATAGAAAAACTTGGCAACAATGTACAATGTGAATTGGCAGTTGCCAATGCCAGCAAGGTATTGTCATGTATAAAAAGGGGTATTAATCCCAGTATGAAAATATCTTTATAAAATAACTGGTCCACACCTGGAATATGCAGGACAATTTTGGACACCTGTGCTAAAAAAGGATATTATGGCACGGAAAAAAAGTACAGAGGCAGGCTACAAAATCAATAAAAAAGGATTGGAATATTTTAGTTATGAAGAAAGGCTAACAAATTAAAATCTCTTTAGTTTAGGAAAACAGCGCCTCAGAGGGGATATGATAGCATTATACAAAAATAGTCTGGGTCAATACAAGCCCTTGCCTGGAAATCTATTGATAAACAAGACACAATGTAACATTTACACAGGAAGAAAGAAGATTTAGTCTAATGCAAAGTAAATGATTTTTTTTTTTTTTACAGCAAGAACAATAAGAATATGGAATTCTCTCCCTGAAGAAGTGTTTTTATCAGAATCAATTCAGATGTTTAAACAGCAATTTGATGAATACTTGCAAAAACCAAATATATTTAAGGATATCATTTTTAATTAGTGGGGTATAATAAACATAAGTAAATAAAAATTTGATACAATGAGAAATCTGTCTGCCATTTTGTGTTCAAGAAGAAATTTTGTTCCTAGTTTGTTGCAAATTGGAAGCGCTTGAAAATTGGGATTTTGCTTCTTTTAGATCAACAGCACAAACAGATGTGATAAAAGCTGAACTTGATGGACGCATGACTCTTTTCAGTTATTTAACGAGCAACAACAACCTGCTATTATTTATAAATCGCAAACAAATTCCGCAGCTCTGTTGACCAACAAGCGAGTAGCTGCAACAAGACATGCTGGACTTACAGTCTATCACCTCTTTTATATACAGTATTTAAGTATACTGAAATGTTTGAAGAAATCAGTTGACTATCAGAAAGTTAAAATGGGAAAGAAAGGCATGTAATTTTTTCCAAAATTTTCAATATACATAAAGGAAAAAAATAGAATTATAATAATTTATACAATTTTAATGACAGTTACCTAATTACTATAATCAAAAATTCTATCTAAATGCAAATCTCTCAAACCAGAACCCCCCCAAAATTTTAGGGTTCGTTTAGGGCAGTTTTTTGGGAAGTCATATTTATAAGTGATTAGCATTTTTGAGAATTTTGATGTATAGTAAAAAGATCTTCCACCATTTACACACTATATATTTATATATATTTATTTAAAATAGAACAATTCTTTTTCTTTTATATTTTCTAAAAGAAATACCCTTAACACAGGGGTTTCCAAACTAGTCCTCAAGTACCCCCTACCAGGCCAGGATTTACAGATTACCCTGTTGTGTCTAAAGTGTTTTTTTTCTTTCTTTCTAAAAAACACCTTAGACACAACTAGTTAATCCCTCAATCCTGGACTGTTATGGGGTACTTGAGGACTGGGTTGGGAACCACTGCCTTAACATATGGGTGTTGAGATTATAGGGGAAAAAAAAAAAATAATCTGAAGTTTGCAATTTGTCTAGTAGTTGCTTTGGTATGTTTAGGGTTTTATTTGCACTCTGGTTTTCTCCTTTTTAAATTATCCTAAAATGTATACAGTTTTGATATAACCAAGAACGTTATGGTGGGGAAAAAGGTAGTTTAAAACCCCTTCAACCTGAAGTCAGTAGGTAGTCAATACATTATTCAACAAAGGTCTACATACACCAGTCAAGCCATGAGACTTGCTTTTCCCACAGAAATCTCAAACTTGCAGTGATGTTCCTACCGCAAGGGATTCTGGGTGGGCAAATGCAAATTATTTCAATAAAGAATCATCTTTATACATACACACAAACTGAATTAGATACTTTAGATACAATCTCTTTAAACAAAGTAGCTCTTTTGCAATTTTTTTATACCAGTTTATTTTCTTTGGTTCGCTGTACAGGCAATCCTCACTTTATGACTGACCTGTTTAACGACGGCTCGGACTTACAACCAGCTCTCCAACATGGGGATTCCTCACGTTCGAGAACTGGTCTATGTTCAGGGAATACTCCCCCAACAGATTAGAGGGATTCCCTGTGTGAAATTTCACCATAGACCTGCACTAGTGCACATGCTCTGTAGCGCACCCCTTACTTACCAATTTGTTTTATGACTGAGTTGAAAAAAAACAGAACACTGTCAATTAGTGAGGAGTGTATGTACAATCATTTAAAATAGCACATAATACTTATATATTTAGTTGATATGAGGACTTTAAAATTGGACTAGAACACATTAACTGCAAATTAACCCCTTCAGGACGGAGTCAATAGTAAACTGGAATTTGCGCTCTTTCATATTATATGCACCTACACTTATATATCATTTTGTTCAGGAGAAACAGGGCTTTCATTTCATATCAAATATTTATATATGAAACAATTTATTATGAATAAAATAAAAACAAATTTTAATAAAAAATAAAAAAAATTTGTAGTTCCGCCTCACATTTTAGCTGTAAATGTCATAATACTATTAGCTTTTACTGCCAAAAAAAAAAAAAGCACATATTTGGATTCAGCAAAGTCTCACGAGTACAACAATACTCCCCACTAACAGTTTTTACTGTGTTTTGGAAAGTTAAAGGGTCAAATATAGCACATTCCATTTTTCAGTTTTTTCACACTGAAATTTGCCAGATTAGTAGTTACCTTTGAGACCATGTGGTAGCCCAGGAATGAGATTTACCCCCATGATGGCATACCATTTGCAAAAGTAGACTACTCAAAGTATTGCAAGTGAGGTATGTTCAGTCTTCTGTAGTAGCCACTTAATCACAAACACTGGCCAAAGTTAGCGTTCATATTTGTTTTTGCGTGAAAAAAAAGCAAAAAAAATAAATATTTGGCCAGTGTTTGTAACAAGTGGCTGCTAAAAATGACTCGACATACCCAGTTTGCAATACCTTGGGTTGTCTACTTTTGCAAATGGTATGTTGTCATGGGGGTAATTCTCATTCATGGGCTACCATACAGTCTCAAAAGGCAACATAACCAATCTGGAAAATTTTAACGTGAAAAAAAATGAAATGCAAGCCTTATATTTGACTCTCTAACTTTCCAAAACACCATAAAACCTGTACATGGGGGGGTACTGTTTTACTTGTATTACAACAATATCATCAGTAAAAGTGCCGTTCATGTGTGAAAAATGCAAAAAAACTTAACTTTAACTAAAAATATCTTTGTTGTAATACAAGTTACCATTTTGAAACACTAATATTTGTGTTCAGCGAAGTCTCCCGAGTAAAACAGTACCCCCCATGTACAGGTTTTATGGTGTCTTGGAAAGTTACAGGGTTAAATATAGTGCTTGCAATTCAAATTCTCTGCACTTTTTGCCTGGGTTGTCAGGCATGTCAATCAAATTTTAACTAATTAAATCACATAATTATGTTAAAATATTACTTAAATATACACGTAGAATTTTAATATATATACATATATATGTATTTAAAGTCTACGTGTACACTTATGTAGTTATTTATGTAATATATATATATATATATATATATATATATATATATATATATATATATATATATATATATATATATACACGGTTATTTGTATTTTATATATAGATATGAAATGTCATTCTAAGTGTATTTTGTTACATATATAGATAGAGAGATAGATAGAGATATATATATCAAAATACAGTTCGAATGAAATTACATATGTATAATTTATTTTTAAATATTTTATTTTATTATATTATTGTATTAATACGTGTATATATACATATATATATATAATATATATAGATGTATAAGTGTAATACTAATATATGTACTTATATTAATATTAGAATACATTACGTATGACGTTACACACACACACACACACACGTATATATATATATCTATAATTTCTTATATATCTATAATATCTGATATATAAAAATGCATTTAATTTATTTTAACATGTGTATTTTAATCTTTTTTTAATACTTCCCACCAGCAGGGGGATTGTCTGACATTTCAGACATTCCCCCTGCTGGCAGATCCACAGCCCGCTATAGAGGGCCACCAGGTAGCCCTGCAGAAGATGATCGCGGCGGAAGTAAATTGGAGCTGCAAGCCGTTACGGCGTTCTATGCCGCCGCAACGGCTTTAAAGCCCATTTAATGCGGGACGGCATAGAACACCGTAACGGTGATGAATTGTGGAATAGATAGAATGTATAAATATGAGATCTAAAGGAAGAATGATGGATACTGGATACAGCTGCGTTTGTTAGCCATTGCAGGAACCCAAACAAATAAAGACATAGGTATTTTAAATTTTGTTCATCCATATTTAAATTTTTGATAGGGATGCGCCGAAATTTTGGCCAAAAATGGATCTATCCCATTTTAGCCGAAAATTAGTCAAATCTGCCAAAAAATTACACCAGGGATGCACAATTCCTATTGACAGACCCCCAGCCCGGCACTGCCATCACCAACAGCCCCCATGACATGGATCTCGGGTGGGGAAGCTCCTGTGCTTCCAGGTGAGCGGGCTGTGTCCGGTGGCCCCAGTCTGGGCTGCCGGCGGGGACCTGCCCTGGCAGGAAATGGAGGACAGGGAGGAACTCCGGATGGTATCTGTCACAGGGAATCTCACGGGGGAGGGAAACCATTGAACGCAGCTGCCGTTAACTTCCCAGCTATTACCTGGGATTCACCATCAGAGTCTGGCGGCAAAGGGGCTGGGGGTCTCTGGTTCCGGCGGGGAGCAGGGTGTGGGGAACTCTGCTGTTAGATCCACCCACCAGGTGGCCCCCTTCTACGAGCAAGGTATGCAGCAAACAGGGGCAGCGGGGGAAAACATAGAATCTCCAAAAAAGTACACACCCTTTTCGAGAATGGAATCGTCCATGTTACGCAGAGGCCCACACTTCCTCAACTGGCGTTCTAGACCACGAGGGAGGAAGCAGGGGTTAGCTTTCGGATTGCTAAATCCACAATTTTTCTTTGACACATCCCCCCTACATAGAGGGTGGGCCCCACAGGAAAAGTGCTGCCCAGTAGTATTCTTAATTTAAATATATTTTTTATTTATTTTTTTTAAATGTGATTAAACATTTTCCCCAATGTTTAACAAAGATGTGTTTGTAACGACAGATATAAAATGTAAATGTTAAAATCCACATTGTTGTATTTAGCTTTCTGTAACTAAGCACCTCCTTAATTGTAAGTAATGGAGATAGATAGAAGCTATGGTATTTCTAACACACTCACTCTGTCACCAGTCACCCCCTCCCTCAGTCATGGTCACCAGTCACCATCTCCCACACTGTGTAATAAAAAGTCTAATATTAAAGGGACACTCCAGGCACCCAGACCACTTCTGCCTATTGGAGTGGTCTGGGTGCCAACTCCCACACCACTTCTGCCTATTGGAGTGGTCTGGGTGCCAACTCCCACTACCCTTAACCCTGCAACTAATTATTGCAGTTTTCATAAACTGCAATAATTACCTTGCAGGGTTAACTTCTCCCCTAGTGGCTGTCTAATAGACAGCCACTAGAGGGCACTTCCGGCTTCATAGCACGCTGTGTGAAGACCTCCAGCGTCGCTCAATTTCCCATAGGAAAGCATTTTCGATGCTTTCCTATGGAGAGCTCTAATGCGCATGCGCGGCATTGCAGTGCATGCACATTAGGTCTCATCACCCGGCGGGCAGGATCAGTCTCCCCCGCCAGCTGACTTGATGAAGGGGAGGAGCAGCGGCGGCCCGAAATCACCGCCGAGGGCATCGGCAGGGGTCTCAGGTAAGTCACTGAAGGGGTTTTCACCCCTTCAGCAACCGGGGAGGAATGGTGGGAAGGAGAGGGGACCTGCAGTGCCAGGAAAAAACGGATTGTTTTCCTGGTAATGCAGAGTCCCTTTAATAAAATTATAGAAAAAAAAAAAAAAAAACTATTTTAAAATCCTTTGGGGAAAAAGTCATTTTCGGTTTTCGGCCAAGGACATCTTGAATTTTCGATTTGAGCGCAGACTTTTCATTTCAGTGCATCCCTAGTTTTTGACTTACGTTTGCACATTCTATACCAATTTTGCTACACTGATCGCACTAAGTTTGAACTTGAACCTTATTGTTCATTTAATTTGAGAGCTCACAGGGGCAAGTTTAGAGTCACTTGATTTTGGCTTCAGAATGTAATCATAAAAGGGACACTATAGGCATCCAGACCACTTTATCTCAATGTTGCCTTGCCTTTTTCAGATAGAACGCATTGTTTTTTTATCTGGACCAATTCCACTCGTGGCTCTCTCTCAAACAGCCACTAAATGGTTCTTTCTGGATATTAGCGGAGTAAAGCTATGCTATCCAAGGTTGGACATAATCACACTTGTATGAGGTCATTTAAAGGACCACTATAGTGCCAGGAAAACATACTTCAGCTACAATGCTTTCCTATGGACGCTGGCGTCTTCTCACTGATTTTCACAGGGAGAAGCACGCAAACCCCTCTAGCGGCTTTCACAAACTTCTACACAAACCTGGCAATAACTAAACATACTGTGAGCAATCGTACTCCTACCTCTCAAGCAGCCATTACATAATCAGTGAGATCCCAGTATGTACAGTGTTGTTACTGTACAGAGTGTGATTGCAGAGCACGAAGATGCCAAACATAGGTCCTGCAAAGATTGCAGACCTATAATAGGAAGCACCTGAAGTAGCGAAGTTACAAACATTAGATGTGTCCTTACAGACAAATGTAAACATCAACATTTCAAAGTAAAGAAAATTTTATAGTCCTTTTGTAGATAGTAATGGAACCACTTCCAGTGCTTACATAGGTCCCATGACAATTATGGACCCAGAACAGAGCTCTCCTATGTTACCAATGAGCAATATATAGTTGCAGTCAATGTCTTTATATAGACATGAAGCATTACATGTTAAAAATTGCGTTGTAAATACAAGGCATTTTTATTTACATTCAGACTAATTTGGGAAACATTTATTAAAAAAAAATGGTGATAGTGATAAAGTGAAAATAAACATTCGTGCTTTTAAAAAGAATATTTTGTATGATCTCTCTTTCAACGGAAAGTCAAAACATTCCCTTCAGTGTAAACAAAGATTTAAAAAAATAATTTGAGGAGATGCTGATTGGCCAGGCCTGTGTTTCAATCAGTCTCAGACAATCCTATGGGGAATCATTGTGATTGGATCAGGCCACCACTTCCACCTTTTTTAGGCAAACAGCATGCAGATCCACTGCTTCTGACTTGAATACAGTAAGATTGTGCTATATTTATGGAGGGATGAGGGGCTTGATTGAGGTTTTATCACTATAGGGTCAGGAATACAGGTTTGTGTTCCTGACCCTAGTAATCTTTTAATGTGCATATAAGCAATTTCTCTTCCCCATTCCACCTCTCCAAAACCATTTCTCCGCTTTTCCATTCCCTAGTATCACCCCCTTTGCCATTTCACCTGGTATATGATGACAGGAGGCTATGATAGTCACTTAAAAGTGTAATTAAGCAATGATGTGTTTGCAAAAAAATAAAATAAAAAAAAACACACGCAGTGACCATTGCTGATCCATTACTCACTGTAATTACTTTAGTTAATACCATTTTTTTAACTTGCACGAAGTTAAGTCGTGCCACAAGCCCTACAAGCAGGATGCATTAGTACTGTCAAAGCTTTCTTTTAATCCTTCACACCTTTTGGTAGTAACTAGGGATCGACACCGATTATCTGTGGCCTTTCAGTCAGATAACATGTACATTTACAGTTTTCATGCAAATCAGCAATTACCTGAACATGTTTCTTATGCAATGTTTTGTGGTTTTTTTCAGTTTTTTTTATCTTTTTAAGAATATGAGTGAAGTGGATGTGGTGTGTGAGAAATTATCTACACACACACAATATTATATATATATATATATATATATATATATATATATATATATATATATATATATATATATATATATATATATATATATATATATACATACACACACACACACACACACACACATATATACATACATATATACATACATACATACACACACAATATAGTTATGGTGGGGAAAAAAAAATGATTGAAAAGCCCTTCCTTCCATCTGAAGTCTGTGGATAGTTAATACAATGTTAAACAAAAATCTGCACACCAGTCAAGCCATAAGACTTTCTTTTCCCACAGAAATCACAAATTTGCAATGATATTACCACCACAAAGGATTTGAAATAATTTGCATATGCCCACCCAGAATCCTTTGCGGTAGTAAAATCACTGCAAATTTGTGATTTCTGTGGGAAAAGAAAGTCTTATGGCTTAACTGGTGTGCAGATTTTTGTTTAACATTCTAATCTTTTTCTAGGATTCTGTGACATTATTATTATTATTATTATTATTATTATACTTTATACCTCTCCCTCCCCGGTTTATCTGTGGCCAGGGAGCAGGACATTTAACTACCTGATGGTTCAGTGCAGAATGCCAGGGGTTTTTATACTGAATTGGGAGCTGCTGGGGGAGATGATAGCAGATCCTCACTGCAACTCTTGCGATGGCTGTGGGTTTACGAGAGTTGGTGAGAGGAGCTGAAGACAGTGTGCGTGCTGAGCCTCCACTGCCACCAGCATTATCTGTATTACAGGGAGATACTGATAATGCCGAATATCACCAGATATTGTCCAGACCAAAAATCGGTCGATCACTAGTAGTAACTTATCAAGAATTACCAATACAACTGTAATCCTGTATTATGTCACCATTATATTTGGCATGACAAGTGCACTTCACACAAACTGATGACTCCCATATGGGCAACAGATTTTGTGCCTGATGGATGTTTCATAATACAAGCGGAGGTAACAGTGAATTTTACAAACATAGCTCCCAATAAAACACCACAAAATCAAATACTCTTTTAAAGTATCAATGCCCACCACACATGCACTGTAGCATATACAATTGACAAAATTATATATAGGAATCGGCCTGAAAGGCAACAGATAATCTGCATCGGCTTAGGAAAAATGCTGTCAATTGATCCCTAGTTTTTACAGCAAATTATTTAACAATATGACATAGTACAATACACAAGGCAGTTAGCAGCACAAAGGAAAAGATTAAGCAACCAAACATATTGTGCTTACCTACAGGACTCCAATTGCGAGAAGGACACTCCAAAAGCAGTGTTCCTGCTGAAACAGACTGAAGGAAATATAGATGGTGGTGCCACAACATCCTCAGGAATGTATAATGGTGCATAATATATGCACCATTATACATAATGTATAAAGTTTCAATGATATAATAAATACAATTTTGTTTTCGTTTGATAAGTCAACACTATTATGGTAAGGAGGAAATACCAGAGATACAATTGGAAGGCATGACATGCACTCGTTAGCACGAAGAAATAAATCCGTAAAAATAACACATGGCATGAGAAATCAATATAACAAAATGGTGAATCTTGCAATTACTTGAGTAAAAGCCAGAAATGCCATATGCCCTTTGAAATGTATTCGTTCAGATAACTTCAAAGCCAACATAAAAGTTAAAGGGTTACTCCACATCAGCTTTTTGAAGTGGTCATGGTGGTAGGAGGATGGCTGTGGATTGTTTCAGTTTTAAATACTGCACATGTGACTTTTGGAGCCAGAAATCTATTCTGGACTGCCAAATGTCAATTTTGTTTTTGTCATCAGTATGCTGGCAACAGACAGAGCAGCAATGGGAGCCTCTCATCTGCTCTGACGCCCACACTTACTGCACCTATCCTAGCCTCCCTATTCCCATCACTTTTTTTTCCCACTCCACCATCCTCTTTCCACTCCCTCGTGGGTTCAGAGAATGCACGTGCACTCTGAGCACGTTAAATACTCCAATCAAAGGCTTTCTCTATGTTGGCCGATAGGTCTGCGCTGAGGAGGAGTCTCGCCTGGTGATGGAGTAACATAAATTGAGATTTATTTAAAAACGCCAAAGTATTTTTTTTGGGGAGGGGGACAGATAGAATAAATCAAATAAGACATTCTATGAACAAAAAGGGTTGGAGAAACCTTTTAATATTCACATAAAAAATTCAAGAGATTCAAGAGATGTGGAACACAGAAATAAACACTGAATTCAGGTATTACTTGTCAAAAAGGTTTTTCAGATTTAAAGGACCACTCTAGCTTAATGAAGTGGTCTGGGTGCCAGGTCCAGCTAGGGTTAACCCATTTTTTCATAAACATAGCAGTTTCAGAGAAACTGCTATGTTTATCAATGGGTTAAGCCTTCCCCCTAATCCTCTAGTGGCTGTCTCATTGACAGCCACTAGAGGCGCTTGCGTGCTTCTCACTGTGATTTTCACAGTGAGAGCACGCCAGCGTCCATAGGAAAGCATTATGAAAGCTTTCCTATGTGACCGGCTGAATGCGCGCCAGCTCTTGCCGCGCGTGCGCATTCAGCCCGGCAGGCGGAGAGCTCTCCGCCCAGCGCTGGAAAAAGGTAAGTTTAAACCCCTTTCCCCTTCCAGAGCCGGGCGGGAGGGGGTCCCTGAGGGTGGGGGCACCCTCAGGGCACTATAGTGCCAGGAAAACGAGTATGTTTTCCTGGCACTATAGTGGTCCTTTAAAGGGAAACTGTGGGCACTGTGCTTGACCTCATCAAAGTGATTCTAGTGTATGAAGTCCTCTGGTGCTGTACTTTCATTAAAGGAACACTCGTGTCAGGCTTACAAACATGTATTCCTGAAACTATAGTTGTAATAACACTATTTAGGAGCCTAGCACCCTCATCTGTCTATAAAAAGGGAATTTACTTGCATTTATGCTAGCGCCGCACCACTCAGCCTCCTTGGCCGAGATTATGAAACCTGACATTAGGAAAGCATTGAGAAGCTATTGTGCATGCGATGAAAAATGCAGCGCTGCACCAATTAGCATCTCCTCATAGAGCTGCATTGAAGAATATTTTATAAACACACACACTAAATGTTACAACCTGTCAAACCTCAGACAGGTTAAAGGGACACTATAGTCACCAGAACAACTACAGCTTAATGTAGTTGTTCTGGTGAGTATAATAGCTCCCTTCAGGCACATCATGTAAAAACTGCCTTTTGAAGGCAAGCCACATAAATGGTGGGTTTAGCACTATAGGGTCAGGAATAAACATATATATTCCTGACCCTACTGATCCTTTAAGAGAAAGTAACATTCTGTTCACGATATGAATTTAATTCAAAGACTTTAGCATTACCCAAACTTCTCTAAATCATCATACTGGGGAAAACAAATAGCTCAGGCTTACAAAGAAGCCGCTAGGACTAAACAAAAGCTGAATGAGTCAAAACAAAGTGGTCAAGGCTTTCAATGCAGCAAGGTATTGTGTTTAACAAGGGGAGGAAATTACTACTGACTCTGGATTCTTTTTAACTGTTCTGCAAACATAACACATTGGCATTACATTTCTCTAATGTAAAATCAACTAATCGGATTAAAATTTAAACTAATCAGTAATTTCCCTTAAAGGAACACATTAGTATTAGGCATATAAATCTGTATTCCTTATGCTATTGTGTTCCTGTTCCTACACTTGTAGGCAGTTACCACCCACCTTGTTACAGCATCGAGACTTCATTGACACTGCCACTATGGAGGAGGCAAAGTCTCCTCTAATGTGGTCCAATCCAGACCTAAAGTGCGTGTTCGGCGAGCGATGCAGGCACAAGAAGCAATGAATCAATACTTTACTACAGGACTTCTGCATCATGTAACCAAGCTTTACTCTGTCAGTGCAGCAGAAGCACCTGTAGTACTTGAAAAAAGGTAGGTTTCTTTTCAAGCCAGTTTTATTAATAGGGAGTCAGTGATTGGCTGAGAGTCAGTTTAACTCTTTCAGCCATTCATTCCTCCAGGAATGACAATTGGAACTGAGGACAAAGAGCAGGGCTGTTTTGGGTTACTGAAAGGTCAGTCTGAGTTGGTAAAAATGTACTGCATGTGTCAGAATTTTAGTCAGGGAGGAGGATGAAACTTTTTTTTTTTTTTTTTTTTTTTAAGAGGTGGTATATAGGTTTAGGCCTTTATTAGATGGACAAGTCTACTCTCAAAAGAATGTGAAACTTTTGGATCTAGGCTAGGCAGCAGAAGTAAACACATAGTTCAGTTCCATAAAGGCTTTTTAATGCTTAGCTTTCTGTATCCCGTTATGATTTATGGTTATTTTCTATGATTAATAAGATGGTCAGTAAATGAAACAAAAAAAACAAAAAAACATAAGTGTGTAGTTTACTTTTGTTTTGCAGATAGGTGTGTATGTGTTTGACGGCATATCTTTCTCCAGCTTATCCTCCACTAGTTTTCCTGGAATTTGTGTATAAAAAGTAATTAATGGCTTCCAAGCATGATTGGGTGATATAATTTGCTTGCCATTACTGCTATTTCTCCAGAATAGAAGTTGCAAGTGATAAACAGGTGGGAGAAGGGTGAAAACACTGCGTGTATCAAAGTATTAAGCCAAGGCCTTATTTTCATCTCGCCCATGTATCAGCAACTTTGTGCTTGACATATTAGTCAACAGCTAGTTTTAGGGAGAGGTTTTTTTTATGCCTAAAATGTCGACTTATCAGCCAACACATACAGTAAATTGCAAGTTTACCTGTCTATTTTAGAATACCATAAACTCTCTATCTACATATAAAACAAATGAATCCAGGATGTAATACTAGATACTTTTTAAAGCATTTAAAAAAGTTCTAAACACAAAACCATGGTATAGCCCATTTCATAACTTCTAACCATTTCAGTTAGTATGGACTCTGGAGATCTTTTTCTGCAATCAAAGCCTAACAAGTGTTTTAATTAATCAGATTTTAAAAATGTGCTACCAATTTGGTATGATTACGCTTATCAATTGTCTTATTCCTTGGTTGCTTCTGTCTAACAAGTTTCTTTTAATCAGCTCCACAAAAGTTCTATTGGTTTCAGGTCAGAGCCATTACCTGGCCATTTTATGGCTCTAGTATCTCACTGGTATAATTTTTTTTGCTATTAACACAAAATCTGCTCACACCTTTTGCTGTCATATAAAGATCATAACACTAACTGGATGCTTTATAGCAGCTGTAATGCATTCAAGCAGCATATCTTCTCCAATTCTTTTTCTAACACCTAATTCCATCACTAGTTTTTCCTTCCTTCTATTTTTCACATAAACTGCGCTTTCACAGATATCACTAAGTTTTATCACTCTAAAAACACTCCTATTTCAAACTCTGTCCCGGACCTTTTGGCAATGCCAAGTAAGGCACTGTAAAACTGACCTAAAGGGCAAGCCTCTGAGCACTCAAAGGTGAGTGCCATAGGTGCATTCATGCACCTTAAGCCACTTCACACTCTAATGTGGCAATCACTCATATGATTTATAGCAGATCCCCAATCACAACACATACAGACACACTTGAAACTGATCATACATGCCTTAACCCTTGTCATCAAGCTTATGTCATCGGATGGTACACAGTACATGTGACAATTGCAGAGAAAATTGAGATAAGAAATGGCTGTCCAAAGTAAAAGATGGAGCAATGATTCCACAGCACACAGATACTCTGCTCGCTAGTAGCCTATGGGGCAAGTCAAGGGTCCACTTTATTTCCTCTGGGTCTCGGTCGTGACTCCCTATTCATAAAACTGGCTTAGAAAGAAACATACCTTTTCCAAGCCAGTTAAGGCGCCTCTCCTCGACAGCACTTCACTCTTCCTGAAACAAATTTCAGAAGCCAGATTTTGCCAGGGGGGAGCGGAGATCAGCGCTGGCGGCAGCTTTGGAGTTTAACCTCTTGAGGTAAAATTATGCCTGGGGGCTTCCTGGCACCATAACTTAATTTACATGAGGTAAACTTTACCTTTAAAATAACCAGTGTATGTAGCATTCACAGAAGACAAAACTGCAACATTCTCTGCTTTACCTTCATAAACAAGCAACTGAAAAAATCAGCAGGGTTAGCACAAAATATACGCTGAGTGAAAACAATGTTTTTCTTAAAACCAGATAAATATTATAAATACAAGTAATTATTTTGTGACAATCATCACCAATTGTGAATATAAAAATAGTTTTGAAAAATTACTGGATGTTCCAGTGGAGCATGCCATGATGAGTACAAAACTACACTTCATAGATTTGTAGATCAAAATTAAAAGGAGCATTGATTAACAACTTTTAAAATAAATATTTCAAAAATGAAATCTAGTGTTCATTCCCTTCATTAAAGGACCACTTTAGCTTAATGAAGTGGTCTGGGTGTCAGTTCCCTCTAGGATTAACCCTTTCTGAGGTAAACATAGCAGTTTCAGAGAAACTGCTCTGTTTACAAATGGGTTAATCCAGCCTCTAGTGGCTGTCTCATTGACAGCCGCTAGATGCGCTTCTCACTGTGGTTTTCACAGTGAGAAGACGCTGCCGTCCATAGGAAAGCATTGAGAATGCTTTCCTATGAGACTGGCTGAATGCGTGAGTGGCTCTTGCCGCGCATGCAGCCGATGACAGCAGAAGATTCCCCAGCACAGAGGGAGCCCGGCGCTGGAAAAGGGTAAAATTTTAACCCCTTCCTTACCCTAGAGCCCGGCAAGTATGTTTTCCTGGCACTATAGTTGTCCTTTAAAAGGTAAAGGAACTGTGATTGCACCATAACAAATCAAAAAATTAAGTTGTTGTGGCACCTAGAGTTCAATGAAGGGATTAAAAGGTCAGTTTAACACCAAAGCTTGCTCTACAGCACCAGATCTCCCTGTCCCCAGTAGCATCTGGTTTCTTTAATGCAGTTTCGTACGGAGTCCATTGAGTAGAAAAATAAAGCATGGGGAGCGTCACCAATTGCAAGAGTTTCCTTCTGGTGTATGTTTTTATACCATGAACCGCTGCCCAGCAAGGAATTACATGAAATATAGATCAAACCACAGCAGTAGTTAAACTCTTCAAAATCTGAGGATTTACATTTTCCTTTTCTTTTTTAATTTGCTTTTCACACTAGGCACCTCATAACGTCACGCATTTGCCTACTAATAAATAATGTTATAGCTTTCATTCTTTAATTTCTGCATTTCTTTGCACAAACTCATTCACCGATCCTTATTTTTTTAAAGAAACAGCAAAGTTTACATTGAAGCACTAAGTCAGCCTCTAGTGGCTGTCTACCAGACAGCCACTAGAAGGCTTCCTGGTTTAAAACGGAACTTTGGTCCAGTATCTGACACTGGATGTCCTCACACTCTGCATGAGAACCTACAGATTCAATGCTTTACTATGGGGAGGTCAAATGCGCGAAGCATTTGCCATGAATGTGCATTAGAGCCTGCTCGTCACAGGACATTGGAGGGGCAGAGTCTCAACCCAGCAACGAGGGACGTCAACACTGGGATCAGGTAAGTAAACCCTTAATTTACTGGGGAGAAGCGGGTCGCGAGGGAGGGGAGAGACCGGGTGAACCATAGTGCTGGGAATACAGCTATGTATTCCTGGCACTACAGTATCCCTTAAATACAAAATCCCCCTTGGAAAGCAATGAATCAGAAGCTTGGATGCATTTGGAAACCATGTGCATCATGTCCTCAATGCTCCTCTATAAGCACGGATTGTACCATCATACTGGAGGCCATGCCTCCTCCATGATGTCATGGAAGGTAGAGAGATAAGAAGAGCAGAGGGCACAACTGTACTGGAAAAAAAATAAGAAACTTAAGACAGGATTGTTATTGGATTGCAATAACATAGTTGCCATAATATATCATCTTCCACAAGGTATGGCATAAATTATAAGTCACTATGTTAAAATACCAAAGTCTATATTCATAACCAAAGTCTCCACGTGTCCGCTTGCAATGCTGCCAAAAGGGAGTATGGTCTGCATGAACTGGAGGCGCAGACCACTTTTTGCAATACTGGTGCTCACTAAATGACTTAAAGGGACACTATAGTCACCAGAACAACTACAGCTTATGGAATATGTTCTGGCGAGTAGAATAATGACATTCAGGCTTTTTGCTGTAAAAACTGTCTTTTCAGAGAAAAATGCATCCAAACATTCAGTGTCTCCTCCCTCTGCATGCAGACACTGAACTTTCTTCATAGAGATTCATTGATTCAATTCATCTCTAAGAGGAGATGCTGATTGGCCAGGGCTGTGTTTCAATCATGCTGGCTCTGCCCCTGATCTTTGTCAGTCTCAGCCAATCCTATGGGAAAGCATTGTGATTGGATCATGTACCACTTCTGATGAAGTTAGCAGGCAGGTCAAAAGGAAACCGGGACAAAGCCTGCAGCTTCAGGCTTGAATAAAAGTAAGATATTACTATATTTAAGGAGGCAAGATGGTGGTTTTAACCATATAGGGTCAGGAATACATGTTTGTGTTCCTGACCCTATAGTGCTCCTTTAAAAACACAGCCACCCGCAAACTGCACTCTGAATTATCACTGAGCACTAGGACTGGAAGCAGCCATTACTGTGTGTGTCCACCAGCTGGAGACAATTAGAACATTTAGCCTACTGAACCACCATGAATTGTAACCTTGCAGAAAGATAAGCAGGATGTAGAAAAAACACATGGAACCACTACACATACACATTACACACACTAAACTGAGATAGGAGATGAGTAACAATACTGAGTTCTCTAAGAAAGAACCCCTACCTTTCCAAGTGCAATACTTTGTGTGTCAGAAGAAATATATTGTCATGAGAGACAAGCCTTTTTAAAGTTTGAGGAAAAATTGATCATCTTAAGACATACATTTACAATGGGATTTTTGGGCGCTCTATATAACAACTGTCTGCTGGTTCAACTGGTTTCCACTTTAGCAAGATCAGAGTTAAATCCTTGCTTGCATTGGGGGACGAAAGCTTGGAGGGTCCATAGCACATTCACCAGGGGTGAATTTCTACACGCCAATCGTGATATATGCATGTCAACATTTCAGAACTCTTTCTGTCCTTTCTTAAACTTGGAGGCCCGAAACAGAGGCATGCAATAAAAAGGAATTTTTTATTTATTTATTTTAATGCAATTTCAAGACTTGTGGGTGCACATATTCTTTCCATTTCTGTGATTGTGTGTGTATACATACACGCGCACACACGTATAGGACTAATGGAAATCTTGACCGTAGATATAGAGATATGTATACACACACGCAGTTACTATGCATGTTTTAGGTTTTGTGACCTCTATAATTGCACAATTCTGTAGCATTACATTATTAAATGGCAAAAAATGATAAACCTATGCAAATGAGGTACCTCGAAAATCAAGATAAAATATGTTTTGCTGTATTTTCATTAGCTGCACTATTTACAATAAAATAAAAAAAATAAAAAAACGATCTGAAATATTTTATTGGATACAGGGAAAGGTGATTTTGCGCACACAATGGATGCTTGATGAGATAATCTGCAACATAGACAGCTATCATAGGGCAATATGCATAAACCAATAACTGGTATAGGAAATAATTAGAAGCACTCACACTTTAGAGAGCCATATGAGTCGGCTCTCTACTGTAGTAGCATGTAGAATACTCTGTAGTTGAAATGGTCCCCCAGGAACAAAAGTCTGGATACAATCAGGAACCAAAATTTAAATATAAATAAAGTATTTTATTTGGAAATAAAAGCTGGATAAGCACAACGCATTTCGATCATTCAAAAGGGTCTTCCTCAGGTGCAATACTAGTACAAACATGCAGTATACTTTTATACCTAACTAAATTACAAAATAACACACACGTGACAAAATAAAACCCCACCCACGGCAAACATCCGAACCAAACCACCATCTTGAAAAGGTCACCCTATATGAACTTATAATGCAAGGACTCCATTTTGGGAGGGGAATGGGAGCCGGAATTCCCATATATGGGTCTGGGTGGGTGGGGTTTTATTTTTTCACGTGTGTGTTATTTTGTAATTTAGTTAGGTATAAAAGTATACTGCAGGTTTGTACTAGTATTGCACCTGAGGAAGACCCTTTTGAATGGTAGAAACGCGTTGTGCTTATCCAGTTTTTATTTCCAAATAAAATACTTTATTCATAATTTTATTTTTGGTTCTTGATTGTATCCAGACTTTTGTTCCTGGAGGAACATTTCAACTACAGAGTATTCTACATGCTACTACAGTAGAGAGCCGACTCATATGGCTCTCTAAAGTGTGAGTGCTCCTAATTATTTCCTATACCAGTTATTGGTTTATGCATATTGCCCTATGATAGCTGTCTATGTTGCAGATTATCTCATCAAAGCATCCATTGTGTGCGCAAAACCACCTTCCCCTGTATCCATTTGTATTAAAGGACCACTCTAGGCACGCAGACCACTTCAGCTTAATGAAGTGGTCTGGGTGCCAGGTCCAGCTAGGGTTAACCCATTTTTTTATAAACATAGCAGTTTCAGAGAAACTGCTATGTTTATAAATGGGTTAATCCAGCCCTCAAATCCTCTAGTGGCTGTCTCATTGACAGCCGCTAGAGGCACTTGCGTGATTCTCACTGTGAAAATGCGCAAGCGTCCATAGGAAAGCATTGTAAATGCTTTCCTATGAGACCGGCTGAATGTGCGCGCAGCTCTTGCGCATTCAGCCAAAAGGGAGGAGGGGAGGCGGAGAGGAGAGCGCCCCGCCCGGCGCTGGAGAAAGGTAAGTTAACCCCTTTCCTCTCCCCAGAGCCGGGCAGGAGGGAGACCCTGAGGGTGAGGGCACCCTCAGGGCACTTTAGTGCCAGGAAAACAAGTATGTTTTTCTGGCACTATAGTGGTCCTTTAATGTAAGTGTTTTAAGGTGACAAACACTGGTTTGGTTTTAGACGCACTGGGATTTGTTATCTATTTTTTGTTTAGCGCCACTTATCCAATTGTTTGTGTTTGAAATATTTTATTACCTTTCTCATTTTAGTATAAATGTACTCGTTATAAAAGAGCAAAAACTGCCTGTATTTTAAAACCCATAAAAAATGTGTATCTGTACATGACATACAAAAGTGGAAAATCACAGTTGAACAAGAAGTTTTTATTTTGGTAATGTTGACAAAGGTCTTAGTCTTTAAGGGGTTAAATGCACTGTACTTTGCATATCAACATTGGTTGACAGACCAATAATTTACAAAGTGAACCTATGCCTGGAAAAATACAACTATATCACTTATTCCCAGTTAACTATTTTTGTAAAGGCATTCGTAAATGAAGAACCCACCAACTAAGACAAATGTAAAGCAAAAACAGATGTGTCCAAATTCTGTATAATATGAAAAAAAACAAAAACACATCAAGTATGCAAAAACACAAGAAAACCCTGATGGCTACTACAAACTGTGTGACTCAGACACTTGTTGCAGCCCTACCCAAACACTTTATGGTGCACAAAACTAGGTAATTTGGAAATAAAATGTACTCATTCCATGTATGGCAGGCCATTTATACATGTGTTTATTATTCTACTACTACAGATTGTAATGCCAAACTCTGTTGTCCAAAACACGTATAATAATAAAAAAAAAAAAAATTTAAATGGGAATTTTATGTTACTAGAAACAAAGGCATTGAAATGGTTTTATATTTTTTTTCTTTAAACGTAAGTGTTTATCTTATGACCTACACCCTAGTTAACTGTTCTTTAAGAGATATATATATATATATATATATAAAAAAAAAAGCCATGGCTACAAAGGCCTCTGATTTTTGTTTTCATACACTATGCAGTTTTACTATACTGCACATGCAGTATGAGAATATAATTATTTATGTCATAGTTTTAAAAAAAAAAAAAAAAAGAAAGAAAAAAGTGAAGGCCGCTACACTTAATATTTTCACTGACAATTGTCACAGCGAGAATGGGCCAAACAAACCTAACACAAATTGACTATAATGGGGGTAGTTTGTTTGTTTTTAGAGTGATTAGTTGGAAATAAAGCTAACAAAGTTTTTCTCCCCCCAGTACAATGTATCCAGTGCCATGTGCGCCCCAAGAAACTGCCTTAAAGGACAAGTTTAGCTGTAAGTTTCTACTACTTCCAGGGCTGTGAGGGAAATGCATGGCTTGCCATGAGGATCCAGTGTCAAGGCCTACCTGGCTAACGCAGCTCCTCAGGCCAGTGCGGGCATTTACTGCCTCAATATCTGTGGAGGAGCCCACAGCTCATTAGTGAGTTTACCCCCCCCCCCCTCCTCCATATCGTCTCTCAGTCACACCCAGACACACACACTGCCCACCTCGGACACCTCTTCCTCCTCCTCCTCCTCTTCCTGGCTGCTGCTGCTGCCGCCACTCTCGCTGCTCTTGTCGGTGTCGCTGCTGCTGGCGGTGCGGCTGCTCCGGCTCCTTTTCTGCCGGCAGCTGTGTCCCGGGGGGAGCAGGGCCCCGGTGGGCGAGGCGTCGCTGCCCTGGTGTCTCCGCTGTCGCTGTTGCTTCTTCTTGAGGAGCAGGTCGCACATCCTGACCAGGCCGCGGGCAGACTTGCTGAGCTCGGCCGGGGCTTCGCTGCTCGGCCCGTGGCTCCCGTTCGTGACCTGGCTCGGGATCTTCTCTACCACTTCTGCTGTCTCGTCCTCCTCCTCTTCGTGGGTTCTGCTCGGTGGCGGCGGTTGCTGCTGCGGGTCCTGTGAGGGTGCTGGCGGTAACGGCGGCTCCATCATCATCATGTCTTCCCCGGCCTCCTCCTTCTTGTACGGACACTGCGCTGCTTGCTGCTGGGTTCTAGCAGCGCTTTTGTCGAATCTCGCGAGGGCTGTGACGTCAGCGAGATCTCCTCCGAAAGCTGCTAACCTGCGAGAGGGGGAGGGAGGAGACAGAGAGTAACGTTAAAGCGTACAAGGGGCGCGTGAGCGCGCAGACAGGCAGGCCCGTGCACGTCGCAACACACGCACTGCCTCAATAGCGCACCAACCTCTGCTCTGGCCTTCCCCCACTCCGCCCCACCCTCCTCAACTTCTTCACCTCCTCAAAGCTAGGGGGGCAGACGTTTATTGATCATGCGGGCTTTTTTCTACCCCTAATCCACCCGGTTTATTGTCTCCTGTCAGCAAACAGGGCTTCTTTACACTAATATCACCGCCCGCCGGACACCACTTGTTTTCACTATATTTACACGGTTTATTTGCTTTGGCTTTCGTTATAGTGTCCGCTTGTTCGGGCGGGGTGGGCACAGGGCAGTCACCGCCCGCTGCCGTGTGAGATCGCGAGCTCTCTCTCTCTCCCTGCGTGTCCCGTGAGGTGTTCTCCGCCGCGCGCTTTAGCAGCTCTTCACGGCCCCCCGCCCACTAAGCTCACTCTCCCTCCCGCGTGGTGACGTCACGCAGCGCTGAGAAGGCTCTCTGCTAGGCGCGCTCACGGCTGCTGCGGGGATAGAGGAGGTGGTAGGAGTGATGTGCGGCGGGAGCGCGCTTTGCCAGGGTCAAGTGAGGAGAAACAATGTTGGACCACCTGAGTGAGGTGCCATGGCACAAAGGGAATCTATGTGGGTGGTACTGTCTGCATTGCATTTAATAAAGTATTTCAACTAACAATATTATTAACCAGCTGACATAGACAGGGAAAAGAATAGGATGTGAGTGGGAGACCATCAGAATCTATTCTGGTATTAGAATTTTAAATGAGTTTGACAACTCTTTTTACATTGCTAAGTGAATCAGACAAGATTGCTTAGTTATAAATAACACTCAGGCTATCATAGCACCTTCATGGGAATTAAGTTGTTATGGTGCCAGAAGGTACCTTTACGATTTTAACCTCAAAAATCCAGCGCTGTTTAGCTCTGCCCCAGCCCTTCTGCTTCTTGCTGATTCTTGAAACTGATTGGACGAGTGCGTCAGCTGGTGCTCTAAGCCAATCATTACCTTCCAATTCACAAAACAGCTTTACAACATTCATACTTTTCTCAAGATGTTTTTATGAATCGGTAGCTAAAAATGATCAACTCTAATGCACCCTGGCCTTACCTGACGCTCTAAGCCAGGCATAGGCAACCTTCGGCACTCCAGATGTTTTGGACTACACCTCTCAAGATGCTTTGCCAGCATTATGGGTGTAAGAGCCTTATGAGGGATGTAGTCCACAATATCTGGAGTGCCAAAGGTTGCCTATCCCTGCTCTAAGCAATAGAGCGTCAGGTGAGGCCATAATGGACTAAAATTGATCATTTTTTAAAAAATTGTTTTGTTTTTCTAATAAAATTAGATTGTTTTTATTTTGAACAAATTTTTTTTTCATAATTAAAGTTTATTATTTTATATTCAAATAATCCATCAACATTGCCGCAGCAAAAAGTACACATGTTCTTCCGTTACAGTTACACAAGTGTGAGGTTAAACACCCTGCCATACAGTTACTCAGTCGGGTTTAGCTTACAATGAGGTACCGGTATACATGGATGTGCCAGCATAGTGTTCGCTAGCAGCAAAGGTTGGGGAAGGAGGTGGACTCGTACCCGCCTGTGTAGGCTGGTCCTAAGACCCTTTTTATACTGTAGTCTAAAGAAATTATGATGACTTGAAAAGCACGTGATATAGTTCAAATCAAATAGTCAAACAAATCAAAATAAACCTTAACATTCAGAGACCTAACGCTGATGATACTGGTGATATCGAATGAACTAAAGTCCTAAAAACCAGGTTGTGAGATCGGGTATTGGTGGACAGTGCGTCCAGAGATTCAGACTATGTCTCGTTAACTATAGCCTATATTTGCCCTCTTGCGCCCCATCGTGCCCCTATATTTTTATTTTATGTACCTAAAGAGTTTAGCTAAGCTGACTGCTCAACCCAAGCTGGGAGATGATGGGTACAGGGCTTCCTAGATCTTCATTATTTTTAATTTTGCATTCAGGGAGAGAATAGACATACGCTTATATGCGTAGTTAAGGTTTATTTTATCTAGCAGCATTATTTCCTTGGGACACAAGTTTGATTTCCAATTTAAAGCAATAAGGGCTCTAGCTGCAAGGGCAATGTGCAATACCAAGGCCCTATCATGGAAGGTAAGTTGAGGTGGAAATTCCAACCAGAGATACACCTCTAATGGAATCTGTAGGTTGAGTGATGCCACCAATTTTGCCACTGTGGCCCAGAGTGGTTGAATCTCCCAGCAGTCCCACCAAATGTGGAACATGGTGCCTCTGTCCAAGCCACATCGCCAGCATACTGTTTTATACATATGGTTTCGTTTGTCAGGCGTGAGGTACCAGTGGTATATAAGATTGAGGTGGTCTATATGCAAGAAGCATCTAGTAACAGGACGTAATGCATTTAGTCTCTTAATCCACCTCTCCCTTGGGATGACCTTCCCTGTGTCTCTAGGGCCATGGGGGTCCTAGTCCTGGGGGTGATCTGGGCTTTATAACAGTTGGAGAGGAGTTTGGTCTTCAGTGGGGTTGACCAGCACGAGGCCAGCAAATGCTCATCTTAGTTAGCGTCATCCCTCTCATCTTGGTTAGCGTCATCCTTATTGTAATCCACATGTTCTAGTAGTGCACTTTTAAGTTGCAGATAGAGAAATGTAAATTTTGATGGCAATTGAAATGTTTCTTGTAGGGATGGGAATGGGACCAGTGTTCCCCCAGATATTAGCTGTGATAAGTTCTTAAGTCTCTGATTTTCCCAGTGGCGTATAGACAGCCATGGGGAGATAGCTCTCAAAGCATCTATTGGCGCTAGCCTGTGGAATTTGGAAGGTGAGTGTCTCGTATTGTGAAATGCATCCCAGGCAGCAATTGTCGCTTGTGTGGTTGGGTATGAGGGGGAGGGGAAGGGGGCCACATGCGTGAATCTCCTGGCATTTGCTGGCGCTCCATAGCTACCCATCCCAACAATCCACACGGTGTGTGGAGGCTAATGGCCTGGGCCAAAAGAGCCGCTCTGCAATACCTTCCAATTATCTAATTCTTGTCTTAATGTTGTGATTATGTTTGAATAGTGTTGCCATTGATTTAGTAATTTGTACTACCAGATAAACCACATAGTTCTCCCTCCAGTCAAACTGGAAAAGTTTGGAAATAATCAATTTTTTGTTGTGGAGCATGTTGATAGGCAATGCCTGAGTCTTATTGGTACTGAGTTTGTAGTAAGAGACCGAACCGAAGGCGGTCAGCAGCTCTGTTAGTTTTGGAAGGGATGTTTCGGATAGGGCAATCGTTAAAATTAGATCGTCTGCAAATAACGACAAGTTTTGGGTCCGCTTTTCTATCGCTATCCCATGTATATCTGGGGATACCCGAATGAGCCGAGCCAGTGGTTCCAAACACAGAATAAACAAAAGGGGGGACTGGTGGCAGCCCTGCCTGTTCACATTGGTTATATCATGTGAAGAGGATATAAAACCAGCGTATAGTGCCATTATTGCTGTTATGAATGATGTAGGGAGTCCGAACCTTCCCAGCACCTCTGTCGTGTATAGCCAATTGAGCCTGTCGAAGGCCTTCTCCGCGTCCAGCGCTAAGAGAAGACCCTTGCTCAATTCCTCTGTGATATGGTGGATCACATTTAAGAGATGCCTGGAGCTGTATGACCCTTGCTTCCCTTTGATGAAGTCTAGAAAGACATTTATCTGTTGTAACGTTGGGCCATGTGTGGATGGGTCATCTTTTAGGTTATACAGCGAGTTATGGTATTTGGCAAATTCCTGGACAATTTTGTCTGGATTCATAATTTTGTTGCCTTGAGTCATGTGTATAAACACAATCTTTGCGGACATTGCCCCTTTTTTTTAATTGGGAGGCTAGGACAGCTCCAGCTCTGCTGCCATATTCAAAGTTGCGCTGGTTAAATCTGCGAAGCAAAAAAAATTAGTTTTGGCTAGTTCTAAGTCTTATAATTGGCATTGGATTTATTTTATATCTAGTGCTTCCTGGGGTGAAGGGGCTGATTTATTTAATGAGGATAGTTCCACTAACCTTTTAGTAAGGTCTAAGTAGACTTTAAGTATCTGTGCTTTAGCATGTGTCGTGTGCTTAATTAGTACCCCTCTTCCGTAAGCCTTATACGCTAACCATTGCGATTCTGGCTCAGTGCCTGGTACCTTGTTAGTTGCAAAGTACAGGTTTATTTCTTTACGGATGTCTGCAAGTATTTACGGGTTTGTGAGAAGGTGCTCATTCATACGCCAAGAGCCTCTCCCTTTAGTGGGAAATTGTTACCCCAGTTGCATCGTGATCGGTGACCACGAGATGAGGCCCACCGTACTCTTGTTTACCCTCGTCACCATCGAGCTATGTATAAGAAATCGGTCTATCCGGGAGTACGAATTGTAAGCAAGACAGTGGAGCTTATAGTCCTTCTCCAAAGGGTGTGTCACCCTCCACGAATCTATGTATCCATGTGTCAAAAGGATTTATATCAGTTTTGTGTTGTTGAGCATCGTGGAATGAGCCACATCCCCCAGAGTATGTAACATCCATCTAGTCGTCTAATATAAAGTTAGAATCTCCTCCAATAATCACCTCCCTCAGCCTCCATTTATCAATTTTTTAAAACACATTTTCTAAGAATGCTAGTTGGTCAGTATGTGGTGCGTATATATCTTAACTAGCGTGTACTGCGCATTATTGAAATAGCATTGTGTTATTAAGTACCTTCCATTCTTATCCGCATGTTTTACCACCAACGAAAAGGCTATATTTTTGCTTATAAGGATTCAAACTCCCCTTTTCTTTTTTGAAAAGCATGCATGAAAGTCTACCGGGGACTGCAAAGAGTTAAATCTGGGACGGTTTGATCAAATTTATTTTAACGAAATGCTTTAACTGACAGAATTAAATTACAAGCTTTAAAAAAAATGGCACTGTCTCCAGCTAATTTTCTAGCATTGTCAATATCCGGTACCAGGATCAAACATTAAAAGGACACTATAGTCACGGTTATGTTGTGGTTAGTATAGTCAGTCCCTGCAGGAATTTTGCAGTGAACACTGTCTTTTCAGAACAAAAAAGGCAGTGTTTACATTACAGCCTAGGAACACCTCCAGTGGTTACTAGAGGTGCTTACTGGGGCAGTGCTGCACAGTATGAGACACTGAACTTTACTCATTGAGATGCATTGATTCAATGCATCTCCATGAGGAGATACTGATTAGGCAGGGTGGTGTTTAGCTCTGCCCTTGGCGCGCCTCTTTGGCTGAGATCATCATAATTGACTATCTCCGCCAATCCAATGCTTTCTTATGAGAAAGCATTTTGATTGGTTGAGATCATCACTTCTGATGATGCCAACCAAGGAGGTAGATCAGGGGCAGAGACAGCACCAATAGACTGGAGTATAGAAAAGACTTTATTATATTTAAGGGGGCTAGATAGTTATTGTAACACTTTAGGGTTTAGGAATACGTGCTTGTATTCCTGACCTTAAAGTGTTCCTTTAAGTGCTGAAGAAGACAAGTTAGCCATGACATCTGTCACGGTGCCGCGGGTTTCTGTCGGCGTGACTGCACTGAAAACCAGTGGTCACGGCAACAGAAATAACAAACACTCATCTTACCCGTGGCAGATCAAGACCCAACCTTCTTCCATCCCGGTTCACTGTGTGTGCGGCGTTATCAGAGACGCTGGCCACTGCGGTTCCATTTCTAATAAAGAAATACCCCTTGCCCATATTAAAGATGGTGCTTACGTGAGTGCGGCATCGTGTCATGGACGTGCACGCATGTTTTGGGGTCAGAGGCCACATATAGCCAATTACAGCTCAAAGAGGGTTATTTAAACCCATATTACCTTTTAATCGGTGCCCTGTCGTGGTTTCCCTTAGTTGGTTATCCGAGAGTGTGTTCCTGATCGTTTATTTCTGGTTATTGACTTTGGCTTAGTTTTGACTTCCCTGTATTCTGGTATCCTTGACTTTTGGCTTTCCCTAATCATTGTGTCTCCTTCTGTGTCCCTGACCTCGGCAAGTATTCTGACTATTCTCTGGTACATTAAGTCCGGCCATTCTAAGGCCCGGTAAGGCGTTACCTTTAGTCCTAGGTGTGATATAATTCTGCGTGCTGGATCAACTAGTAATCCTGACACCATCTTTACTGCCAACTATAATATACTTCAGAGCTAAGGGGGGAACCATTTTTGAAATAAATGTTTGCTGCTGATTATTTAAAAAGAGTCAATTAAGCACTTGGATTCAGAAATTGCAGAATTAATTATTTCACTTTTAACAACAGTTGCTTCTTCTGTTGGTATCAAAAGAATATTCACTTCTTTTGGACTTGTTCATTCTAAATTGAGATATTGGTTGGGGCGCGATAAAGTAGGAAAGCTTGTTTTTCTTTACCTGATTATGAACAAACGAGAGTGAAGATGAGCGAGCTACAGAAAACAGCTTAACTTTTTCTTGTGGAGGCAGTTGATTGACAACCTCAATGTGCAAGTTTTATATATATATATATATATATATATATCTGTTCCCTTAAGTGGATGAATTGGACAGCAGACATGTGCAATTCGTTTCAGTCTGAATTTAATTTCGGCCATTCGGACAAACTGAATTGCTGAACCAAACCGAATTGCCAAAGTTCCGAAGTGCCGAATTTCGGACGTGCCGAACCGAAGTGCCAAATTTTGGAAGTGTCGAACCAAACTGAATTGCCGAACCAAACCGAAGTTACGAATTTCGAACGTGCCGAACCGAAGTGACGAATTTTGGAAGTGCCGAAGTGCTTCAGATTTCTGAAAATTTGCAAAACAGGAGAGGGAGGGAAAATTGAGGAATGATGACAGGAATCTAACCCTTACCCCAACCTTCCTCTAACCTTACCCCTAACCCTACCCCTAACCCTAGTAGTAAGGGTTAGGGGTAGAGGTAGGGTAAGGGGTAGGGAATTGCCGCAGTGCCGAACCGAACCAAATTATTTGCCCATGCACATCCCTATTGGACAGTATATATCTGGATAAAGTTACTCCACAATACGGTAACAGTTACAGAGGGAGTAAAACAAAAAAATTATAGTGTAGTATTTATTACAACAAAAAAAAGAATACAGAAAAAAACACTCACAATTTGAAATGACAAAAAAAAGTATTTTGTGCAAAAAGAATGCATACTTGGATTCTCTGTGGGTCCTGTGGAGTCTCTGAGTCCTGTTACATCAAATTCCCCCTTGACACCGATCCAAAATAGGAATGGCTTGAGCTGTTCTCTGTGGGGAGGAACTCCTTCACCTCAGGCTTGTGCAAGAGTCTGTGTGCAAACTTCGTCCACTCAATGCATTTTGTCTGGAACCAGACTTTCTCAAGAGCTATTTTCACTTCGACTTTGTTCGTTTAAATATCCTACTGTGGGATTTCTCCGCCCCCTTTCTGTATGCACTTCCGTGTTCTGCGTGACGTAATCACGTGAGGCCGCAAGCATTGAGACGCACGCAACCGGCTCTGCGGGAGGAAAGGCGTCTCAGCGACGTATGGGCGCTCCCCAACACCCACAATGCTATTCACTTTGAACACTAAAAAAAACAAGTGAATACAAAGGTGCTTATAATAACAGTCCTCTAGTGAAATTTATAAGACGTGGCAAAGTATTTGGAAAAAGCAGCACCCTAATCAGTGTAACAGCTCATAAAACACACAATAAATATGTGCAGCAAGTGTTTAAATGTGCAGAAGTGCAATTTTCATTATAGTGCATAAAAGGCACATGAAAACATAGTGTCTCCGCACACTTTAAAAATGTCCTAACAAAGACCCAAGAGGTCTTACATTCTTGGGAATTGAAATAGTAAAAAAATCATGGCATGGGGGAAATCATATCATAGATATTGGTAAAGAAAAGATGAAATGGTTATATAGCCTAAAAACTTTAGAACCAAAGGGATTAAATATAGAAAGAGGCTTCTGAAAGGGAGAAGGCAGTTGCACTCTGGTACAACATGTCTGCCTCTTCTGTTAGCTCTGTGGTGCTAAAAGGAGTGAAAGATAACCTTACTAGCTGTGTGAGAGACAGGGAGGTGTTTTTTACCCTAATTATTAAAGGTCTGATTTCTATTGAAATCAACCTTTTCATAAACTGTCAAGAAAATGACAAACTCCAGACATATAAAGCAAGCTGAAATACTGTATGTGTGTATTAGCAAACTGCCTTATACATATAAACACACATACACACAAAGAAAGTGCCTTACATACATGCACATAAACTGCCTAATACACACATAGAAACGTCCGAATACATACATAAACCAAAACATAAAAACTGCCTCATACTCACAAACTCTTTCTAATACATATACAAACTGCCTCATACTCACACACACACACTGCTTTATAAATACATACTCACAAACTGCCTAATTAGTACATTAAAATATGATTATTACAAACCTGTAATGCATACAGCAACAGACTCATACTGTCTCATACTCACACACTGCCTAATATATACACTCGCACACTGCGTAATACATACACACACAAACTGCTTTATAGATACATACAGGTGTATTCATTTTTCTTTTTCAATCTACTTGTCCAAGGGACTAAAGTGGATCCATACACAAAAACAATGACTCGTACATTAACACATTGACCCATACAGAAGCACACTGACCCATACACACACTGCACACTGACATTCACTAACACTGACCCAACCCATACACACACTGCACACTGACATTCACTAACACTGACCCATACACACAGGGCCGGGTTAAGAGCACAGTGGGCCCGGTGCTGACAATTATGATGGGCCTAATTACGGAATCTTATCGACCAAAAACACTAAAAACACCCAAGCGTCATGTATCTGATGGAGATGGTGCTGGAGGGAAACTCATAGGATGCATCTATAAGAAAACACATACTCTATGCTAATTTCTCTCTAATTTATGCTTTCATCTTTCAAGTAAATCCATAACCCCTAACAGCAGTGTCCAGTGAAGCAGGAAGTCAATGGGCGGGGTAAAAGGGTGGGCCACTGGTGCGAATCACGTGACCAGACCTGCCAAAGGGGAGAACATGCCCAAAAAGGGGGCATGTCTGTCCAAACAATTTGAAGGACAGCCTGGCATGAATGCATGTCAGGCTGCCCGCCAATCATGCAGGCTGTCCAACTAAGGGCAGCACCCTGAGCTTGACATAAATGCATCTAATCCTTTCTAAGAACTGTTCCCTAGCACTCGCTGGTCCACTTCTCTCCTTACCTTCTTACTAGCAGGCAGAAGTTCCTGGTATATAGTCTGAGACAAAGATAAGGTGGATGTAGTGAGTGTAGAAGAAAGGGGACATGCCACAGTGTTAGAGAGACCAACGTCTGCATTACCTAAACTAATTTTATTGTCAGACAGTCCACAAAAGTTTTGTTCCCATACATCCCTCTTAAGCTTCCAAACTTAAAGGGACACTATAGTCACCAGAACATCTATAGCTTATTTTATTTGTTCTGGTAAGTAGAATCATTCCATTCAGGCCTTTTGCAGTAAACACTGTCTTTTCAGAGAAAATAACTCCTCTGGCCACTCCTTAGATGGCTGCTAGAGGTGCTTCCCTGTGGCAGTACTGCCTATTGTGCAGCACTGCCGTTCAGTGTCTCCACCCTCTGCATGCAGACACTGAACTTTCCTCATAGAGATGCATTAATTCAATTTATCTTTATGAGGAGATGCTGATTGGCCAGGGCTATGTTGGACTTGTGCTGGCTCTGCCCCTGATCTGCCTAGTTGACAGTCTCAGCCAATCCTATGGGCAAGTATTGTAATTTGCTCAGACCACCACTTCTGATGATGTCAGCAGACAGTCAGTTCAGAGGCAGAGCCAGCAGCTGCAGACTTGAATACAAGTTATATATTACTATACAAAGGGAGGCAAGAAGGGGCCAGGGTGGTGGTTTTAACATAATAGGGTCAGAAATACATGATTGTGTTCCTGACCCTATAGTCCTCCTTTAAGCAAGAGTATGTGAAGAGTAGTTAGGGTTGCCACCTTTCTTGGGAAAAAATACCAGCCTTAATCATTTGTTTAATCACAAGGAGTGACATCAGAGAAAATTCTGTAAAATCACCAACAAACTACTCACAGTTTGATTCTGCTGTATAGATGGATTGCTCCCAGTGTCTCCCTGTCTCCCAGTGTCTCAGTCTCGCAAGTCACCCAGTGTCTCAGTGTCCCTATGTATCACAGTGTCAGTGTCCCCATGTCGCCCAGTCCCCTAGTCTCCCAGTGTCTCAGTGTTTCCATTTCTCCCAGTGTCCCAATGTCTCAGTGTGTCCCCATGTCACTAGGATACTGGGGACACAGTGAGACATGGGGACACCGAGAGACCCGGGGACACTGAGAGACCCGAGGACACACAGACATGGGGACACTGAGACATTTAGGGAAACTGAGAGAAATGGGGACACTGAGACACTAGGGACACAGACACTGGGAGACATGGGGACGCTGAAACATTTGAGGACACTAAGACACTAGGGACACAGAGACATGGGAACACTGACACCGGGAGACTAGGGGACACTGGCTGGGAGACAGACACTTGGAGACACTGGGAGACATGGGGACAGTTGTGGACATAGACATGGGGACACTGGGACATATAGGGACACTGGGAGACATGGGGACACTAGGCACACTAAGACACTAGGGACACAGAGACATGGGGACACTGGCTGGGAGACAGACACTTGGGGACACTGGGAGACATGGGGACAGTTGTGGACATAGACATAGGGACACTGGGACACATGGGGACACTATGCACAATGAGAGACATAGGACACAGACACTGGGAGACTTGGGGACACTGAGACACTAGGGACACTGGCTGGGGAACATGGGGACACTGGGAGAAATGGGGACATAGTGTCGTGTCCCAATGTTTCAGTGTCTCCCAATGTCCCTATGTCTCAACGTCCCCATGTGTCTCAGCATCCCCATGTGTCCCAGTGTCCCCTAGTGTCTCAGTGTCCCCATGTTTTCCAGTGTCCCCAAGTGTCTCAGTGTTCCCAGGTCTCCCAGTGTCTGTGTCCCCATGTGTCCTAGTGTCTCAGTGTCCCCTAGTGTCTGTGCCCCCATGTGTCCCCTAGTGTCTGTGTCCCCTAGTGTCTCAGTGTCCCCATATGTCCCTTAGTGTCTCAGTGTCCCCTAGTGTCTCAGTGTCCCCATGTGTCCCTGCTGCCTTTCCCCCATCCCTCACTTACATGAGCTGTAGAGCTGCCGTCTGGACTCTGTGCTGTGTTGCTGCTCCCCCACGGATCAGTGAGTAGTAGGGATATGCTGTAACTTCCTATCCCTGCCTCTATCCATACACAGTGACCCCTACTGGCCGGTGCTGGTACTGCAGAGTAATCTCCATTTATTCTGAGAAAAATACCTGCATTTGTATTGCCGATATAACCGCAATACCGGCACGGCCAGGCAGCCTCAAATACCGGCTGTGCCAGTAATATACCAGTCAGGTGTCAAACCTAAGAGTAGTGTGTAAAAAAAAAAAAAAATGGGCATATTCCATGGGCTTGGGTCTGAAGCTGCAGCTCCATCAGCCCCTATTTTAATCCGGCCCTGCATACACACACACTGCACATTAACACTGACCCATACACAAACACACAGCACATTAACAATGTACACTGACACATACACAAACACACTGCACATTTGCACACACTGACCCATACAAACACAAACTACACATTACCTGACACTCACGCACAGTAAAGATTACCTGCAGCAGCCTGTCCCATGCTCACTCTGCCCTTTGTTGGCTGCCGGGTTTGACATCACACTGAGTCTCGTTGGCCATGAATCTAGAGCAGTGGTTCCCAACCCAATTTTCAAGTACCCCTCAACAGTCCAGGATTTAGGGACTACCCAGTTGTGTTTAAGGTGTTTTTACAAAAAAACAAAAACCTTTTTAGACACAACAGGGTAATAGCTAAATCATAGGCATGTGCATGGGGAAAATTTTCAATTCGGTTCAGCATTCCGAAATTCGGGTCTTCAACACTTCGGAACGTCAGCAACTTCGGCAACTTTGGCACTTCAACACTTCGTAACTTCAGAATTTCGGCACTTAGTAGGGAGTTATCTACCCGGTATTAGGGAGTTGTCTACCAAAAGGCTGAAAGACCTATATTGGTCTTTCAGACAAATTTACTAATACTAAGTGGAAATTAAACAGTGATACCCTGAGCAGTGGGTGGGGGCCCTAAATTAGAATAAGGGGGGGGGACCTAATGTCCTCCCCTGGCCCCCACCCCTGAGCAGTGGGTGGGGGCCCTAAACACCAATTGGGGGGGACCTAATGTCCTCCCCCCTGGCACCCACCCCTGAGCGGTGGGTGGGGGCTGTAATTACCGATTGGGGGGACCTAATGTCACCCCCCTGAGTGGTGGGTGGGGGCCCTAAATACCAATTAGGGGGGGACCTAATTTCCTTCCCCCTGGCACCCACCCCTGAGCGGTGGATGGGGGCCCTAAATACCAATAAGGGGAGGGACCTTTTGTCTTCCCCCCTGAGCGGTGGGTGGGGGCCCTAAATACCAATTGGGGGGGGGACCTAATGTCCTTCCCCCTGTTCCCCATCCCTGAGGGGTGGGTGGGGGCCCTAAATACCATTAAGGGGGGGGGACCTATAGTCCTCCCCCCTGAGTGGTGGGTGGGGGCCCTAAATGAGAATAATGGGGTACCTAATATCCTCCCCCTGGCCCACACCCCTGAGCGGTGGGTGGGGACCCTAAATACCAATAAGGGAGAGACCTATTGTCCTCCCCCCTGAGCGGTGGATGGGGGCCCTAAATACCAATTAGGGTGGGTACCTAATGTCCTCCCCCCTGGCCCACACCCCTGAGCGGTGGGTGGGGGCCCTAAATACCAATAAGGGGGGTGTGAACCTATTGTCCTCCCCCCTGAGCCCTGAATTAGAATAAGGGAGGGACCTAATGTCCTCCCCCCTGGCCCCCACACCTGAGCAGTGGGTGGAGGCCCTAAATACCAATAAGGGGGGACCTAATGTCCTCCCACCTGGGCAGTGGGTGGGGGCCCTAAATACCAATTAGTGGTATACTAATACTAAGTATATACCTAATGTCCTCCCACCCTGGCCCCCACCCCTGAGTGGTGGGTGGGGGCCCTAAATACCAATAAGGGGGGGACCCTAAATACAAATTTAACCCCCCCAGGTGACTAGGGGTCCCCAATCCCCTAGTCACACCCCTCCCTACAATCCCCTAAAATTAAATGGGCACTATAGTCACCTGAACAACTTTAGCTTAATGAAGCAGTTTTGGTGTATAGAACATGCTCCTGCAGCCTCACTGCTCAATCCTCTGCCATTTAGGAGTTAAATCCCTTTGTTTATTTAGGTGTAGTCACACCTCCCTGCATGTGACTCCACAGCCTTCCATAATCACTTCCTGTAAAGAGAGCCCTATTTAGGCTTTCTTTATTACAAGTTCTGTTTAATTAAGATTTTCTTATCCCCTGCTATGTTAAAAGCTTGCTAGATCCTGCAAGAGCCTCCTGTATGTGATTAAAGTTCAATTTAGAGATTGAGATACAATTATTCAAGGTAAATTATATCTGTTTGAAAGTAAAACCATTTTTTTTTTCATGCAGGCTCTGTCAATCAAAGCCAGGGGAGGTGTGGCTAGGGCTGCATAAACAGAAACAAAGTGATTTGTAAAAAAAAATAAAACTTACCATTTGATGTTTTCTTTATTCTAAAATCTTATTTTTTCAGCCCCAAAAAAGCCCAAATAAAAATCCGTAATAACTGACACACTTTAAAGCCTTGCCCCACCCTGCAATTAGGCTCAGAGCACTCTGATTGGTGGGTTTAAGCCATCCAATCAGAGTGCTCTGACAGGTAAATGAAGAGACTGACAGGTCTCTACATTTACCTATCACAGCACTCTGATTGGTTAGCTTGAAATCCACCAATCAGAGTGCTCAGTGTCATTTTACACAGCGTGGGAAAGTTCTTTGGAATTTTCCCACGCTGTGTAATTTGACTCATAACAACACTCTAATCCGTGGATTGAAAGTAACCAATCAGAGAGTTATGAGTCAAATTACACAGTGTGGGAACCACTGGTCTAGAGCACTGTAAGGAGCAGTTGCAGCATCCCGGTATGCCTGTCAGAGATACACTACCTGCTTGGCACCAGTTTCCCTAATTCAGCCCTAAACTGCATGTCCCAGGTGTTGGGCGATATAAATTCTACATCCCTGATACAAACTGCGTGCTTTATACATAATTGCAATATATTATGAATACATACATGTACTACATACACGGCTTAATACACACATACTGCCTGATACGTGCACACACACACACACTGCCTAATACACACAGATACTGCTTATTTCATGTAGACGCACACATGCCTGATACATATACCCACACAGACACTGCTTAATACACACAGACACTGCATATTACATACACAGACAGACACTGCCTATTACATACAGACATACACAGCCTGATACATACACACACAGACACTGCCTAATACACACAGACACTGCCTATTACATATACACACACACACACTGCCTGATATATACACACACACACACACTGCCTAATCACAGGCAGAGGTGGTGTCTGTGTATTCTCGGTGAGTGAACATTGCCAGCTTAATCTCATGGGGGATTCAGACTGTATGACAACCCCAGCGGGCGCCCCCTTTCACACAGCGCCCTAGGCCACCGCCTAGTCTGCCTATAGGACGCGCCGGTCCTGATTGAGCCCCACATACTGGAAAGGAAATTCATTGAACAGCCCTTTGCAGTTCTGACGAACTGCACTCAGAAGTCTTTATAAGATTTCTTCGGACATCTTATATGACCCTGACAAGGTTTATCCTATAGCTACTATCTTCATGATTCTTCATAATGACCCCGGGATGAGGAACGTTGCATTTCCTGAAGAAGATATTCTTCTGGAAAATACAGTGTTTACAGCAAAAAGCCTGAAGGTAATGATTCTGCTCACCAGAACAAATTCAATAAGCTGTAGTTGTTCTGGTGACTATAGTGTCCCTTTAAGTACTGCAAGTTGTGAGGTGGGACTCCATTGGTCAAATTTTTTGTTCCAGCACATCCGACAGATGCTCAGTCGGGTTGAGATCTTGGTTATTTGGATGCCCGCCCATCCACACGTTCTAAAAGAAAATGTGATTCATCACCAGGCAACCTTCTTCCACTGTGCTATGGTCCAGTTCTGACACAATTGCCTCCATTAAAGGTGCTTTTAAAGGTGGACAGGAGTCATCAAGGGGATTCTGCCCCTTTCCTGCAGGTAAGTGCTGTGTGTGTTTTATTATTGTTTATTTAGTCATGGATGGCTTCTGGGATCTAGGTAGTGTCAGGAACTGCTCTGCTCTGTTCTGATGTCTGACCATTGCTTCTGGTATCCAGTGCTCTTTTTACAATTCTTGTTTTGTTTTCCCTGTTTTTTCTGGTTTTCTATTCTATGTCTGTTTTTCTTTATGCTTTGTTTTCTGGGTTCATTCCTGTATTCCGTTCCTGGAATTCCCAGTCTCCAGGATTCCTTTATATATTGTTTTATGTTGCCACACCCGTTCCTTTTCCATGGTTCCTTTTGTTTCAGTTGGTTCCTGCAGGTAGATGCTTCAAGTCATCTGCTCCTTCCTTGCAAGTAAGTGCTGTATATGTTTTATTATGGCTTATTTAGCAGACATTAGGCAGAGTAGGACCTGCCAAATATGGGGTACATTGGCGTTGTGGCAGGCTTACGCAATGTATGATCATATAATGTAACGAAATCCCCATGGTTTTAACATATAGTACTTAGTTATGTCTCCTCTTGTTTTGCCTATTATATCTTGTCTTGTTTTATTTTGTATTCCCCGGTCCATGTACAGTCCTGCCCATGTTCTGTTTATGTTTTATTTATGTATTGTGTACATGTTCTGGGTTTAAACAAAAATAAAAGCTGCGCCAAATTAGACCAATAAATTATTTGTATATAAATAATAGAGTAGTCCAAATACAAAAGTCTTAGCTACATAGATCTTCCTTAGATCAAATAGTCTGTAAGATGCTTGATCAGGAACAATGTCCTCGCTGTCCTTCCCCAGGGGGATCCAATAATATGAAAAGATAAAACAAATAGAAGACCAAATAGTGTAATATGTTCACTAGGGTAAAACAAATGTTAAAAGAAGATAAAAAATGCACTCACATTTGTTAGAGCTATAGCTAGCTCTAGTATGGAAAGCGAACAGCGGTATGATCCCCGCTTATGGGATATAATGCAGCCTTCTTTCTTCAAAGGCATGTTGACCACTCAAAGAGAATAAAAAAGAGACTACAAGAGACAACCAATAGTGCCAAAAGTAAAATACACATTAAAAATATCCACAAACGCGTTTAGCCTTAAAGGCTTTATCAATATGGAATAAAACATATTACCTGGCAAGGTGACTTTAAATAGGGGTACAGATGTTTGAAAATGGCACCTAAACCAGAGGCCAGCCAAAAGGAATACAGAAAGTAAAATATTCTGAATCTTAATAAAATACATTTAAAATATTAATTGTAACTACTACATACTAGGTGCAACATACTGCAAATAGTAAACGATAAAAACGAGCATTATTTAGCTAGATATTTACTTATTTCATGCGGTCACGTGTCTTTAACACCGCAGTGGTAAATGGGATATGTAGTTTGATAAAACGCATGCGCGCATGCGTATATAGTGGGAGATGTAATAATATGCGTCGGCACGCACGGTGATGCGGCCGACGTCATGGAAAACAGGCGTTGGTCTGCAAATTGATGCGGCCAACGAAAGGGGAGGTGGGCAGGTATATGTAAATATACTATCGGCACGCGCAGTGACCGCGGCCAATAGTAAAATATTAAAAATGACGGCCACAAGTATAGAAAGCATGCCATCAGGGTAACCACCATAATTGGTGGGGCAGATGCCTTTTTAAAGAGGCAAACGTATATAGAGGGGGAAATGAAAATACTGATAAATAACAAGCAGATGAACCAGATAGCAATACTAAAAAGGCTAAGATTCATAAAAACATATATATAAAAAACATGTATATAAAGAAAACCTATATTGAACATATAAAACATATAATCTAAGACATAAATAAAACATATTTGTTTTTTTCTTGTTGTATCTAAAGGGTCTTGAGGGATTCCCTTTAAAGGCTGCTGCCTCATCTTGTTATTAAGCGCTTACTCTCCCTTTTTGTTTTTATGTTCTGGGTTTAGCTTTCTGTCCTTCTCTGGTTCTGGGTTCTACTAGTTTTGTCTTGTTTTCTTGTTTAGTGTCTATCCTAATCTTATCTTGTTTCTAGTACAGCATTCATCTGCTCTGGCTTCCACTAAGCTGCAACAGGGTCTTGGAATGTGTCCACACAAACGCTGGTGCTCAACACCATGGAGCGTGCGGTTACTCTGCTCTAGGCCCTACCTATCCACTACCACGCTGAAGACTCCGCTCATCTCCACATCAGGCACAGGGGTCCCGGTCTATGGACTGCCACCCTGACAGGTAGATAGGACCCACCATAAATTGGAGTACTTTGGCGCAGTGGTGGGCTGCATTACCAGTCTGAAAGTGACTGATCTTGTCAGATCTCAGAAGCCATCCAGACTCGGGCCTGGTTAGTACTTGTATGGGAGACCAGGTGCCGTTACCGTAAATTTGAGTACTTTGGCACAGTGGTGGGCTGCATACATCTTGGACATTTATGTATGTCTAAATCTCCAATGTTTATTGCACATCTTCAGGCCCGGACTGGCCATCGGGCATACCAGGCAAATGCCCGGTGGGCCACGATGGCCGTGGGGCTGAGGCCGGCAGGGGATCTCCCCGGCCGGCCCCTGCAGGGCCAGCGCTATCCAAGCGCCAGCCCTGCATAGTGCCTCCATGGGCCGGTGGGGAGATCAAAGATCTCCCTCACCGGCCCAGAGGCAGGGAGATGCGGTCGCCGGCTGGGTGAGGGAGGGAGGACCCGGCGGAGCTCTAACAAGCAGCTCCGCCGGTCCTCTCGCAAGATCTGAGCGTTGCCGCGGCAACGCTCAGATCTCGCGAGAGTGAACTCTAACCTGCAGGTTAGAGTTCACTCTCACCACTGGACCACCAGGGAAGGCAGCATGGCACCCCACCCTCCAGGCAGAACGGATCTCCTCCTCCCCCCTCCCACGATAAAGGTAAGAAGGGAGGGGGGAAATATATATATTTTTTTTTTATTAGTAAAAAAAAATATTTAAATTTACATAAAAAATACATTCACTCACACACACAGCACCCCCCAGATACCCCCAGCACCCCCCAGACACAGCCCCCAGACACAGCACCCAGACACACACACTGCACCCAGACACACACTGCACCCCCAGACACACACAGCGCACCCAGACACACAGCACCCCCAGACACAGCCCCCAGACACAGCTTCCCGCCAGACACACACAGCAACCCCAGACACAGCCCCAGACACAGCCCCAGACACAGCACCCCCAGACACACACAACACCCCAGACCACAGCACCCCAGAAACACACTGCACCCAGACACACACACTGCACCCAGACTCACCTGCACCCCCAGACACACACAGCACCCCAGACACAGCACCCCCCAGACACAGCCCCCAGACACAGCACCCCAGACACACACAGCACCCCAGACACAGCACCCCCCAGACACCAGCACCCCCAGACACACACACAGCACCCAGACACACACAGCACCCAGACACACACTGCACCCAGACACACACACTGCACCCAGAAACACTGCCCCAGACACACTGCACTAGACACACAAAAATATTTAAATTTACATAAAAAATACATTCACACACACAGCACATCCAGACACAGCCCCCAGACACACACAGCACCCCCAGACACAGCCCCCAGACACAGCAACCCCCAGACACACACAGCACATCCAGACACAGCCCCCAGACACAGCACCCCCCAGACACACACAGCACCCCCCAGACACACACAGCACCCCCCAGACACACACAGCACCCCAAGACACACACAGCACCCAGACACACACACTGCACCCCCAGACACACACCGTAGCGCAGACACACAGCACCCCAGACACAGCCCCCAGACACAGCACTTTCGCCAGACACACACAACACCCCAGACACAGCCCCCAGACACAGCCCCCAGACACAGCACCCACAGACACACACAGCACCCCAGACACAGCGCACCCCCCAGACACACACAGCACCCCAGACACAGCCCCCAGACACAGCACCCCCAGACACACACAGCACCCCAGACACACAGCACCCCCAGACACACACAGCACCCCCAGACACACACAGCACCCAGACACACACTGCACCCAGACACACACACTGCACCCCCAGACACACACTGCACCCCCAGACACACACTGCGCACCCAGACACACACAGCGCACCCAGACACACAGCGCACCCAGACACACAGCACCCCCCAGACACACACAGCACCCCCCAGACACACACAGCACCCTCACTCACACACACAGCACACTCCCACACATATACAGCACACACATAACCCTCAGTGAGTTAACAGACAATTAGAAACCTAGAATGTGACAGCAGATAAAAACACCCTCACACACAGCACCCCTCTTACATACACACACTGCGCCCCTCACACATACAATAAGTCCAAATATATATATATATATACATACACACACACACACACACACACACACATTACAGCACCCCTCACACTGCACCACTACACACATTACGCTCCAGATACACACTAGATCCCTTACCCTATATGCACTCTTAATCCTCTACACACACACACACACACACACTGGGTCATTTACACAGTAGATCTCCTACACACACACACTACATTCCTTGTCAGCAAACACATACAACATTCTCTAAACACACCCTCTCTGCAACCCCTACACACACTACGTCACCTATACACACACACTTCAGCCCGTATGCACACACTCGCTGCATCCCCTATAAAACTATGCCCCCTATACACACACGCTCTACAGCCCCTAGCCATTCATATTACACCACAAACACAAATTAAATTGACCTATTTATACAATACCACACCACACTCTACACACACGCAATCCCACAAGCAGGCTCCAAACATATGCACCATGCACTTTCCTGGCCCTTTTGTCCTCTGGTATCCCACTTGTGGAGACACCAGAGACAATTTAAAAGCAAACACAGCGCAAGCATGTTATTAAATTTGCTTGCACTGCGCAGAACAAATTCAGGGCCTTTTTCTAATGCCAGAGCTCTTCAGCAGGGCTCTGGGCATTGAACCAACATGCTCACTTTGAGAGGGGGCGTGTTGTCATTAGTGATGACAAAACACATACTCTCTGGCCCCGCCCCCTTCTTAGGGGGCCGCTCTGATTGAAAAATGCCCGGGCCTAATTTTTTTCCCAGTCCGGCCCTGCACATCTTAGTACTTAGTTATGTCTCCTCTTGTTTTGCCTTGCATCTCTGGTCTTTTCTTTTGTCTTGTATTCCCAGTTCATGTACAGTCCTGTCCTGCCCTGTTCATGTTTTCCTCATGTCTTGTGTACATGTTCTGGGTTCTACTTCCTGTCCTGCTTCTGTTCTGGGTTCTTCTAGTCTATTCTTGTTTTCTTGTTAGGTGCCTGTTCTAGTCTAGCCTTGTTTCTGTACTGGATGCATATCTGCTGCAGAGCCTCCCTATCCAGTTCCTGGGAGGTCTGCATATCATCAAGCTCCTAGCTCTTGGGATCTGCAGTAGCTGCATCAGGGCCCTGGTATGTGGCCGCACAAATGCTGGTGCTCAACACCAGGGGGCGTGTGGTTACCCTGCACCAGGCCCTGAAGGTCCATTTTCACTCTGAGACTCCCATCATCATCAGGCACTCAGGGGTCCCAGGGGTCTCCGTACCGCCACCCACTCACTTAGTCTCTCAGTAGCACACCTCTTCCAGGATAAGGTTCTGGATTTGTCCTGGTTAATGATGTCTTGTAGAAAGATAAATGGGTATGTTTGGAGATCAATTTTTCCACTGATAGTTACAGAAGTGACAGTTGGAATGGTTTACTCTGTAGAAACTGACATGCCAGTGAATCCTAAAAGTATTTAAAATACTGAATAGACCACACATTGTTTTGTCATTCTAAGCATTAAGCAAACAGGTTTGAATTATTTTGAATATAGTGTCAACTTTATGTGGAGACAATGTATTAGACTTCAAAGACAATGAAGCTTCTTTCAATGGATTTATTTAAAGCTGTGGATTTTTTTTACTGTTTAGTGCCCCTCCCGTCCTCTGAAATGGAGAGAAAGAAAGAAAATAAAGCCCATAAAGTGAATGTTCTTTATTTTGTGTCTCTTAAGATGTTTATTATTATAAGTAAATTGTAGTTAATTGAAAACAGAGTTGCAAGATGAATTCCAGTGAGATAAAAATATTTTAGTTTGAAGCTATTTTGACATAAATTTGCAGTTTGGTGTGCAGCATTTTCCGACAGCCAATTTTGAAAAACAACGAACATTGTACAATATGAGCAGTGGGATAAATGACAGTGTGACTCAAGGTATATAAACATGACTGTCAGAAAGGGGGAGTGAGAAAAGTAGGCAAGTGATTTCTTTAAAAAAATATACATGAATTAAAAAAACAATAAAAGATGGTATATAGTTAGGATAAGTTAGATTACAATATTTAAAAAAAATGTAGTTATAGTTATCTTGGTAGCGCAATGCAGTAGCATAATGTCCCATAACAACTTGAAAGCAGTGAACAATACTATCTGATCCTCCTGTAATACTTGGTCAGTTTCAATCTTTGGACTTTGTGTTTGTTGTTATGTGTGATTGACTTTGTGTTTGTTGTTATGTGTGATTGACCCATTTGCCACTAGAGTGCTCCTCTTATTCTATGGCTCAGTCATTATCTTGTCTGGTGGATTTTATTTGCTGTACCAGTGCTTCCACCTGTAGGTAATTTTGCTGATAAGAAAATTGTTATTTTTATTTTTTTTAATTCTTTATTTTCACATCGACAGATGTTACAAAAAACAAAGCAGTTGAGTTGAGGCTTACACAGAAGCCTTTATCAAGTTGTTCAAATATACCATTTATACAGTAAAACAAAGACTTGTAGGCTGTGCCTCAACGCATGAATACGAATACATACTGTCAAAGATTGTGTATGCATAAAACACATAAGAAAGAGCAAAAGAGCAAATTAAATATTACATGCAAATATTATATTCCTTTGGGCGGTAAACGGGTGTACCTGAATTTTCTAGAGTTTTACACTCAATAATAGCATCCAGAAAGACAGGGCCCCCGAAGTGGCAATGCAAGTCTATAACAACTTTGGTTGAGCTGTTAGTTACAGTATTAAGTTGAATTTGGCCCTGGAGCTGGTTTTGATAACTAGTTTTGATAACAAAAGACATTGTATCCATCCGTCCCAACCTGGGTACATCAACGGTTCCCTCTCCCCCCATGAGTTCCTTGAGAGGCCACCAGGCAGGGCTCCTTTTTGGGCCTAGGGCCGTGACCACAGCTGAAGTCTGTCAGAGAGGACCTGGACGGTAGACCTAGAGTCCAATCACTGGAGCCCGCTTTGCCACATACTAGATCTGATACTGCCCCTACATCTCTCTGCCCCACCCAGGCTTTGCTT